GTGGTACCAGCTCTCCAGGCGACTTTCGAGAGTCTGTGCCCAGCCACTTGGGGAGCCATGCCCATTCAACAGTTCCTCGTACTTGAGCCGTCCGGATGCCAGTTCCGCTTGGTATTTCTCCGTCTGGGAAAGGTAGCAGGGCACCTCTGCCCCAATATCTAGCAGCTGGTGAAGAAGATCTTTCGGCTTGTGAGCCCAGGGGATTTTCATCCAATCCGGATGAACCAGAAATAATGGGCGCCGGAGAAGGATTGAGCCCGCGATCTGTGTGTATTTCGACTCAGTCAGTCAGAACGTGTTGTTGGAGGAAGAAAGTGATTCGCTCTCCTACCCAGTAAATGCGATGGTCCAGAAAGATGGCGTGGGCAATGCCGGTTTGATGTTCCTCGGGTTTGCGCGACTGTAGCAGCTGCGCGGCCCCAAGCAAGTGCTTCATCAAGGCGCCACTATCACCGGTGAACACCTCGCGTATAATGAAAATGAAGGCGGCGACAAACACGTCCAAGGGCACAGTTCGACCACTACACCGTCGAAGAGCCCGACGCATCATGCGGATTGCGTACATGTTATGCCGATGGCCCGCCATCTCAATAGCTCGGTCTCCCCAGGTGCGACCGATGAACATCAACGCAGTGTTTTCAAAGGCGACCTGCAGCAGTTCCGATCGACTTCTCATCTGGGATGCATCGCTCAGGATAAATCGTTTAAGCCCAGTCTCGCGCTTGCTGAGTGGGCAACAGTCTTCGATCAGGCGTTCGATGAAGATGTCCAAAACAGCTGCACCCGGGGAACACTCCAGGGGAATCTTGACTCCGTCGGCATCTTCATCATTGGCTTCGTTGTCCCCCTCCTCCTCCTCCTCGTCTTTGTCCTCGTCTTTGTCCTCGGGATTGTCCTCATCCGGTCCGAGGGTCGAGTCTAAGACACCGTGAGTTCAATGGTTCCAACTGGCTCGGCTTCGAGACATCCCTGCCTCCCTCCTTCAGGTCGGTAGTGATCGGTCGACACCCACCTTTTCCCTTTTCATTGTCCCCTAGCAGATCTGACCCGGTCGGACCCTGGGACTGCTCGCGGGGAGTTTCGTTGGCACTGTGCATAACCAGTTGTCGCACCGCTTCGAGGTGGGCTAATCGTCGTTCCAAGGTCCGACATCGCTCTTCCAGCTGGGTGATGTACTCGGATTGACTGATATAGTTCTGCTCCTCGGCGGATCGAGGGAATGTGCACTCTTCGGGGAGACCACGCAAACAGCATGATTTACACGGTAACACCCGGTTGCACTATGCGGCACGGGTCCTGATAAGCCCATGTTCGTGTTATCGAGAGAGGGACATTTGGAAGGAAACAAATTGTATGGTTGGTTGAAGTGTTGGTTGGGAGGTTCACCTTCACTTTTCGCTGGTGGCAAGGTAAACATGAATAGACTGGCCGTTGCTTGCGTTTGGCCTGCTGGACGGTCACTACCGGCTGGGGGTCATGGGGGTCATCCATGGTGGAGAGTCTGTCTGGAGAATGGCAGAAAACAAAATAATTCGCGGGGAGAGTCAATTAATAGAAGTCGTGGACGATGCCGTCATGCGAATTGTCGACAGCCATGGTCTATATTTATAAAAGAAAGGCGAATTGACAGGACCCGTAATGATGGTGGACAGTATAACTAGTAGGTAGGTACTGTACTGCGTAGTTACTGGGTACTGCAGTACACAATGGGACTCCATACACTACGGGAGACGGCAGTAGTGGTAACCAGGTTTAAGAAGTACTACTCAAATACTGTACGGGAAAAGGTAGGGTAAGGGCAAGCAATCAGTAAGAAGGGTGTTTGAGTGGGGCTGGGGCTTCGGTTCCTCGCAAGTTTCATTCGACTCTGCAAACCATTCAGTCATTCAATCGATCCAAAATGACTAAGGCCCTTTCCCCGGCCCCAGGTGCCTGGTGGCCACGTCATCCAGTGGCGATAAGTCGAGGGTGAAGTAGCCGAAATGATCGGTCGGAGGAGAGCGATCCATCCACCATCATCCACCGTCCACCGATCCCTATCGATCCAATGGGTCTGCGTATTGATCTCTGGTGACGGTTCGGTAATCTGTGACCATTCCGAATCACCTGCGACCGCCGGGGATGGGTGGTCTTACCTCTGAATTACACCCCGTTTCGATGTGCACGGAAATGGAAAACATAATCGCTCCGGACGGTCATCCTACACACCCTACACCGAAGTACATAGAAGAGTACCTACGAGTATGTGAGTAACTCGAAGATGGTTCTGGTCTTGCTTCGCCCGCAAAGGCAGGGCCGACATGGCCACATAGCCATGCCATGGCCGAATGGGCCCGTTCGGCCGATGCTCAACCGGAGAGGACAGAACCATGGTAGGGTCTCTTCGCTTCAACGGCTTTTTCGTATTTCCACCCTCGTGGCTGGAGGGTTGCGGAGAAAGGTACAGTACAGGACAGAATATGTGCATCACCGTCATCACACTGCTTCACAGGTGAATTTAGTCTAAAGTAAGGTAGGTGCCGCCGATCTGCAGAGATTTGATGAACCCAACGTCCCGCATGGATCCGCTCTCAGGAGTACTCCGTACTCAGTACTCACTGGGCACCACTAGAAATAATAATACACCGATATGGATTACACCCTTGGGGCCTTTTACCCCTTCAGGCGACATGCAGGATCACCATCTTTGGTGCCTGACTATGCCTGACGCTGCCTGAAGGGAAGCGCTGATCACGTGGCTGTCACTCCCACCGCCCAGCTCCCTGATGCCTGAGGCAACAGACTCTTCTCTGCCATTGCAATGACAAATACGTAAAGAGTGTCGCGAGCTCATCTCCCCCGTGGCACTCGCATGCCCATGCCGATACTCTCTACCTTGCTGGATGAATTCTTGCAACACACCTCCGTGACCTCGATGCGACCGACGCGGATGAGCGAACTGTCCATGGTCCATGGCGGTAGTCGCGTCACACCTGCAGGGTTGACGTGCTTGATACCCAGAGGAATAGATTCCTCTCGCCCTTGGACACTCCATCTCCCGATTGAACAAGTTTCATCTGCAACATTTTACTGACAAGGCGGCTTCTCTGTGTTCGTCCGCAATGGCTCGGAACACAAACGATGTTCGAGTGCTGATCGCAGGCGCCGGCATCGCCGGCCTGGCGGCTGCAATCTCTCTCACTCGCCAAGCCTCCATCCCGAACCTCAAAGTGGTATTGTATGAGCAGGCGGATGAACTGAAGGAGATTGGAGCTAGCATTGCGCTCAGTCCCAATGTATGAAGCTTCCTATCCGAAAGGATGCGAGTCAAGTGCCACCTGGGCTAACCTTCCATTGTTCCTCTAGGGCATGCGCACGTTGGAAAGGTTGGGGGTACACAATGCTCTCGCAGATGAACTAGGATTCAGATCGCCGAGCGGCATTCCGCAGGTTTTCCGGTAGGTTCGTGTGAGAATAAGAGGTATCAATGCCAAGAACAATCGTGATTCTGACGCAAAGTCAATCGTTGGCAGGCACTGGAAGACGAACCAAGTCCATTCGGTCGATACACACAACGATGTGCCCGATCCTCGTCACGCCACCACTCGCTTCCATCGAGGCCATCTTCATAGCGCACTTCTCGAGCATGTTCCGCGAGAGTCCATCCACTTGGGTAAAAAGACCGTCCGCGCCGAAGCGGACCACCAGAGTGTCTCACTATACTTCGACGATGGTACTAGCGCCCGCGCGGACATCCTGATCGGAGCTGATGGGCTTAGATCGGTGCGTTTCACTTGGCATTGGGTCGCTATCTTCCGGTCACGATCTGACAGGACGGTCGCATGCAGATCGTCCGACAATCATTTATCCCCCAGTATAAGCTACGGTTCAGCGGGAAGGTGTTTATGCGATCCACATTTGATGCATCACTGGTAGAGGGGAAAGTCCCCGATCTTCCCGCAGATTCGATTCACTGGGTTTGTACTCCGCTTTGGTCTCAATGGACATCGCGCAAGGCTAACTCGAAGATAGTGGGGACCAAAGGACAACTTCTTCGCATCTCGCCTGGGTAGGTGGAGTTGGCGCGAAACAAGCGGAGCCACCTGTCTTACCCTCATCCTTTCTAGGCAAACAACAATACACAACGGTCGGCGCGTACAGCGATCCACGCACCACGGAAGAGGTCGAGAAGACCGTTTCATGGGACGAGGAGGGAGGCGTGGAGTTTCTCCGTGAAAGATACAAGGTATGTCAATCCATTCCCATGGCTCGTTCGCGCGATGTCTTTGATTCATATAACTCTCCAGGACTGGAATCCTGTCGTCAGAGCTCTGACGGAGGTCACTCCCTATACCAAACCCTACCCGAACTTTATCGGAGACTCTCTTGCGACCTGGGTTCTAGCCCTTCGAGTCACCCTGATTGGTGATGCTGCCCATGCCCATGGGGGGGCTTTCGCAGCCGGTGGCTCCTTGGCTTTGGACGATGCTCTGACTCTCGGACTCGCTTTTGGGCATGCTCTTAAAGGGCTGGATGCAGAGCAGTCTCTCCTGGACAGCAGTATTCAACTGGCACTGGAACTGTATAGCAGAGCGAGGCAACCTCATACGGAGCGATTACTTCGCATTGTTCACCGACAAGCCTCTGAGGGCCAGGGCCAGTCGCAGGTTGGGGACGATGAGGAACAGCAGCTCTCACGCCGTCTGCGGAATCGGGCCAGTACGGTTTGGCTGTCGGAGCACGATGCAGAGGCTGCATTCGCAGCAACAGTCGCCAAGCTGGAGGAAGAGAACATTGCTGAGAAGCAGTCCCGCAAGGTCAAACTTTGAGGGGATTGAGAAAATAGTCACCTGTCTATAAGCAAGAAAAGAGTGATTCAACCTACCGATGATTCAACATCAGCATTCACTTGCTCGTGGACGGGGGGGACGCCTAGCCTAATTTAGCAAGCAGACTCAAAAAGCTGTGGGCTGGGAATACCTAAGCACTAACAGTAACCGTAACACTCTATTCACCCTGGCCCAGCTTCTTCGCCCTCTTCTCTGGTGATCCTCCCTTATCTCTTACACGGTCTCTCTTACACGGTCTCTCTCTCTTTCTCTCTCTCTCACACACACTCGCTCTCCGCCCTTTTCTCTGCATGCCGTCCCATTTTTACCTCCTTCTCTACAACAGTCAACTCGAGTTGCGCAGCTATTCCTCATCATACTCGGGCCACTTAAATCTGCAAGTGCTTCAACATGGAAGTCACCAAGACTGCGACCGTAAGTTCTACCCCACCATCCTGCCAGAGGCACAGACAGAGTCTTGGACTAACAACGGCGCTACAAACAGTTCGGCCTTGCGCCCGTGGCCATCGAACCGCTGGCGAGCTTCTACCTGGCCGCTCTCACGGAAATCCAACAAACCTACCACCGATTGCCTGCCATTGCTGAGCTGGATTTAAGATTTACCCCTGTTTCCGGTCAATCCGAGATAACTGGTGGAAGTCTTGTCTTCCCATTCCTAGTGCGTCAGGTCTTGTCAGTGCCCTTGGTCGACGGTCGTTTGGCTGATTTCGGGCTCTGAATAGCTGTCCGCGACCGAACGCACCACTCTCGACCAAAGGAAGTCAGGCTTTGCCAACGTGGTTCATGCCTTGTCGACCCAGACTTTGTTTGTCGGAATGAACCTGGAAGTCAAGGTTGTTTTCAAGCTTTGAACTACAAAAACAGGAATTGGCAACGATGGACGTCTCTTGATACATCGGGCCTAAGTCAGGTGAAATGTCCAATCTCTGAGTGGATGTCTGAAATGCCAAGATATTGTCCGATTAGATGCAATGAGACTGTGAATCAATTGATCGATATAGTAACTAAATAAGTAAACTAGGTGAGATCGTACGGAAATGGGTAGTCGGTGCTGCAAACCAAATTTATCAGACCGCACAATCATCATTATCGACGACCTGAGAAATCTCATGGATCCTCCAAACTAAGATCATGAATGTCTTGGGGAGTCTGCTTCTTCGCCGCCCGCTTGGCCCAGGCCTTGTCGTTGGACCAAACGCCACAGGGTAGCACATTGCAGTGAGGAGGCCACAAGCGATCGACCTCCTCCTGCCACTCGTGCTCGCCGATCAACATCCGTTCGGTCGCCCAGGGCAGCGCCATCAACGCAAAGAATCGGAGCTCCTTGCAGATGTGACTCACGACCCGCTCCCTATCCTCATCAGTATAGTTACAGATGGGACAGTGGTCCGGAAAGGGATCGAGGGGGAACCGCCGCGGAGAGTCAATGTCACGCAGCGTCCACGACTTCTCCGGGTCATGATACACTCGAACATGCTCGTAGAACTGGTCCATGGCAAACGGCCGCGGCTTCATCAAGCAGTGGTCCAGCAGAAAAGTCCCACTACCAACGTCGCTTTCGACGTGCTTCCACCACGCTTCCGGCTCCCGGTATCGAGGCGGGAGCGTGCGGAAGCAACATGGACACTCAAACTTGCCGGTGACGGGATCAAGGATCTCCTCGCCAGGGGGTTGCAGGGCGGCCTCGAGAACAGCATTGGCCTGAGGGGGAGCCCGGAGTGGTGACCCCGTGGCGAGGGCCTCAGCCTGCTCCTCATCCGTATAGATCCGGGCGGACTCGGCCTGCACCCAGAGGAATCGGTGGCGACGCGTCAGGGCGTCGCGGATTAGTCGCTGTTGAACCTCGGTCAGTTCCGTCGGTTGGCCATCGGCGCCGATTTCGGGCTTGCCCTGGCGTGCAAGAAGCCACCGGGTGATGTCCTGGCGGAACTTGACGTGGTCCTTCGGCAGAAAGGCATGGTCGGCGAAGTACCATTGCCATTTGCCACTAGGCAGTTCCCGAGACATTGATTTGTTTGTGCTTGGCGATAGGGTACGAAGCTGCGAGCTTAGTTGACAGCAAAGCGGACGATCGCAAGAGTGCAGTGCTGCGGACCGTTTGATTGGACCTCCGACGAGGGCAAGTCGAGTATTTATAGTATTGATGTCACAGCATCAAGGACAGGACAGTTGCAGAACGCGTTCTTCAGGGGAGCTTACAGAATACAAACGAGGGTATGAACACTGGGCTCGTTCACAAAGGCTTGTGTTCGAGATAAAGAGCGCCAGACACAACCAATTCATGCAGTTACTTCAAGCAAGTGGTTGGAGATTGAGATTTACAAAGAGAGATGCCGGAAGTCATCAATCAATTTAGACACCTGAAAGAGAAGCCAGCACAATAGCAACAAATTGCCATGAACGCTCACCCACTCAGCCGACCAAGCAGCTCGTCACGAATACTCTCGGCCAGCTTGAACAACGAAGGGCAGCGAAGGATCGTCAGAACACTTCTATCCACGCCAAGATGCTGCCGAACCCAATTGCGGATCTCCATAACCACCAGGGAGTCAATCCCAAGGCTCGAGAATGAGTCTGTGGGGACAATGCTGCCTTGATCTCTCATGAGGAAATCAGCCAAAGCCACTGCAATAGCCTCAGTGATCTTCATCACCGCTGCCTCCTCTTCAAGGAGTACTGGCTGTGTGGCGGCGGAAGCGAGAAATTCTCGTAAACTGTTGGGCTTCGATGAAGCCGTTGTAGAGGTTTCGCCACCCCTGTCAAGATTGCGGTAGATGCCGAAACGAATATCGTTCTTCCATGCGACCCGATTGGCCGGAGAGGAGGCAGGAACGGCCGTGTTGAGGCCCAGGACAATCTGGCTCGGATTGCTATATGTCCGTGTAGGGAGTTTAGTGGCAACGGGGTGTGATCGCTGCACGGCCAATGCCATCGCCTGCATAAACATATCTTCATTGAGTACAAAGGCTCCAGTATTCTGGAATTGACGCAGTACGTTCTGGTTGCGAGCCACAAAACCGACGTCGCCCATCACACCAAGGTCAATGACAGAGGCTGGAAGACCCTGATGATGGCGATACTGCACAAATGCGTCCAGGAACGTGTTGGCAGCAGCATAGTTTGCCTGACCCCACTGCCCACAGAGGCCACTGCAGGATGAAATGAGGATGAAAAAGCCCAGATTAGACGGAAGGACATTATGGAGGTTCCAAGTGCCTTGCACCTTGGGCTCCACAACGGTTACCCAGTCAGAAAATGTCATCTTCTCCAGAGAGACGTCCTGCGTACATGATACAATCAGCACCATAACGGAGTCAGCAGGGGGGAGAACAAGAACACGCACCCTCAACACCATGGACATGTTCAAGACACCAGCAATTGGGGCGGTGGCCTGCGCAACACACTTCTTCACATCAACGAGTTCACAGACGCTGCCAGCCACCAATTGGACCCGGCATCCTTGAGATTCCAGGTCCTCAACAAAGGCATCACTTTCAACTGCGTGTAGGGCAGTTCGTGACAGAAAGACCAGGTTGCGGGCACCATGTTCAACCATCCACGAAGCCACAGCCCGTCCCAGGCCACCAAGTCCGCCAACAAGCAGATAACTCCGCTCTTGCTGAAAGATTGGACTGGGGTTGACGGTCATAGTCCCCAGAACCCTGGGATCGTCTGGCATCTGTATCACAATCTTGCCAATGTGAGAACCGGACTGCATCAAGCGGAAGGCCTCGTGGATGTTTGCAGCCGGAAAGATGTTTGAGATCGGGTCGGGCGTGATCACTCCAGCCTCGATCCAGTTGACACAACGTCTTAGAATGCTGGTTGTCCGTCAATCATATTGAAGCCTTGACTCCAGAGCAAGCAGGGATACTGACTCGGTCACTATCCAGGGACGGACGCGCGTTATCTCCCTCAATTCAAGTCCAACGAAGGTTCGATTTGCTTCGAAAAGTTCCATCGCCAGCTTAGCCTTGCGACGAAAATCACGAATGCCGATCTCGACCATGACTCCAAACTCGGCCACACATGTCCACGAGGCGTGGAGAAGGTCGCCGGCCAACGAGTTGAGAACAACGTCCACTCCCCGACCGTTGGTGGCGTCCATAACGTCTTTAACGAAAGATGAATTACGTGAATGGAAGATATGGGACCGCGGTATATTGCAATTCCGAACCAAATATTCGACCTTTGTCTCGGCTCCCACCGTGCAGTAGATCTAGGAAGAACATATCAGTCCCGCTCCCTCGTCCGTGACGAAACTCACCTCGGCGCCTATCATCCGGGCAACCTGGATAGCAGCTAGGCCAACTCCACCACACGCCGAGTGAATGAAGACAGCCTGGGAGAGCGCCCATCAGTCAGTATCAAACGCTTACCCCCTAGAACTGTAGGCTCACCTGTCCCCGTTGCAAATTTGCCTTTTCAATCAATGCCATTGCCGAGGTTGCATAGACACATGGCAATGCAGCGGCTTGCTCGAAGGACATGGATTTCGTTACCTGTATACAACAGGATTCGTTCAGTGTCATATAGGTGGTAAAGCATCCAGTACCCATGTAAATAACGTGGTCCCCAACCGACACATGCCGGACATCGGGGCCGACAGCATGAACTATTCCGGCTCCTTCTAAACCAAGCAACGTGGTGCTTTCGTCGAGGACACCGGACGCAATGAGCACATCCTATCAATTTATAAGCCCGCATCAAACAACCGAAGAGCGGAATGAAGCATACGCGGAAGTTCAGGCCGACAGCTTGGGTCCGAACCAGAACATCGCATCCCTCTACTTGCGCATCCCGGCCATCGACCCATTTCATAGTTCGCAGGAGACCAGGACTCTCAATGGCAAGATGTTTGATCGACGATTGGTCAGGCGAGCTATACTGTTCGAACGATTGTGCAACTGTCTGCCAATGCATCCTTGGAGTAACAATCTCGTTCTCGACGATGGCATATTCCCAGTCTGAGCTCATCGCCTCCGAAGTGTTCCTCGTCGCTACCCAACAGAATATCTTCGTAATGCAGTCAGCTGTGGTTTGCGAGGGACGGTTGTGATCAATTTCGACAGTATATAACTTGACTGCGAGTTCGTTCCGTGCAGTCCGAGCCAGGCCTAGCGTCATGGCAGCCCTGGGATCTGAACAGCCCACCTGTGCTGACCGCGTTACCCATATCAAACTGCTCTTCAGTGTCTGCAACATCGACATCGTGGATCTGAATTTCGCTTCTGGCATAGCATGAATCACCGGGTCATCCAGATCGATCAGCGAGATGACGTCCTGACCAGGCAGAGGTAGATTTCCCGGCCCGAGAGGTTCGACGCGGATGCCTCGACGTTGGAGGCTATGCAATACTCGTTGGGCCCACGGTGCCATAGGGTCATGACATAGCAGGGTTACATCGTGAGGCTCAGCACGGGCATTTGCGACCGATGCAATCATACAAGCGCTGAGATGATACGGAGGGATGTTGTCCAGCATAGAAGCGTGTGGTGTTTGGAATCCTGCTTCCGCAAGCTCTCTGGACCATCTTTCCGGGGACACATACGGCTGCTCAAGGCGATCATCCTCTTGCCCAATCCACCATTCCGGTAGAAAGCCCTTGCATCTCAATTAATAGGGGTCGCGGAAGGGGAACGCATCGATTCCGCATCACGAACTTACCATGACATAGCTTATAAAATTTGTCTCTTTGAATACAAACGTCAGTACAGGAAGAGGTACAGCTGTGATAGGGCAACCACTGACCTGGGCACAGTTCCTGCAGTAACAGTCGGCCTTCCTGCTTAAGCAGCATGCGGACGTTTTTCAAAGACCTTTGCAAACTCGGCGTTGCATGCACGACCTTGTTGATTAGCCAAGGTCATGATAAAGAGACGAAATGCCTCACATTACTGGCTATAATCAAGTCGTAGCTTCCAGGCTCCAGGCCTTGCTGCATCGGATCCTGACGTAGGTCCAATACGACGTATTTTAAACCTTCATACTCGGCAAATCGCTCCTTGGCCGCTGTGACATAGCCAGGCAAGACATCAGTATAAGTGTACGTGCTGTAGAGGCGTTCTTCAGAAGACGATCGTAGGGCTTTCAGTGCCTTGAACGTTGTGGTGCCGGTCCCAGCGCCAACTTCCAGCACCTTCAGTCGTGGGTTTGTGTGACCGATGAGTTGAAATAAACCATCGTAGTCCCAAGTATCTGCGAGTGTATAGATATTATGAAGTAGGTTGTCCTCTGATAGAAGCTGCAACGCATCTTGTGCACCGGCAAACATTGCTGCAGACGCTTGGCACATACGATGACAAGCGATGCTAAACGCATCGTATGGGGAACCATTGAGTTGGAGGATAATGTCTTCAATCCTATCTTGTAGACCCTCACCGCATAACTCCCAGAGTCGAAGGTCCTGGGAGACAATTCGATTCAAGCCGGTCTGATACACTTCCAGCTGCGTCTCTATCCAACCAAGGTGCTTCTGTAGGTGTTCCGGTGAATCATCCGTCCGATAAGCTCGATTTCGAGTCTGAATCATGCACGCAAGTACCAGCTCTTCCAATAAATGCCACTCTTCTGTGCACTGCTTTGCGCAGTGCAGGTAATCACGCAACTCAGTGAAATCAGCGTGAGGTCTCCACTCGAATTGCGCGATCAACGGGAGGTCCATTGTCGACTCATCTCGTTTGCTCAACGCTGAAACTTTCAGGCCCTTCAAACTCAGGAAAATCTGTCCGGCTCTCTGTGCTACAACATCTGCAACATAAGAGCCTCTCTCCACAGCTCGCACCTCGGCTGTGATGTTGAGGCTATTACTAGTTGGCGAAATGACCACCTCCTCAATGAAAGTGGGAACGCCAACTTGACGATACCTCCGAAATATGCCGCGGTGGGCTGCAACGATAGAAATCTGAGAGCACTGGTCAATTCGGGCTGGATCCAGGGCGTAGGTATCTGTGATTCCTCCCTGCTCAGCTGGAATGACGCCGGCCGCTCGGTTCTCGGTAGTAGCGGCAGAGATATGCTGCAGGCCTTGGAACATCCCGCTATACCCAAATCCAACACGGCGGAGAACTTCATACCAGGTATCTACATTGAGTTTGCGAGCAAAACAAGGAGGTGACTCCGATACGGCCATGGAGATTGAGTCGTTGACGCCGCACCTAGCCTCCCCATAGCAGTTTCTAGTCCACGTAGTTCCATCGAAAGAATTGACACCAAACCGGTACCATGTCGTCTTCTCGGTGGGATCAGGATCGAGGGCGCTGAGGATGGTGATAAACTCGGTTGCGTGGTCAAGATGCATGACAGCTGCAGAGGCGAGGGTGACATGGCGAAGGCTGTAAGTCCAGTCCCCTCCCAATTGCCGCAAGGCTTCCCCAATCATTGCTATGAACCCACCAGCAGGAAATACCGTCTGCCCTTCCATTTCATGACCTGCCAGCCATGGAACATTCTCGATAGCCAGAATATTTCTCCAACAAGGCTCATTTCCAGTCTCAGCTACCCGAACACCCAGGAGCTCATGCGGAGGGAATTGACGGAATCGCCATTCGCGGGCGACGCGTGGCTCATTCCAATGCGAAGAATCGGGCTTCCAACAGTATTGAGGGAGGTCCGTCACAAGCTGTCCAGGAGGACAGATCTGGTGGTAGTCCAGAGCAACGTTCTGCTGATAAAGTCTTCCGGCAAGGTCGAGAAGACAGGGCTCACAGCTCTGCTGCCTAACCAATGTACTGAGATGTGTGTCTGACCGACCAAGCTCGCGGACCACATGGCCCATTGGGCCTTTGAGTGCAGGATGCGGTCCAATCTCGATGAACAGAAGAGGATCACTTTAGTCTCGGAGAAGCGACCGAAGGGAAGAATTGAACAAGACAGGGCTTTCCATGTTCCGACGCCAGTACGCCGCTCCCAGACAGCCAGCTCCAGTCAGTTTGTCCCCCGTGACAGCGGAATAAAAGGGAATCTTGGGATCGTTGCTATGAATGAGCTGGTGGATGTGTCGTTCATACTCCGGTCCAAGCTCATGCATGTGATCTAGTCAGTTGTAGCATGTGTCAAAATCACAAGCATTGGAATCGAGAGACTCACGAGAGTGAAATGCCTTTTGGACGCGCAATACACGCGCCAGAACATCTGGTCGCTCCGATTGGACTCGACTGATCACCTTCTCGACCTGAAGCGCGTCGCCTGAGATAGTAACGCTTGACTGGCTGTTTTCACAAGCAATGACCACCCCAGCTTCTAACAGAGGAGACACCTCTCCTCTCCCTAACCCGATCGCGGCCATCAAACCCTTGCGCGGGGATCTTTCGTTGCTGATGCCGCGAAAGGTCGCTGCTGCTATGGCGCCTTCAGCGGTGATTGCACCAGAAGCGTAAGCAGCGGCCATTTCACCGGAGGAGTGACCCAGCACTACCATTGGGGTGACACCCCAGGATTGCAATACATCAACCAGCCCGAGCTGAACCGCGATCGTCAATGGATGGCCCATTTCCGCTTGGTAGACGCGACTGACATGTTCGGGCTTCCGCATCTCCTCTTCGATGTTCCATGGTGGCGCGGAGGGGAGAGAGGCCAGAAACCTGTCTAACCTCCTGATTGTGTGGCGGAAGGTTGCATTGGAATCGATGAGGCTCGCCCCCATTTCAGGCCACTGGGCTCCTTGTCCAGTGAACACCCAAGCAACTTTTGGCACTGGTCCGATGCGAACCACGCTGGAAAGGGATGGTGCTGGTGCGGGATTCATCACGATGTACGCCCGATACGAGTGATGGATGCGGCGGTTGGCCAGAGTGTAAGCCACATCTTTGCTAGATGCTCTACTCCCCTGGAGATAATCCTGGTCATTGTTGACAGACCGGTCAACAGCATCGCGACACTGGGCAGAGAACAGTAAGAGCCTCGCTTGGCTCTCCTTTAGTCTCTCTTCACCCACAGGGAACCGCATAGGCTCAATTCCACATTGTTTAGGCGAATCAATAATAGCCTCGAGAGAGTCAGTCAAGTGTGAAACCGGGATGATAGGCTCTTTTTGACGATGGCACTTACATGAGCATTCACACCTCCGATCCCAAACGAATTTATACTGATCCTTTCAGCACGATCCGCGGGCCACGACTCGAGTTCAGTTGGTACATGCAATCTGGATCGTTCAAATGGAACTGGATGGCGGTTAGACTGTGATGCATATCTCTAGGCATGGAATGCGCTGGTCTCACTGTCTGGATTAGGGTGGTCAAAATTGATGTTGGGAGGCACTTGGCAGTGTTGGAGAGCGAGAACGGCCTTGATGAGACTCGTCAAGCCCGCTGCGCCCTCCGAGTGGCCGACATTGGGCTTCACCTGCATGCCAATGATCAGATGGGAGACAATCCGTCAAGAAGACTCCAATGTCCATACCGACATGATGATCACCCCCTTCTCGCCGAAACAATTGGCTACCGCGGCAGCTTCACGTGGATCCCCAACCGGAGTACCAGTGCCGTGGCATTCGACCAGGGCCGTCTGCGAAACATCGTAGAGTCCACAGGCCTCATACGTTTCACGGATCAGTGCCTCTTGGGCAGCAGTACTTGGGATCGTCATCCCTTGGGTCCGACCGTCACAGTTGACCCTGGTTCCCCGAATGATAGCACGAATGTGATCCCCATCTTGTATGGCCTGGCTAGCCTTCTTGATATAAACGGCATTCAAGGCTTCCCCCCGAGCATAGCCGTCGGCTGCTGCATCAAAGGTTTTGCATGTCCCAGTTGGAGATAGTAGGCCCTGGTCACTCAAAGCCAAAGTCATTGTGGGAGAGAATATGAGGCTTGTCCCGCACACTAAAGCACTCTCACAGTCGCCAGCCCGGATTGCTTTACAGGCCAGATCTAAGCAGACCAACGAGGACGAGCATCCCGTTTTCACCGTCATGCTGTCATTCCCTGCGTTAGCACCTCTCCTTCCATAGCAGAGAGCAACGAACCTTGGCCCGTGCAGATCGAATTCATAGGAGACGCGATTGCTGAGCACAAAGTCTCCGTAACCTGTAAACCGATATCCCCCCATATGTTGGGTCTCCTTTGCATTGAGGTCGAGCCAGTCCTCACCAAATACACCCACATAGCAGCCGACCTTACTACCACGCCACGAGGTAGTTCCAGCGTTCTCAAAACATTCGTATACAACTTCGAGGAGTTGCCGTTGCTCAGGGTCCAGACGCTGAAGTTCTTTCTTGGAGGTGGTGAAGACGGTGTTATCGAATTGTCGAATGTCGACCTCCTGAAGGAAATAGCCCTGTTTCGCACGGATTGTTCCCAGCTTCCCATCCGGATCATGAAAGGCATCACTGTTGTACCGATCTGGCGGCACCTCACAAAGACCACTTCTCTTCTCCACCAGCAACCGCCAGAAGTCCTCCGCATTGCGCACCTTGCCGGGCAGTCGCATTGCCATGCCTACGATGGCAATCAAATCGCCTCCAGCCGATCTTCCTTCGATTTCTGCCTCATCTTTGGTTGGCCCCATAGTTCGGGCACAGGGACGTCGCTGCGAAATAGCCGTTCGGGGTGGGTCAAATGCTGGAGAGAGGTCCTGCGGTTTGGCTGCTGCTATGTGCCTAGCTGGATTTAGAACAGAAGGGTTCATTCTCGGAGAACTGAGAGCATGATCTAGGTGCCTGGGGTACCTGAGACCTCACACCCTGAGCTGGCCCACCCGGCCCATCCCGGGGTTCAATTAACTCCGTGGGGTGCACATGGTGTGGCTCCACATATGGAGGCGACTAGGGGCGTCAGCTTGTTATGTGGCATCCCAGGCTCTGTTTCAAGATCGCTCATAACCAAACATCATATCGGGCAAAGAGTGATTATTTGTGGGCTATACCGGCACAGTGTGCTTAATGAGCAGGCACATAGCCGCAGGCCGAGTGTATCGAGCCATTTGCGAGGAGATTGCAATCAAGCAGGCTCGTTCTACGTTGAAGCATGAAATGAGCAGTCATGCAGTGTGGCCCGACATCCCAACGGTCGCTGCATTGATCCCTGCGCTTATACTACCGGGCTACTGCATATTTGGTAAACAAAGGATCAGTTAACAGTCGATCCAAGCAACTCTCTTCCACCCCCACCAAGATCTCCATCCCGCCATCCGGCAGTACTGGAAGCACAATTTGAGCGCCATTGATGCATCCAATGTGCGGCACGCGAACGGCCTCAATGCGATGGCCTAGTAGAGAGCCCCAGTCCAGCCCGTACAGTTTGAAGTTCAACCAGGAGGTCTGCACACAATTATACCCAGGAACATCCAGGAAGGCGGTTGGGACCAATCGATCGACATCTTCGAGCCGGTCCACCAGAGCAACGACATCGTCCGTGAATTGCTTGTCAGCCCGCAGGATAGCCTTTCGGATCTGAATGGCTAGGTCGGCCAGGCTCAAGGTACTCAGCATCTTGCGAATGGGAAGAATAACAGCAACGTACTCCAGGAAGCATCCTAGAGTGTCCGGGTGGATTGGGGGATCCGTTCGTTGGCGCCCATCGATAGCGACATTGAAAACAGAGACAGGATCACCCTCCAGTGTATCCAAGGGTGACTGGACTGCCATCACGGTTCGCCAGAGAAGTGCGGAGAGAGCGTCGTTGGTGGAGATCCATTTCTGGTCGGAGGGCTCGGTAGCCTTGCCAGGCGATGCCTCAGCCTTCAAGGCTGCAAGAGAGTCCGGGGAGAAGTAAAAGACCTGACCACGATGGTTCAAGGAGGTCATCTTGGGTGGTGCTCCGGGCGGCGTGAAAGGAAGGAGGGTATATTCAGGATGGTTTTCCAGTTCGCCCGCATTGCGACCTGAGGGCTTGGTCACTTGCTCACGGTCTTTCCAGACGGCGTCGGGAAGTTGAATTGGGGCCACGATTTCCAGCCCCTGTGAACGACGACATTCTTCTGCCCAAATCGCCGTCCACGTGGAAAATGAGTTACCATCTCCTGCCATGTGTAAAATGCACCATGTGAGTACCAGTCCCCCGCGGATGAAGTTGGCCTGCACAAGGGAAACTGGCATTCGTTCCCCAGCTGAGGGCCAGACCGATCGACGGCAGAATGTATCGGCATCGAAGGCAGCCACGGGGAAATATTGATGTTTCAGTTCGGCGTAGTCAGAGGCATAGGAGTCACGCAGGTCTTTGACGAGGATATGTGTTGCGTCGCGGGTGTCCCGCGGCTGAAATCTCATTACGCCCTTTTGCTTCGTCTCGAGGTCGGGAACTGCCTCACACGCCACCACCGGGATCCGTTGTGTGAGAGCCTGGTACCCGGCCTCTAGGGCTCCAACAACTCCATCCAAATCATAATCGTCTTGCAGCTGGAAAGGGAAGACGTAGCGCAGATATCCCTTAGGTCCGATACGCTCCAGGGTTGTTAGCCCCAGGACTGGTTGTTGATTCCCGATTGACCCCATGGTTATCACTTCGGTCTATCAGCGGAGCTCCAAGCAAGCCAGGTATGAAACGATCAGTAAGGGGACAATGGCCGGATTATTAAACCTTTCGGCGGAGTGGCCCGATGCCAGCATGTTGGACTGTGCCACACTCCGGCACACAAGTTCCTCATCCATCTACCAGGAGGCAATTCAATATGAGCTATCTAAGGATTAGGGAGAGGAGTTTCCTGTTTCAACCCCTGCCGGTCGAGAAGTAGCGCCATGCCGGACAAGATTCGAGTAGTCTACTGTTGTACGTCTTTCACTAAAAGATAGTGCTGATGGCCTGCCCCACCCGCAATGGCGAACCGTTGACCTTGCCACTTCAGTTGATAATGGATCTGATAGAAGCTCATTCTTGGCAATTGGCCATGTCAATGGCACAATGGCACGTCTGACCACTGGAAGGAGATCTGTTTCTGTCCTGAAGCAGAGCAGGGGGACTCTCAGGAGTTGTGGGTTGAAGCAGTTGGGCTCCTGGAGCAGCCGTGCAGCGCCTTCCGACGGGCCGCGTCGGCGACTATAATGACAGCAATTAAGCATGAATCCTACACTAAGGCTTTCCGCGGTTCAAACACCCGCCCAACAAACAGCCTTGGCTATAAGACACTTGACCCACCTGTTAATCCCTCCAACAACCGTCGACCATTCATAACGTGGCTAGCCCTTGGGTGGACTGGCAAGTAGTTAATATCCGATAGTGTTGGGGACAACAGGGTGGCCATGACTGGCGCCTCCTGAGGCGAGTTGGTCGGATTTCGGAGTGTCGACCACTTTGCTTTGTCCGTGGCCAGAGAACAGGGATTGGCACCCGTGACTCTGTGGAATCCATTCTTGATACTTAAGAGACTCCATGGACTGATGCGTGGCTTGGTGACCACATACGCAATGCTATGGCCGAGGATCCAGCGATCCGCGCGCTCTTTGGACCAGCACCGGCCAATGTCGACCTTACTGCGAGCGCTGTCGCCGTGAACAATGCGGCTGTTATTGCCATGCTCGTTTTGGCTGCGGTGGCGGTGATGCTCCGCTTCACTGCGCGACTAGTCCTTCGAAATGCCCTCATGGCCGACGACTGGGCCATCATTGCTGCCCTGGTGAGTGTGATGCGGCTGAGGTTGAGCACCTCCTCTGACTCAACGTTTCTAGCTCTGCATAGGTGCCACGACTGGATTAAGCATCGCGGGTGAGTATTGAAATTGGATCTGGAGTGTGACCACCCTGCTGATGAGCCGTGTAGGAGGTATGACTGGTGCTGGGAAGCACATTTGGTCCGTCACACTGGAGGAACTGATGCACCTTTACCGAGTCAGTCGAAAATTCCCCTTTTCCCAAACTTGCGGTTCTTCTCTGCTGATGGGTTAGGAAGTAGCTTTTATTCTCCTATACCTTCATCTACGCCTCCTCCTGCACCTGCACCAGACTCTCCATTCTTTGCTTCTACTGGAGAGTCTTCTCGCCCCTGAAGCCGATATTGAAAGTTGCACTGTGGTTCGGCGCTTTCCTGACACTTGCCTACCCGATCATTGTTTGGGTGGCCATGAGCAATTCGTGCAAGCCCGTCACGTACTTCTGGACGCAATTCGGCGGGACGAGCGGCAAATGCATCGACGTGGACCGATTCTTCCTGGCCGCGGGCATCCTCAACATGCTGAATGACTTCATCATCTTGATCATCCCCTTTCCTCGGATCGTCAAGCTGCAGATGAGTGTGCAGAAGAAACTGGCCATTAGCGGAATCATGGCGGTGGGTATTTTGTACGTCCTCCTCGGTCCCCCTAAGCACTTCCACCATGGATCCAGCTAAGCCGGTGCATGCTAGTGTGTGTGTTGCCAGCATCGTTCGCATCCGGTACCTGTCGATCTTCATGAGCTCGCCGGACCTGACCTGGCTGATGGGACCCGTGTTCATCTGGTCCAGCATTGAGCCATCGGTCGCCGTCGTCTGCGCTTGCATGCCTCATCTTGCACCTCTGGCACGGCTGGCTCATCGGACCCTCGCGTCCAGTTTCCATTCCCGACGATCGACGACCGAGTCATCTGGACGACCACGAAAGCTACCAAGTGGATCGAGGCAGGGTGTTCAAAAGGGCCACCGATTCAGCCAGCGAGGACCAACGTTTGACTTCGGGTTTGAGCAGCTGAAGAAGACGGCCAAAGACGACGAGATCGGCCTGACGAGTTATGTTACGGCAGGGCCCAACTGCATGGGCAAGCCCTCGTCCATCGAATCCGTCTCGGAGGTGGATGGTCGTGCTCAGGAGATCGCGGTGCAGTCGAGTTTTGTGCAGTCATCTTCGCTGAAGAGCTCCCTCTGACGAGCATTGTCTGCACTGAAACTTGTGTCACCGCGTGTACCTTGCTCAAGTAGTTTCAGGAAACAGTCAACTGTGCGCAGCAGTCCGTAGAAACCTGGAATGATCAACTCATCATGTAGAGAAGACTAAATGAGATGAGAACGTTCGCGTGACTGGTTAGCCTCGACTCAGAAAGTCGGAGAGAGCTAGAGCTAAAATAATAAAATCGCATTCAAACGGGTGAGAATTCATCATGATCATGATCAACACCAAGAGGGTCGGGCGGAAGAAGTGCGAAGAAGAGAGCGACGTCGACGCGGAAGCATCAACAGCCGACCGATGACTCATCCCTTAGTCATCCGGCAGCCGCGGCGGATCTACGGAGAGCGACAGAGACCGGGTAAGTTAGTTAGCAGGACAGCTCCAGGGCCAACAATTTCAAGCACTATGTTACTCTTGAATTCGGGGTATAGCTACGATAGTCTCTAATAGGTACTCTACAGTCGAAGGAATAAGGCTCTGTTTCAAGTCCGACAAATTAAGGTGGTTGAGTATTATTGTAACTTGGTGTGCTCAGGGTCCATCCCCGTCTGTACCGGGGACAATATATGTTGCACGCGGCGAGTAACATGCACCTCATTGAAAATTGTACTGTCCCAGAAAATCACTTATCTGCATCTAGGGTGCTGGAATAACAGATAGCATATCCCTGGTTCTTAGTTTTAGCTTTCGAATATTCCTCCTTCCAACCTGGAGTGAGTTGGTGCCAGCATTGTCAGGTGTCAGCCGGGCGGAACGGGACGGTACATTAATGTAGACCGACCGATTGATAAGAACCCACCGGGGGCGGATCAGATTATTTTCGCCGCCATCATCTTCCTCCGAGCTCCCTTCCCCCCTCCCTTTTTGACTCCTCTCCATCACTCACTTCTTCGTGAACGCATTCCTGCTTCCCATCACCGTGGTCCCTGGAACTGATCATTAAGAATGCATATTCAGTCTGCTCTGGCCTCGCCCAGAGGTCAGCCTGGTATCCTGCACCCATACGTACTGTACCAATCTGCTGCCTCCTCCTTGTCCCCCCCCCCAAAGGCGCTCGCTCACCGTGCTAACATCCAAACACCATCTCTCAGGCCCCCCGACTGGTCGCCTTCGAGTACATCCGCGGCTCTCGCCCCAAGCCTCACACCCTCATCTTTATCGGAGGTCTCTCCGATGGCCTACACACGGTCGATTATCTCTCCGATCTCATTCTCGCCCTCCAAGATACCGAATGGTCCGTCGTCACACCGCTGCTCTCCTCCTCCTACGCCGGCTGGGGCATGAGTTCGCTTGCGCAGGACATTGACGAGATGGCTCAGTGTGTGGGCTACATACGCGACCACAAGAAATCCCTATATGGGCACGGGAAGGTGGTCATCATGGGCCATTCCACCGGAAGTCAGGACGTCATGCATTACATCAGTTGCGCCAACCCGCGCCCACGCCACCCAATCCTGGATCGAGACATTCCTGAAGGACAATACGTGGGGGCAACTCGACCATCAGTGGATGGGGCGATTATGCAGGCGCCGGTGTCCGACCGGGAGGCTGCTTTGTGGCTAAGCAAGCTCGGGACCGAGTACGATACTCCGGAGGAAATTCAGGAAGTGTATCGGAAGACGATTCAGGAAGCGCAAAAGCGGACGTATGAGACTGGGGGCGGGGATGGGTCCACGATCTATGACACGATTGTGCCACTGGCCACTACGACGCGCATGTACTACCCGGCTGATACGCCCCTGAGCAGTCGTCGGTTCTTGAGCCTGCTCAGTCCCCAAAGCCCCCAGCGACCGGACGAAGACGACCTGTTCAGCTCGGATCTTCCGGACGAGCACCTACAAACCACCTTTGGCACGATCCGAGCCCGAGGGGTGTTGCATGGAAAGGGCAAATTGATGGTGCTGTATTCTGGACGGGACCAGTCGGTTCCTCCGTGGGTCGATAAGGTGGCGCTGTTGCAGCGATGGCGGACGATTCTCGGGGATGAGACGTGGCACCGAAACAGCACAATCATCCCGGGCGCATCGCATGCTTTGAGTGACCCCGACCAGGCTGAGCCCCGAAGAATCCTGGTAGAGAGGGTGACAGGGTATCTGGATGACGTGGAGACACTCTAGTCACTGGTTTTCCGGCATGTTTCTGCACCTCACAGCTGCAGACGCCCACCGAACGGGGTATTGATCTTCATGCAACATTGGGAGGAGCCATGACAGATTTCTCGAATCAGCCGAATCGGTTATTTGCTTTTTTCTCGTACACGGAGCTTATTCCCCTTCACGGTATCTGACAAAACCCTGGCATTGAATCAGTCCATTGGACCTCCAGTCCTGCCACTTGCATCAGCCCAGGGAATAGCATCCCTGCACCGTGCACACATCCCCTCCGACCGAAAATTGAGATTTCCATCGGGGTGGATGTGAATGGTCATGTTCCCTGCATGGCCGAGAGGGGAAATGCAACCCCCGCCACGAACCCCGCCTGACCTTCGTCATGGCTGCTCCACGATGGTTACAAAAGCTTTCCCTCCGACCACCAGGGGCTACGATTCGCACCCAGTGGAATTACTAGGAAAGGCACCATGGGCTCCCTTGGAGATGTTCACCGACGCCCATACCAACCAACACCGGCCGATGTTACCATCAACAACCGCGGCCCCCAAGACCCACCCAAAATTCTGTTTCGGAATGTTCGCATTCTCGACTCGACCGGCGCAGAGCCATATTGCGGTGATGTACTGATTGACGGCGAGCGCATCCTCTCGGTCGGGCAAGTCGATCCCACCGCTACCCAAGGAGCACTGATCATCGACGGTGGTGGCACCAAGACACTCATGTCGGGACTGGCGGACTCGCATACTCACCTCAGCTGGAACAATGCGGCTACCCTGGATGAACTCACCAGTCTTCCACTCGAGGAACATGTCTTGCATACCGCAAACTCAGCCCGAACCTACCTTGACCACGGCTATACCATGTGTTTCGGAGCTGCTGCGGCCCAACCGCGACTTGACATTGCCATCAAAGCTGCAATCAAATCGGGTTTAATCCCCGGCCCACGCACTTTGGCCAACTGTCCAGAGCTGACCAAGCCCGACGGAGCGATCGTTCCTCAGATCTCGCGCTATGCGGATGGGCCGGAGGAGATGCGCAACGTGGTTCGAGAATTCGTCGAATTGGGCGCCGACAATATCAAATTGAGTATGACCGGGGACAACGTACACCCCACGATGCCCAGTGAGGAAACGTACTTCGATCTGGAGGAGACGGTTGCGGCAGTGGAGGAGGCACATCTTCATGGCAAACGGGTCTGCGCCCATGCTCGGAGTGCTGCCTCGGTCAAGCAATGTGTGCAGGCCGGGGTCGATGTCATTTATCATGCAAGTTTCACGGATGAGGAAGGTATGGATCTTCTCGAGCAGCACAAGGACTCGGTCTGGGTCGCTCCGGCTATCAATCTCTTATACGCGATGGTCCAGGGTGACGCAGAGCCTTACGGAGTGTCGCCCAAAGTAGCCGAGCAGAAGGGGATCACTTACGAGGTCGAGGTCGCTTGTCAAGCCATGCGCGAGATGCGTCGTAGGGGGATCCGCGTCCTCCCTGGTGGTGATTACGGGTTTGCCTGGGCCCCCCATGGCACCTATGCGCGCGATCTGAAGCACTTGGTGGATTTGTTTGGGTACACGCCGATGGAGAGCATTCTGGCTGCGACCGCGATGGCAGGCGAGCTCATGGGCTATCCGGACGAGCTTGGAAAAGTGCAGCCGGGCTATTTCGCCGATGTGATTCTGGTAGATGGCGATCCTTTGCGCGACATCAGTGTCTTGCAGAACAGGAATCGTCTACACGCGATTGTAATCAACGGCCACATTCACAAGAATATTCACTCGACAGGAGCGGCTCTGGCGTGAGAACAAGGGAGACGATGGGGCTCAGGAAGGTTTATGCGATTACCACCCTCACTACACAGTCATTGAATGCATCTCAAGGCCGTTGTCGATTGTTATAATCACTTAGAAGTAAACCAAGTCATGTCTCATAAAAGCCAAGCAAAACTCGACGTATTTCTCCACCAATCATCATGCAGAGGCTTCTCCGCATAAACTGGATATTCCCCCTCATTCTGACTCCAAATGCAAAGGTGGCATCCCCAAACCAAAACCACTCCGTCATGTATATCAACCCAATCATCCCCGGGTTCAACCCCGATCCTTCCATCGTGCGGGTTAACTCTGACTATTTCCTTGTCACCTCTTCGTTCGAATATGTCCCTGGGGCTCCGATCTACCACAGCACCGACCTGATCCAGTGGACCCTGATCGGCCATGCACTCACACGCCCGAGCCAGCTGCAGATCCAAACCCCCGAGCCCGGTGGCGGTGTCTGGGCCACCACACTGCGTTACCACAAGGGGTTCTTTTATTGTCTCGCTGCCTGTTTTCAACGCTATCGACCCCAAGAAGACGACCGCGTCTGGCCGCGGGGGTTCTACGTGAAGACCGCGAACATCTGGGATTCTGACTCGTGGTCGGATCCAGTTAACTTCGATCAAGTCGGCTTCGATCAGGATGTGAGTGTCTGTGTCTCCTTGAATTCCGGTCGGGGCTCATGCTGTACAGCTCTTCTGGGACGACGATGGCACCGTTTACCTGTCATCGACCTACCGCAAACTGGATCGCACCCCCCGCGCCGATCTGAAAGACTTCGCCGTGCACATCGTACCGGTAGATCTGGAGACGGGCGCCTCCTTGGCTGAGCCTCGCTTGATCCGGGAATCAGCGTCGGGGGTGGCTGAGGGCTCTCATCTCTTCCGTCGCGGGGAGTACTACTATCTCTTCACGGCCGAGGGAGGCACCGAGAGTGGACATTGTGAATGGGTGTCGCGCAGTAAAACCAGCCCGCTCGGTCCCTGGGAGGTCGCGCCTACCAACCCTCTGTGGCGGAATGGACTCTCCGATGAAGTCCAGAATACTGGGCATGCGGACTTGGTCGAGGATGCCGAGGGGCAGTGGTGGGTGGTGCTGTTGGGGGTACGGCCAGTCTGGCGGGATGGCGTGTGGGAGGAGTCTGTGTTCGGTGAGTCAATCCCCTCAGGTAAGAAAGATGCGCCCCTGTGATTAAGTGTGTGATTAGGCCGTGAAACCTTCCTAGTCCCGATGAATTGGGAGAACGACTGGCCGGTCATCAACGGTGGCAAGAAGATTCCGCTGGAGTACGCGGGACCTCAGCTGTATCAGTGGCAGCCCCCAGTCGCCTGGCGCGATGACTTCACGCAGCCCCAGTTGCAGCTAGGGTGGTACCGAAAGAATACGCCGGTCTTGCGCGACTTTTCGCTCACCGCGCGAGAGGGCTGTCTCCGTCTCTACGGTGGGCCGTACAATCTGTCTGTCCCGACGTGTCCGACGCTCTTCTTGCGCAAACAGACCCATCGCGTCTGTACCTGGGAAACCCGGGTCTCTTTCGATTCGAAGCAGAAGCACACCGAGGCCGGCACGGTGTTGTGGTGGAACTACCTCACGTACAGCAGCATAGGCGTGCAGGGGTCGGACACAGGGGGTCGAATGGTGCGGTTCCAGCCTGCGGAGGGGGAGGCTGTGGAGATACCTCTACAGAATGCGGAGTCGGACGTGGTCTTCGTTGTCGAATGTGGCTCATCGTACCGATTCGGGTTCCGTGAAGCTGCTCCGGATGGAGACCAGACGAGGCTGCAGTGGGTAGGAGAGGTGGGAAATGATACCATGACAAGGCCACCAAGCGTTGGGGCGGCGTTTACTGGAATGATGCTGGGTGTCTATGCCTTTGGCGAACGCCAGAGGTGCTTGGCTCCAGCCGACTTTCATTATGCAATGTGGCGATAAGCTGGGTGACAGAAAATGTGGTGTCACTATATTCTCTACTACATTTGATGCCTGAAAGCAGGTGTAGGGTTCCTTTCTTGCGTTACTACCACGGCTGCAATTCGATCTTTTCTGGGTTCTCCATCATCTACACAAAGAATTTGTCCTCGTTCAGTGCTTGTTATGAAAGACACAAGGGTGTGCTCTGGCCGTGGTCCTTCTTGAAGATTGTTCTCTTTGTCGCGTCTCTACCGCTCGGATTTCAAGTATTCCTGCGTATATACATACACAAATACATCCATGTATAAATACCTTCCCACTACCATACCTCCCCTGTCGATTCACCGATCTCATAAGCCTGAGCCCCAAGTCACAAGATGTCAGGCTGTATACTCACCCCAATGTCCTGCGGGGAATGCCACAGAGAAAACAGCCAAATCCGCTGTAATAGATGCAAGGTCATGTTCTACTGCAGCGAGGAGCATCGAGTCAGCCACCGCCGACAGCATGAGACATTTTGCGACATAGTCGCAAGGCATCGCGCTGATGTGAAGGCCGCCGAGGCCGAACTTCGCGCGCTTGTTGCCAGCGGAGAAGATCCTTTTGTGGACCAAGACTTTCCCATCCCAAGAAACGGACAGGGAGAAGGACTCCAAGGGGCAGTGATGGACGTCAGATCCGCACGCCTAGATCTGCTAAGAGCGCTGGTCTTTATCCGGAGCCTTGAGGCACGAACCGAGACGTTGGCTCACTCGCTAGGGCTGATAAGAGGGCCCAAGTGGACCCGGGGGGAAATCCGTTGCACTGCGGCGGTGATGTTGGATTTAGGGATGGATCAGGAGTGTTGGGACCTCCTTCAATGGTGGGGCAAGGCCAACGGTCAACCGGATGTTGACCAGTTAAGCATCGTCAGCCCCAGCTTGCCAATACTGAAATTCCCGCGTGGGGTCAGCGTGATGGAGCCAATCGCTGGCGACAGTCATTGGATGATCTTCGACTGTGTAGCCCCGTATCTTCTTCTTCTGAAGGTCCAGGCGCTGCTCGACTTGACTCGCTTGTCCCTGTGCACCCCCGCCTTTGCGGACAAGGTGCCCCGGGAGATCTTTGATGGCATCCGAGGGTATATCCCGGTGAGCCCCGGGGTGATAAACCATCCGGACCTCCGGGGGAAGCTGACTTATACCAATGAGATCAAGCAGCTGACGAGGCAGATCGAGACGCTGTGGGATGAGGTCGGGGTTGGCCCTATGGGGGAAATCTCGGACGTGCTATACAAGGATGAGGATTGGCATATGCATCGTTGGAACGATGGCGGCCAGCCTCTATCTCCATGCTTGAATTGCCTTTTCCGCCGGGATCCCGAAGCGGTGGCTTACATTCGGAGCTTCATTTACCGGGATGTGGTGAAAAAGCCATGGTGAAGGGGTTCTATATGCTTCTGTCACACTTACATTCAATGATAATTTAAGATATGGACCAAGTAACTCAAATCGAGTCAAACACATTATTAGTATAACTTGAAAGAAAGTATCATGCTGCCATGCCAGGGGCATTCATCACATGACCATGACCCTACCGGGAGAATTCTTGGTCAGAAAACTGGGGTGTGGTCACATGACCCCAGCCGGGCTTGTGTAGGCTCGGCGAATGGTTTTCTCCGCAATCCCCGGCAATCCCCTGCATTCCCCGGCATTCCCCGGTGATCGCCGACCCTCGCTGACTGCTGCTCTTTCCTTCCCCCACTCCACATACCAACACTTCATCATCCATCCCCATCATCCCATCACACAACTCACTTCATGCGAGGGACCCCTCCTGTTAAGGCAGCCTGTCTGGCCTGGTGTGTCTTTCCTGCGGTATAAACTGACTGACTGTACTGTGCACTACTTGCTCACACCTATCGTCAGCCGTGCGTCCAAAACCCGTTGCGACGGACAAAACCCTTGCAGGCCGGTAGGGCCGATCCACTTTCCTTTGAACTGTCTCGTAAACAGGACCGGGAAAAAACTCATTGCTTGCAATAGTGCCTGGTCAAAAGTCGCATCTGTTCGTATCAGCCTAGTAGACGAGGTGGTCCTCGCCGACGCGCCCGCCGCCTACTTCCGGGGCCGTCTCCGCAGCCCCCGACGGGGGTGGATCTCTCCGAAGACTCGGGCTCCTTGGTGGACGATCCCAGTATTTGGAATACCTTGGCTCTTCTCTCTCCGTACAAGAGGGCTCAGGATGCAGACAGAGGCTCCCAAGACAGGCTGGAAGCGCTCCATGCAGGGACTGCCTGTGAGATTCAAGGGCCGCTCTTGCGGGTCTATACATCCGAACAAGATATGTGCGTACACCCCCAGCTCGCCGAGCTGCTCCGTGATTATTGACCCTGTAAGCATGTGGGCTCAGACTGAACGCATATTACATCTTCATTCATCCCTATTTGCCGCTGTTGCCTCCGCCCGCTGAGCCCCTACGATCAGACCACCCCCAGGTCTACCAGCCCTCGCCCGGAGAGGCGGGGACAGTGGATCAGTCCTGTCTACCCTATCGACCGCTCTCTTGTTTGAGCTTGGCCCTCTCCGCAGTCCTCGCCTTGATCCCGCCCCCGCAAGATGGAAATCCTTCCGATCCTTGCTGTGCGTGGCTGCGCCGGTCATACTCCGGTCTTTTCGCGCAGTCCGCTCTGGAGAGCGCCGAGCAAGATATCGTGGAGCCCGACGCCGCTCGAATCTCCTCTCGTCCTCCGACTTACAGCCAGCGTTTCCACCCCGATCTGCCCGTTACACTCCACCCGATCTTGACCTTGATGGTCCTTGGCGTGTATGACTCTTGTCAAAATGGGAATATCCATCGCATGCGGATGCGGATCAACCAAGCCATCACGACGGCGATGGACGGTTCGCTGCATCGGTTGGAAGAGAATGCATCAGAGGCTCAACGACGGGCATGGTGGATCGCAGTACGTTCCGTCTATCTCTCACGGCTACGCGCAACGCTCACGGCTCTACAGATTATTCTAGGATATCAGTCTTCTGCTGTTAATTCCTCAGTACGTTACTTGTTTGATTATCAGTTACGGTGACGTCCAACGCCGGGCTAATGTCCCACTGCTAGCCCCCAATCATCACCACCAATGATCCTAGAGTCACAACGCCATACCCAGCTTTCGAACTGGGGACGAACGGCCTGGAGGTAACGCTGTCTATTAGCATATAGCAGGGGACCTGTCTGCTAACCCCTTATAGCCGTGGTCACTCATTCTAAAGGCTCATAATGCTCATGACTCAGTCAGCGCCCTTCTGCGCGTGATCACTATGCAGAGTGCTCAATCTTCACCAGCCCCGGATCTAAAAGATAAGATTGCCCGATTAGACCAATCCATCTTGTCACTGGCCTCGGAGTGTGATCTGATTTGTACACCGATGCAAGGCAACAGCACGGAAGGTCTTGCAGGCCGCAGCTTCGGTTTGATTGCCTGCGCACTCATTCACTCGTATGACCTCTGAGCATTAAAAGAGAGTTCACCCGAAATTCTACTGACGCTAACCAATGCACAGTGCGCGGATCAAGCTGCACCGTTTCAGAGCCTTCTCCGACGTCCCAATCTTCCTAGAAAAGCATTGCGATCTCTCCTCACTGCGGATAGACGGCAGCGCATCCCAGGAATTTTCCTCCGTGACAGCCACCGAGATCGACTCGTTCTTCCCGTTCAGCAAGGACGAGTCCTCCATGATCTGTCTGAAATCGTCACTCGCCGTTGCCCGTGCCTTCAAGGATGTACCTTCTCCATACTCGGCCACTTCTCGGTCCACGGACCTAGACAATGCCAGTATGACCACGCTGGCACCCGCGCAAGACGGGTACTACGGGTCCTTGCCGTACTTCAAATGTGCCGCAATGCAGGCGTCCTACGTGCTGTATATGCTGGTGCACCGGGTCCGGGCCGCGCTGTCGTCGAGACGGCTTTCCATCTGCTACCCGCTGTTGAACTGTCCCGAAGCGGGCACCGAAATCCAGGATGCACATCGGTTGATTGAAGAGCTGCGCAACGGCGCCCATTCGCTGATTCTCTCCATGAAGCGGGATCTGGTCTACGAGGGGATTGCGTCGATGGTGAACGATCTCGATGCGGCGTATATCTCTCTATTTGGGTGATTTTCTAGGATCAGTCTGAGATAATCATCATGTGTATACTTTCACGCCAATTGTATATCTATACATTCCTTGTACAAGTTGTCCCACCAAGAATACTTTCTAGCCTCTCAGGCTTTCATCCCGGCACAGTTGCCTTGTGCCTCGCGGCACCCTTCTTGAATCAGCTCATCACATGCCGCTGAATTGCGAGTTCGACCCCGCGCGGGCGCATCGCTTTTCTGGGTACGGAGTATAGCATGTACTTTATTGTATGTACATCCCTGAATTGTTACCTGTGTGAGTTGTGAATCCTCGTCGGGGTTATATTGTTGTCCTCCTGTAACCGCCATCAAGCAAATACTTCCTCCAAATATTGCACCCAGTCCTTGCCCACATATCCCACATACAAGTCCGGTCGGACCACCACGACCTCCTCGTGAGCATCATCCACCCACTCCGCCTGATATTCATACACAAGACTCGTGACTCTTTGCGATGAGGCATGGACATTCCAGAACTCGGCCTTTTGCTGCAGCCGGACAGCTTGATGCTCCCACGTTGTTGGAGCATCCTTCCCGAGGAAGAAGACCTTGAACTTGCCATATTGAAAGATCTCATAGAGCCGAGTCATGGACGGTTCCCACTTAGCAACCTCAGGATTCTCCACCTCAGTCGCGAAGAGTCTGGTCGGCGGAAGATCCGTAACCCAGAGATCGGGACAACGACTGCCAGCGACAAAGTCCGCGTGGGAGGATGTCTTGACGAGGGGAGTTGAAGGGAGATACGACACACCCATTCCTGAATGAGTCGAGTCAGCACGAAGTGATCAGGGGCCGACTCTGGGAATAATACATACCGGTGATATAGGCAGCATTCTTCTCAATAATGTCGACATACTCCAGGGCCGTCTTGACGGTCATGCGTACCAGCTTGGCAGCGACATCGATGACCCCGGTGGCAGTGGCGCGTCGCTCCTCGTCGTAGCTTGCTAGCAACGTCGAGCCCCCAAGGCCCTTGACAGCAAATGCAACGCGCCAGATCAGGTTGAAGGCGTCCGCAATGCCCGTGTTCAGGCCCTGCCCGCCGTTGACGGCGTGGACGTGCGCAGCATCGCCGGCGAGCAGGATGCGACCGTGTCCATCCTTAGAGATGAAGGTGCTGGCAACGCGTTCCTTGACTACACACACCAGGACATCAGAGGAAACCTCCCGAGCACAGGGTTAGGGAAGTACAAACTTTCGAAGGTGCTGAACCACTCCGTGCGCTTGAACTCGATCTTGTGGGGCGCCATATGCTCCCGGATCGAAGCCTCAGCTTTCTCCTGCGTGATCTCCCCATCGAGTAGAATATAAAATCGGCTCATCCCTCGCTCTCTGCATTCGGTCAGACACCCATTCCGTCTCCCGTTTGCATGAACATGCATACCTCGGAATCCACGACACCCGCGACTGCCCATCCTTCTGGAATGTAATGATCTCCGGACAGACGGGAAAGTCCGTCTCAATGAAGGTGTCCAGCACCGCCCAGACCATCTCCGGCTTGGTGCCGGTGAACGGGATGTTTAGGGCGCGGCGCACAAACGAGCGCGCCCCGTCGGCGGCGATGGCGTACTTGGATACAATCGTTCTGCCCTGATCAGTGGTGACCACCACGCCTGCATCGAACTCAGCAATCGAGGTCGCGCGGGTGTGGTATGCCACCGGGATGTCCAGCTGATGGAGAAGAGCTTCTTCGACGCGAGATTGTCCGATCATCAGGAAATTAGGGCGGTGGGTGTGCTTTAGGGAGGTCCACCAGTGGCTTTGCTGGGAGGTGAACCGACCGGCTTCGAAGGTGGAACTCGCTATACCAAGAGAGCGAGTTGTCAGAGCAAGAATCGGTTGAAACTAGGGAAATAAGGGGATGTCTCGTACTGTTACACGTCAACCCAAACGGCTCGAGTAAGGGTAACGTTCTCGATACTTCGAGATATTGCTGGGTGCGGGCATTCAAGGCATCGGCTCGACCCAGGTCAAGTGAGGCTTCTTTGGCGTCTGCACTCGGTGGATTAGTATCGTCAGGAGAGCTGTGGCCGTGGACCAGCTCGCATGATCGTACCGAGAATATACACAGATAGGCCAAGGGTCCGAGCGAGGACAGCCGATAGCAACCCTGTCGGTCCGCCGCCCACGATGACCAAGTCCGTCTGAATTGCCGATGGTGTTTCCTTTGCCATGTTTGCGTGAGGTCGTTAGGAGTTTTGTCGCCAGATGGTAAGACGAATAGTGAGGAAGGGGTCCAGCTCCCATTAAAGTAGACGAGGATCAGGGGGTAAAAGTGAATAGAGAATCGAACAATTAGCATCCATCCCAATTCGTGGCGCCATGCTTCTCTGCTCGAACATGGTTCACTCGTTCCCCTGAGATGCAGAATAGATGACAAGCATTGTGACTAGCCAACTCCCAGTTCATGGATCAATTCCGCGCTTAGAAATGCATCTGAAGTGCAGGAGGACAAGATAGATTAGGTATGTCTCAGCCGCAAGGCTAAGAAATGCTCAAAGCAATGGCGCCACCAGCGCGCAGACCATGGCTCAGGAAGAACAAGCACGAACCACGAAAGGCGAACAATAACCGGGAGAATTATTGGTGAAAAGTCTCCGCCGAGAAGTGGGCCATGGGAGGGTCCAGAGCGAATGATGAAGCATCGGTCCCTGCATCGGCAGTGGGAATCGGGCATTGCATCTGTTTCAGTTCAGTAATGCAGGTTCCACTTGGGGTTACTTACTTACTTGATATAGTAGATGTATAGTGGATATCGACTCGACCATTAGGCTGCCAAGTTCTTCAGCCCAGCCCTACTACTTGGCTTGGCACGGGTGCGAGACGCATTTTGACCAGTTTTACTATCTTCCTATCGTACCATAACCCTTGTAACTCTGACCATGATGGAGATGAGGTTACATCCACTAAGGGAGTGATTGCATGAGCGAGCCCCCTGATCTAGGTACTAAGGTAGTCAATGAGATTCTGACCAAGTCATCTATGTTCCGAATGCGGAATTGAGCCGATGGTGCAGCCTCATGCAATACTCGGAACTACTAGTGTCGGGATAGAATCAGGTTCCTTTTCTTGACAGGCTCATATGGCTTTAAATGTCTCGCTGGACCTCAAGTAGGGAGGACTTCACCAATATAGATCATCACCAACCGCTCAGGGCTCGACATTGAATCGCGTCATAGCAATCGCCCAAGATGAGCGCAGTCATGGTGCAGCCTCCCATCGCTCAATCGACCCTGACCTCGGTCGGGGCCGAGCCGATCTTTGACCTGGCTACCCTCCAGAAGGCGTGGGAGATTCTGAACGTCATCTACCGGTATCGCATGCCCGTTCCAGCATCGCTGGTGGACCGGAGCGACGAGGGGACTCTGAAGTTCCTATCCCTGATCTACACTCGCGTGAGAGCAGGCAAACCAGTCTCCTTGATCCTACCTGCTTTCCCGTTCAAGTCACCTAATCGAAAATACAAAGTTCTTGGGTCTTTACCGGACAAAGGGGAGGACCTTGCCTTGGCCCATCTCAACGGACTATGCGCGGCGATCGCGGACATTTACGAGCCAGGGGCTCAGTTGACCATCGCTTCCGACGGCCTGGTGTATAATGGTAAGTTTAACCGAAACTCTCGATGGACATGTTGGTCGTGGAAAGACTCATAGGGGGTAGACCTGCTAGGTGTTCCCGACGCGGAGGTCTATACGTACGGCGAGGCGCTGCGGAAAATGGTCCAGACGCAGGGCTACCGATACCTCCAGTTCATTCGTCTCCGGGACCTCGTCCACTGGAAAATCGACACTCCCCTTGACGCTACCACCTACGAACAGCTGGCAGGCGCCTTTCGTCAGCGGTTGATTGATAATTTCACGCCCCTGGATTACGACTGTGTCGAGAGTATCAAGGCCGACGAGGATGTGTGCACCACCTACCGAGGATATATCAAGTTTCTGGCCAAGGATTTGAAACATACCTTTGTGGAAGGGGGCGAGGTATCAAGAAAGTCTCACAAGCAGAAGCTCGAGGCTATTGCTAAGCAGATGATTGCTCGTGGAAAGGTAAGACAAACCACCCGGACCACAGTGTGCTGGTACTGTGCTGATACTTAATTTTGAATTTGGCATCCAGGCATTCGCAGAGGCGATCAAGAAGAACTACCCGGACCATGTTCGACTGTCGATTCACCCGTCATGCGGCTCAGCCAAAATCTCCGTTCAGGTCTTGCCTCTGGCCCGTCATTGTGTGACACCCTGGCACTCAACGCCGTGCTTCACCCTCGACGGCCGCGTGGAATATGGCCCACGCGAGTCATTCGACCAAAATCCCAATATTGAATTGGTTTACAAGGCAGGACAGCCGTGGTCCTACCGCTACAAGTCAGATCTATATTCCTGGCCACAACCCGTGGAAATCGAGCCTCAGTACCCTTGTGGCCTGATCATCCGATCCACGCAACCCATGTCGTGCGCAGAAGTGGACATGCGTAAGCTTCGCGCTCTGGCAGAAGAAAACTCCCCCGTCGTTTTACGGGGATTCCAGGATACACGCGACCGGGAGCTTTTCGTGAAAAAGGCCGAGGAGATGGGGACTCCCGTTGGGTGGAAATTCGGCCTCATCCTCGAAGTGAAGGATCACGGCACCGATACCCAGGGCTTGAACAATGTCCTCTCGTCGGAATGGATGCCGTTCCACTACGATGGCTTGTTCAAGCTTGCCAAGATGAAAGACGCAGACGGGCAGGAGGTTGTTCGATCCTGTCCTCCGAAGTAAGTCACTGCCTACGGTCCTAGAGAACAGCCATACTCATTCCATGGCCACCGCACCAGATACCAATTCTTCACGGGAATGACCCCGTCGCCCAAAGACACCGGGTTCACCCTCTTCTCCCCCTCCCACCTGGTCTGGCACTATCTACCATCTAAATACTCGATCGAATACCTGCGCACTCTGTCCTGGACGGTCGAAACTGTCTCCTTCGACCACACCAAGATCACCGATCTCCCTCTCGTGGTGGACCACTTTGCACACCAGCGTCCCTGTCTCCGCTACCACGAGCCGTGGCCGCAAGAGAAGACGGTTTTTGACCCAACCAAGATTACCATCCAGGATGTGCCCAACTCGGAGGAACTGTGCCAAACCCTCGATAGCCTGCTGCACGATCGTCGCGTGGCCTACTGGCATTGTTGGGAGGAAGGCGACTGGCTGATCAGCGATAATGTGACGACGATGCATACGCGCAGCTCGTTTACGGGCAAGTCGGACCGGTGTCTGCGGCGGATTCACGTCGACTAGATTAGTGAGGGGCTAGAACTCTTGCGACCTATTTTAGGAATGTACTATAGTTTTGTAATTTGATTTTCGCCAAATGTCGAGCTGAATTCTTAAGTTGCATGCCAATATGCGGTACCAATCGTGTCGTGCGCCTCGATGCGTGGGGGTTAAGCAGAGATAAAGAGTAACTAACCTAACGTGCTGACACAGGAAGACTTCGCTAACTAACTAACGGCTAGGCACAGCCAAGACGCCAGGGACGAAGGACGGCGGACTTTCCAGGGTCTGGTGGAGAAGCTAGCAAAAATAGTCTGTTTCGTGCAGCCGAGGTTTCCACGGCAAGATAAGCTAAATATTGACCAGAGGGAAAGCTTTTTGCTCGTCCGCGCAGTGCAGATAGAAAGGAGAGGCCAGAATTGTATAAAGAAAAGGAGAAAAAAAAAAATAAAAGAAAACAAGAGGAGAGACAGAAGTTCCCATACAATGGATAATAAGTGAAGTGTAAAGTGTCGCAATTCTTTACAAAGGGATTTTCTCAACCAACACCTGCCAAGATGACCACCGGAGCTAAGATTGATGCTATATTAATTCGATACTACCTATCCATCTAGTGCCAGTGTCACCATATCTAATCCGGGGTCTCTGATTCTCCCCAAACGGTTGCCACTGTCCCCGAGCCGAGATTGCCTCTAATTCCAACAAGGAAAGAAATGGAGAAGGGCTGGACTGGACCCTTGCCTACAGTCCGCGCAAAGCCTCCAACCTCGCCCGCTGAAGCCCCTCCCCATCGAAATTACTCGGGTCTAACCATTTCACAAAGCCCCCCTTTATCGCGGGCCACTCGCCATCCAGAATCGAGAACCAAGCGGTATCGCGGTTCCTCCCCTTGACAATCAGATGCTGTCGAAAGACCCCCTCGGCCGTGAAGCCCAACCGCACCGCCGCCCGCTTCGACGCCGCGTTCAGGTCATTGCACTTCCACTCCAGCCGTCGAAAGTGAAACTGCTCAAACGCCGCCCGCGCGAGCAAGTACAACGCCTCCGTCGCGGCCGTCGTGCGCTGCAGCAGGGGGGAGAAGACTACCGACCCGATCTCCACGACGCGGTTGGCCAGGTCAATGCGCATGAGGTTGAGCAGGCCGACGGCTTGGTTGCGGGTTAGGTCGACCACCGCGTAGAAGACGCTGTCGGCATGGGTGATTAGCGTGTCGAGGAACTGGGTGAAGGTGGGCTTGTCCGCGAAGGGTCCGAAGGGGAGGTAGTCCCAAAGCGAGGTGTGTTCGGGCTGGCCAATGTGGTGGTATAGATCGTCTACATGCTGCTCGGCCAGGGGTTCAACGCGCACGGAGCGGCCTGCGAAGGAGGTGCGGGTCGGCCGGATGGCTGGACTGGTGTCAAGGGGGGGAGTGGATTCAGACATTTTGGAAAATGAAAGCTGGAAAATATTGTACTATGGGAGTTGTGTCAAGGGAGAGCAAATTTCTTCAGCTCATTTCTTAGTGAGGTTAGTAAATGTTAGTGAATTTAGGGCCTGGTGAGTCAGAGCTGACAGCGGCTGATTCAGCAGGGCGGAATGCTTTCCGCGATCGGAGTCTCAATTTAGCCCTGACATTGACAGCTTGGATCTTCCCTGCAACATCAACGTTCGTTGCTACAATACTATACTTCTTAGGCTCGGTTCTAAAGAGCTTGATCAAGTCCAGAACTGCTAGAGCATTGTATAATGTTATCCTTTCGACCCGTCATTCACAAACTTCTTGTTTTCTCACAGGAGGCATGCTATTACTAGGTTTCAGGCATCGTCACGGAGACCCTATGCTCTTAGCTAGATATCATCGAATAAAATACACATGTTAACCATCCAACTCCTAGGTCTGCTGAAGGTGTAGAGTACAGAAAAGCGATAGAGAAGGACAAAGTGATGGACAGCATGTAAGCCGACATGTGCTTCCAACCACAGCCCAGGTAAGGACACCCAGAATCTGGCCTAAGAATCAATGCTCCATCCAACCCCGATACTCCAAGCACCCAAACACTCTACTCCCACCGTAGCTGCGATGATCAACCACGCACTTGCTGAAGGTATCTTTGACAATATTCTCACAGGTGTACTTGGTCCCCTCTTGCCCGGTCGGCGCGATGGGCTTCTGCTTTGGTCCCTTGCATCCCTTCACCCAGGTGATCGTGACATGGTACTGCCAGTTCGTCATCGTGGGGCTGCCCGAGGACCATGTGAGTGGTTTGCTGTCGGGCCCCATCTCGAAATCGATGGAGGGGATCTGGGTGCCGCGCCAGCAGAGAGAGGCGACAGTGTCGACGATGTGGGAGTCGAGTGGTTGGTGGAAGTCTTTGTTGGGGAGGCAAGTCTGATCGCTTATCCGAGGTGTCGGTGTGGCTGTAGCCGACTTGGTAGTGGACGAGCTTTTGGTGCCCGTAGCGGTACTCTTTGTCGAAGTCACCAGCGTAGGATGAAGAGAAATGAAACGCCCCGGGCACCGATCTCGCCGCTGCATATGCCCCTGCGGCTGAGCAACAGGCTGAAGAATCGCCGCCGGATCCCAGAAGTCGTAGTCCATGACATATTGCCCACACAACCACAGCCGCCACTGACCCACAGCCAGAAGGTGATTGCCCGCCTGCAGGAAACTGTTGTACTTGTCGACTTCTATCACGACTTTCCCCACGGAGGAATCATCATTGTTGGACTGCCAGAAATTCGTCGGCTCGTAACCGCGGATGATCGGGGCTTTATCTGCGGGAGCTCCCCCGGTGGGGAAGTAGAGGAATTGGTTGAACTGGGCAGCGAGCCATTTGACTCGGCGGGCGTACATATATTCTTGGGGTCGCCATTCGGGCAAGAAAGGGGTGATGATGATGAGCTGAGGGTTGTTGGTGCGATGCAGGGGGCCGGGGTTTGCGTCCGTTCCCCACAGATCCTGCAGGGGCTCGATCTGATTGTTGACCACTCCGGCAGGCCCGGTACGCCCGGTACTCAGTGCGGTGAATGTTTGCTCCATGAAAAAGTCGTCGGCGACATCGGGTTCGGTCGGGGTGCGGAAAATGGGGGACTCGAAGATGTGCGAGAGGTAGACGCCATCTTTCGCGACGATCATCAGCACAGTGCAGCCGTGGAGGCCCTTCACGCCGAACGCGGACTGCAGATCAGGCCAGCGATACCATTTGCCCGTCACTGGCTCGCTTTGGCTGGCCCAGTGGTCGTTCTGGGTTATAGCGTGGTTGAGCTTGGGCAGATAGTGGTTTGGGTCCACGGCGGAAAGATCCTGTAGGGCTCGCTTGCCGAAGGTATAGGTTTGATTGGATGATTCGACTCCTGTGTCCTTGCCAAGAGAGCTATACCGGCGATGAATTCTTCCCCCGTTGCCCGTAGGCAGTGCTCCTACGGTACTGGTTGGGATAGAGGCACATTCCACCGATGAGATGGACACCCATCCCCCCTTCCCGGCTAAGCATGCAGCACCGCAGTTTTCCTGTGCGCAGAGGCGTCTCGTCGGAGTGGAGCTCGGAGTGTTGGTGATTGTGGTCGTCGTTGCGGTGACAGAGCATCCCGTGGTGGTGATGGTAGTAGTCCGGGTGCATGTTGTGGTTGTAAATGTCGAGCCACCGGTAGTGATGGAGGTTGGCTGGCAGAGGATCGTGACATGGTGTGGGGTTGACTGCGAGGTACATGACGAGGACGAGGACGAGGACGAGCGGCTGGAGCTTTTCTTGTCATTGCCAGGTCCGTTAGTCGCCGAGGTTTTAGGGTCAGCAGGGGGCTTTTCAATGTCCAGAGCCTTCACGATGTCTTTGACACCCTTGACGTCCTTGTTCTTGATTCTTTCCACAAGGTCATCCAGTTTGTTGTCAAGACAACCGAGCTTATCCAAAATCTGGCTGGTGGTGTCTCCGGCGAGGTTCAGAAGACCGTCAAACAGACCGCGCTTCTTTTGATTGCACTTTGGGAGCTTCTCGCCCATGTTCTTCGCCAGATCAGCAATATCATCCTGGATTCTCTTGACGTTGTCGATGACTTGTTTATCTGGCCGTGGCTCGGGGCTCAGTTCCCAGAATGTGATAATTGTGACGACGTTGTGAAAGCGGACGGCGATGACGGACGCGCTGGAGGTAATCATAGGGCTTGGAGGCAGGCTGGTAGTTATGGAAGGTGGCTGGGTGAGCGTTACACCGGCAGGGCCAGTGACACTTGATGCTCTGGTGTGGGTGGTACTGATGATCCCCGTTCCATCACCTGTAATTTTAGCATGCGCAGTCCCGGTCGTCGCGCCCCCACTGGACTTAGTACTGCTTTGCGCGGAACTGGTCCTCCCCGTTACGTCGGTGGTACTACTTGTGGATGCTTGTTTGACACTAGACGTTCCACGAGAAGACTGAGGCTCGGCAGTAGAAAGCCAGGATCCGCTGCTGTGAGTTCCACCAGTCGGCGCCGTTCCATGGTTTGAGGTCGAGGTGGTTTTGACCGGTGGCCATGTCCCGATTCCTGGCAAAGACAGAGTAAAAGGAAAAGGAAAGACGGGAATTGTAGCGGTAGACGAGGAGATCTTTGAGATTGTAGGCCCACTAGTAGTCGATAGAACACCTTGAGTCGAAGTCGCAGGTCCGTTAGAGGACTTCGAGGTTGTAGAGGTAACAGCAACGGGAACGGACGAAGTGACGCTGCCAGTCTGCGAGATAATTGCTCCCTTTTTGACAGTGTAAGTATGTGTCACGAACGTGTGATAGGTGACGCAGGAGGTGCTCGTCGCTAGGTTGGTCGTCTCGACGATGGTGGCATCAGAAAGAGATGAAGAATCGCCGACTGCAACGCCAGCAGCGACAGCGAGGCTGAAGACAGACCACAAGGTGGAGAGCTTCATGGTTTCTGTCGAGTTGGAGTTGACATACGGTATGGAAGGAGGAAGGGGAAGTGATGAGGATGAGAGGAGGAGAGAGGGTGGGAGATGGAGAGAACAAGAGAAGAAGTGTTGAGGCCATTATAATCCTTGAGAACCGACACTATCTCACTATACATTCACTATCACCAGTTGTGGAGGGAAAGTAAGTTGATATCAAAGATGGTACAGGCAGTGAATGATGAAGTTGCTGGGGGGGTGATTGGCTGGGAGATGGATTATGCTGGCAGTTAATTCTTCATATACAGGAACTCCTTGACTGGGCTCTAGATAAACCGAAACTTGCCGGTTCTCCTGTCTCTGTCGCTTTTTCTTCGACTTGAAAGTGTTGAACTTGAACATGGGGCTATATAGCAGCTCAAGCTAGAACGAGACTCCCCAACAGGAGATCTAAGTTGAGCGAACAAACCCTGCTTCCCATGCTCTGGTTTTTGATACAGGCAAAAGAACCAGTTGCTTAGGCCTCTGCACGCGGACAAGGCAGATGATGGTTTTGATTCGAATCCCTCATCAGCAGCCTGTTTGGTTCTACTTTCTTCGGCGTTGTAAACCAGTAGACCATTTGCGTTGCTCTATGGAGTTAGCTGCCATGCTATTATGCGTCGGTTGCTTAGATGGGCATGTTAGAGACTTCCTCCTATGTAAGTCCCACACCTCTAGTTAACCGCTTCGCGTAGTCTATACGAGGATTTGTATCTGTCTCAGACGAGATCTATCAGTCAAATGACTGCCGATGGGTTGCGGTCTGTTGAATATCAAGGTCATGGAACAGTTATCGTATGCTATATGGCAGCGAAAACATTCCGCCACGACCGTCCACCCACTACTCAACGCCCAAATAGTTTCAAGACGCCACACAAGCAGCTTGCTAGTCTCTGCTTATCCGACTATACAAATACTGAAAAGTAGTTCAAGTATAGCCACTTAGATAAACAAACACCCGTACTGCTCTTCGCCATACTCCTACGTGGTTTCTGCCTTCTAAAAACCAAATGTGTTGCAATGAGGAATTGTGTATTATATAAGTGGCATTAGAGTGAAGACATGCATATCTTTGAATCTCCCAGCCATTCAAGCCTGTTTACAGTCAATGAATTCAGACTCACCGATCTTGGTGACCTCTTCCGGCATAGCCCGATACTTTCCGAGTTTTCTGCTACTAGCAAGTCCTCAATGGACTTTTTCTCATAACCCTCCACCTCCGACATATCCGACCCGAGAAATTTTAGCTGATCGCCATTTCCCCAGTTCTTACGCGTGTACCAGGCAAGCGCTAGTGGGTCGTTGGCCTCGATCATGGCGTGGTGCTAAAGATTGACGCAAAGGCTGCTGCAACATATTGATGGGTACTAAACGGAGGAGTTCATTCAGTGGCAGCTAGGGAACGGCGTTGAAGGGGGGGAATTACCAGAGATTCAGTGGCTGCGATGCACTGTTTCCTGTGAAAATAATGCAATTATGCCTACAGTCCACCCCCATGGCTCCGTAGACAGATGTCAGCCGCCAGCCTCTTGTTTTTCTGGCCCAAACACAAGGCGGGAAAGGGGTCTACTTACGGTGTATCAAGCGCAAATTCCGCGAAGTTGCCGAACAGCACGACTGCTGTCGGCACGCCCAGCCTCTCCGCTGCCTCTTCTACTTTGATCTTGGCACTGATGAGCTCTGTCCCTAGTCCCTGCCTGCGGTAAATCACGGCGAGATTGGAAGGAACAAACAATTGAATCTTGGTCTTCAGGTTCGCTCTGATCAGATCGTACTGGCAGTCAATCCCAGAGTGGCCGACCAAAGAGCTATAGTCGCCCAGTCACTTCTGTGAATCCTGCAATCTTCCATCAAACAGCAAGGGCATCTCACATGAGAATATCGACATTCCGGAGAGCAGCCACCAGAGCCTCCTCATCGCAAGCCTTGGGCATTGGAGTCTGGCCGATAAAGAACCTTGACGTCAGCGGACAATTCGCTCAGTCTCTGAACAATTCCAGATTCCATCCAGCCCCAATGGCCATACACTGCGATACGATTCGGCATGCTGGTTGCAGTCACGGATGGATCTTGTTGTTCGCACTATAAACAACCAGTGAATGAAGTGGATGCTGGGAGAAGACAGAGACCAGAGTTGATGAAATATAAAAAAAGTGAGAAGAAGACTATTCCATATTCAAGTCCCCATCGTTCTTTACAGTCTGTTCGACTCTTTGGTGAGCATGGCAGATGATTACTAGGTACCGATAGGTATCTTATCTATATCCATACAATTATTCTGTTTGTTGGATTTGAACAGTTTGCACTCGATGGGAATAGTCCAATCAAGCGCACAAGCAAACACACGCAGACAAGCACAGACAAACACAGACAAACACCTAAAAATGCTACTCAACTGCTGCCGGCTATGGTGGAGCACCAGTCTGTACTCCGAGAACAGTCATGTGACGTTGTCAATCCCCCGCGTTTCTCAATGTACTCTTTATCCATTTCTTTCCAACACCTTATTTACCCAATCTAGCTCACGAAATATGGGACTCACAAGCATCAAATATTATGGAACTACTGCCAAATGAATTGCTTACCTCTATCGGCGAATACAGTCGGGAGGGCAGATACCGCTCAAGAACCGTGCGGGCGCTGTGTCTATGCTCGAAGCGGTTCCATCATGTCTTTCAACCGCTACTTGACTCCGACATCCTTCTTACCGGGAATCCCACCACGGCCCGGGATATCGCCCTGATCATGCGACTCTGGAAGAATCCAGTGCTCGCTTGTCGCGTGCGTCGGTTTGAGGTTCTGTGGGATGGATCTGCCAGGGCAAGGCGACGCCATGGGACATTCAATGCCCAGCAGCCTGAAGCCGTGGTGTTCATCGAGCACGCTCTGACCGAGATCTTCGGCGATCAGCAACCGAGTCTCAAACGCGGGTGGAGAGTGCATCTATACAACCTAAACACAGAGGCCTGGGCGGCGATCCTCCTCGTCCGCTTGACTCGTTTGCGGACCCTGGTGCTGAACGCCAGTGAAGACGAGGGATTGGTGGCAGAGATTATGCGCAGGGCTGCGCAACGACAGCGGCCCTTTCATCGAGCGCCACCCTTCCCAATCCTCCACAAAATCCAGGCTGAGGCCGCCTGGAGCAGGACCTGGAGGTAACCTGAAGCCGGTTGGCTCGAGACGTTTTACATTTCCCCTCGGACCGCCAGATTAGCAAATACCACTACCTTTACCTTGTTAGATCATGTATAAGCACATACGACCACTGGGTGTGGAAAACAGGGCTTCCCGTCCGCTCAGCCGTACTTAAGCCACACGCCGGAAGGTTAGTAGTTGGGTGGGTGACCACCAGCGAATCCCTTCTGTTGTATGTTTTGGTCTTTTTGTGTATTCTCTTTTTCGTCTGACTGCTTTTTCTTTTTTCTTTTTTGTTTTTTGTTTTTTTTTTATGCCATGCCTTTGCGTCAGTATATAGGCCGCATGGATAATATCCTCAGCATGTTCAAAGAAGGAGCGGTCAGCTGGGGGTGGAGGCGTTCATCTCGCTGCCAAGAATATGTCAGAAGCCTGAATGTATAAATTGGCCGCCAGGTACTCCTCTTCTCACCTCTCTAATCACGCCGGGAGACAACTGTAAGTCAAACACTGATCCAAAGAAACAGCCAGGAGCGGCAAATACTGCGTTGATGTCCGCGACAGGTACTTGTTAATCAGTATGAATAGAGCAACGCGCAGGGATTATCGATCTTTGTCTTCACCCAGCGCCGCTCATAGAGAGACCCTCGCATGGGTCTGGCGGTACTTGGGGTATGACCGAGGTAGGGGATTCAGGACTGAGAACCGAGTTTCCTGATCTCACCCAGTGGTGCATATAGACATCCATCCGGGCGCACATAGGGTCAGCAGGTCATTCTTACTAATCAATTTCTTAGCTCCCCTCTGTGGCAGCTCTATCAAAGTAGCAAGCATGTCCAGGTGTTTGAGCCACATAATCCCTGTTGAGCAATGGTGGCATTGCAAGATCCCTGTCAACGTGCATAGGCGGCTATGCTACGACCCCGACTCAGCCACCCTGCTGTTCAGCTCGGTCGCAATTCTGTTGTTTCTCAAAGTTCAAACAGTTCTCCGCTCGCGGCCTCTGCTCAAAGCATACTACTGGGACTACTGTATCACACATCTACATCTTCAGAATGAGTTTCGGCTTTGGTGTCGGAGACTTCCTCGCCACTCTGCAACTCGCCGACAACTTGAAGAAGCGGTTCGCACAAGCGCCCAGTGGTTTTAAGGCCATTTCTGCAGAGTAAGTCATATGTCGCCTACCTGAAGAGCACATGAGAAGATAGAAGGTAAGAATGACAGCTGATGGCAGCAAACAGTGTGAAAAGCCTGTGGGCTGTCCTCCATGACCTCGACGACATTCCGAAAGACGGCCTCAGTGCAACCCAAAAAGCGGAACTGGATGTCATCGTTCAGCGAGGCCGCGAAGTTCTAATGGAGATCGAAGGCAAGCTTAGCAAATACAATGTCCTCGCGTACACGGCCTCGGACTGGAAAAGCAAGGCGACTCGGGCATGGAGTCGAGTGAAATGGGATCCGGTTGAAGTCGACAGCCTGCGGAACCGTATCACATATTGTCTTTCGCTGTGGAACTTGGTCATGAGCAAGATGAATCAGTACATTGTACTCTGGCTCTCGTTGGGAGGAGGTTTGGCCACTGACCACAACGCCGATAGAGACTTGACAGCCGACATCGGGGCAGAAGTCCACGCTATGAAAGACACCCACGATGCGCAGTTACACATCGAAATGCTTGCCTGGATTTCTCCCATCGATACCTCGGAACGGCAGCGGAAGTCCTTTGACATCCACGGCGAAGGAACGGGTAGATGGTTCTTGGAGAGTGAACAATTTGTCCGCTGGATTTCTTCCGACGCAGGCGATCACGCCTTGCTCTGCACTGGAGCTCCCGGGGCAGGCAAGACAATCCTAACTTCGATCACAATCGACTACCTCCAGAAGAAACATTCCCACAAGGACGGCATCGTCATCGTCTACCATTACTTTCATTATCAAGAGCAGCTTGGATATTCTGATATCCTTTCCAGCTTTCTGAGACAACTGGTCCAGGCCAACCCAGGCCTTCACGAGATCATCGCTAGGAAATTTCCCCGACGATGGCGAGCGCACAACCGCCTGACAGGCGAACAAGTGCAAGAAACATTGAAGCTTGCGTTAGTTGAGTGTAACGAGCTTATATATGTTATCGATGCACTGGACGAATGTTCTGACCTTTATGTGCGACGTCAACTCCTTGCCTGGGTCAGGGACACCCTAAAGCCCAACGGCCGTACTAAGGGTAGATTCCTCGCAACAGCCCGTCACGGCGACCATTTTGGCAAATTCTCCCCTGGAAATGTGACTTGCTTGGAGATCGAAGCGAGCAGAGGCGATGTGGAAAGCTTTCTCGATGGAAACGTAACATATTTGCCAGAGTTCCTTCAGGGGAAGCCCGAGCTCTGGAAGTATATTCGACACCAGATCATTGAATCCGCGGGAGGGATGTGAGTAGCAAGGTGCCTGGCCAGTTCCAGAAGACGGTGGTTAACAACTTCTCCAGATTCCTACTGGTTCGCCTCTACTATACCCTGCTTCTCGATGAAAAGAACGAAAAGGGCGTCCGAGCGCTGGGATAGAAACTGCATTCCAACTCGGGAGCTTACGATTACGCATACGGTGAGACGATGAAGAGGATCGAGCAACAGAGCGCCGTCTCCCAGGATCTCGCCAAGCGAGCTTTAGCATGGATTGCATTCTCTGCACGACCACTCTCTGCTGTAGAGCTACAGGACGCTATAGCAGTGGAAATTGGTGCACCCGAGCTCGACGAAACCAATGTAACTGGTATTGACGATATAGCTTCCGTCTGCTGTGGGCTAGTCGTGGCGGACAAACACGCCAACACCACTCGGATGGTACATCTCACGGCCCAGGAGTATCTGAACCGGACCTGGCAGACTTGGTTTCCGGACATGCATGAATGCTTGACCAATACATGTCTTACGTACGTATCGTTTGAGGATTTTGACGAGCGGCGACAAGCAGTGCCGCGACCAGAGTACCCTTTCTTTTCGTACGCAGCTCACGAGCTAAGGACCCATCTGCGTCACAACCTGGGCAAAAGTTCGCTTCTCATGACATTCCTCGAGAATGACTTCAAGGTTCATGTGTGAGATGTTTGGTCTAGAAGCGGGGCTCAAATTCCCTGGAATCCATCTCGTAGCGCTGCTCGGTCTTGAAGATCATGTTGCCAAGTTCATCTTTCGCCCTGGGACCAAGTGGGCAGACGCTCGGGCGGACGCTCGAGACTACCTTGGCCGTACACCTCTAATATGGGCTGCTGCGCAAGGCAACAGCAGCGTGGTCAGTACCTTGCTTGGTTTCCAAGCCGATATCAATGCCGAGACACTCGAGGGTTTCACACCACTGTTCTATGCAGCAGCATATGGTCATGCCGAAATGGTCACCATGCTGATCAGCTGGGGCGTGTACATCCATTCTCAGACACGCAGTAAGGAAACTGCACTTTTCGCCGCTGCCAGAGGCGGGGCCGGGGTTCAACTCGGTCCCGAGTCGTTCTTTACTATGGGAGACCATGCCCTGGTCGCACAATTGTTACTCGACGCAGGGTCCGACGTGAACCACCAGAACATATGCCAAGAGACCCCTTTGTACACCGCAGCAGCAAATGGCAATATCAAGGTTGTTGAGCTACTCCTTGGCCGGCAAGCTTGCGCACGGGGCAGCCAAAAGCCGGATAAAGATCCTTTGACCGTTGCAGCACGGAAGGGCCATGTCGCAATCACTCGACTCCTATTGAAACACGGCGCATATGCTCCCCGCCTGGTCATGGATACAAATGTCTCGCCGCACTTCTGGGGGTTGTCTTGCTTGGCCGAATCTGGCTTGGACGAAGAACAAGAGGCCTTTGCGGCCATGCTGCAGGACTCCGGGAGTCCTGAATTCTGCGATGAGTTTCAACGCGTTCCATTGCACTGGGCCGCCGCGCGAGGCGATGCATCTCTTGTGCGACGCATTCTGCAGGCGGGCTGCAGCCCCGATCCCCGAGACATATTCGGTCGAACGCCCTTGTTTTCTGCTGTCTGCTTCAACAAGGTCGAGGTGGTTAAACTGCTGCTCGACCATCCCGACATCGAAATCCGGATTGAGGACACGTTGGGATTCACACCACTTCAAGAGTCCTACCGAAGACAGAAATCTAAAAGCAATTCATACCGTATGCAGAATCCAAGTGCTTCTCCACCTTGGGCAGAGGTCACCGAACTTTTGAAAGGCAAGCTCGGCATGGGGCACGAGGATCCCTTACCAAGCATTGAGGGCCTGTTCTTTGCTCGTTACGAGTTGGCGCAACAACCCTTCTCTCCAAATCGCGATGTTTGTTTGGATGTTAAAACCGTGGGGCGTGATCAGAGGTGCCATGACTGCGGCGTGATATCCAGAACAGACGGTGGTACTGGGTTGAAGACTGTGATTTACTGTGGGAGCTGCATTCAGGGGATAAAAGACTGCCCCCTCTGTCACAAGCCCTTTGAGCTTCTGGCTCCGTAGTGGCAAGGAAGTTAATATCATGAATCATGTCACCTTCGTCTACTTGTTCATCCTATTCTACGGAGTGAGTGACCGCGTTATATGGTAGATATAAGCTTCTTCCTTGATTCCCCCTTCCAACCTCGTCCGATCCCAGCTCGCTACCCATTGTCCGAGACCCTTTCACTTAACAAGTCACCGTAGTAGCAGGGTAAACGCTCGGCTCCGCGGTCAAGCGCAAGTGACCCTCCCAGGTCCCTCCATGGGTCATCGTACAGCAACCACGGACGGCGCCGGCGGCATTCAGGGCGGTGGCACACTTCTCGACAGCGGCTAGGATCGTCTTTTTCTCCGCGGTGGTCTCGCAGTTCGAGCCGGAAGTCGTGGCCTCGTAGGCGTAGCCCTCGACATAGCTTTCTTCGGAGTCGACGCCGTAGGTGACCGTGCACGAGTCGGCGGTGGACTTGGCCTTGATGATCGCGGCAATGTACTGATAGATATTGACGCCAGCCTCGGCGGCTAGAACGACGGTCGAGACTCCGCCGACCACCGTCGCGTAGGCCACAGCAGTGGCGATCCCCGTGCGCTTGGCGAGCTCCCCATCCTGCGCGTAAAGACTCACGTAGTCGGCACTGACCGTGTCAAAGGTGACGTTCAGGTTTGTACCTGCCCCATCCCACTCGGTGGACTCCGGGATGTAAGTTACGTGAGTCCCGTTGTAGCCCGCAAGGAAACACCCAGCAAGGCCAAATGCGAGCAGACCAGAAAGAACTTGGCGGGAGAGGACCATTCTCCGGTTCGGTACCGGACAACAGCAGCACAAAGATCAAGGATAACAGTGAGAAAGATGATATACCCGTCGGCAAGCATGGTTGAGGCTGCGATAAGGCGGAGAAAAGGAGAGCTGCGACTTGAAAGGATTCAATGGGTTGTGTGGGAATCAAGGCGATGGGAGCTCCTGGTGAATGACTGGCCTTTTATATCTTTTCTGCCGCCCCTTGAAAGCCACTAGACCCGAAGCGAGGCAGTTGTTGTGACCTTTCTCCAGCTATCGTGCTCCACGCTCAGACCTCCTGTACCCTATCGATTTCGCGGTCAGAGGTGGTTATTACAGAAGGAACTCCCGTTGCGGCTTTGCTGTGGGTCCTCGTGGGAAACTATTGATCGACTTGGCAATGTCAAGCTTACCTGGGCATCGGTCGGGACTCGGAAGGTGTCCGAGATACTGAGTCTATATGCAGTTAATAGGAATGGTGTGGAGAACCTCGCCCAGATACGTGTCGTGTCTCTCCGTATGGTACTCATTGTAATGCATGAATGTATAGGTCCAGATCTCGTGCTGGTCGAATCTTCAGGTCACCTCTGACAAACCATTCCCTTCTGTGTGATGGCTCTCTGGATTTGACTTACCCACCTCATGCTATGCACAATAACATCACCTGGTGGCGGGTAAAGATAAATCCGCGGCAACCGTGGTGGAGGAAATCTCTGTTGCCATTGATATAGATAACGTGCGCCTAGAGTGGGGCCGGATAGGCCTTAAGCTTATTCCCCCCTTGGTCTGCGAACGGATCATTCCCCGACCAATCGTTGAGCCTTTTCGAGTTGAAAGGGAAGGAGGGGGGGGGGGGGGGGGGGCAATCAAGATATAACTTGGTCTCTCTGAGCGAATTCGGACACACTCAGAGTCTCAGAGTTGACAAGACAGGCCACGCTCGGCCTCACCGACTAGGATAGAGGGTGCAGGTTGAATTGCTTCAACCATTCTGACCCTGAGTCTTTCGTTCCTGGTTGCCAACGTCGGACGATTGGGAATGCGACTGGTCCTTCTGCGGTATTTTATGGACTTGAATCAGGACGGCTTGAATTATTCGTGGCCGAAGTGCCACCGAGCCGTTGCCGGAAAAGGCATTAGTGTGAGGAATGCAGCCCGGAGCCCCCTGTGGGCATTCGAAAGATGATTCCTCGACAGGGCTCTACAGAGGTAACTCGGTCCGCGGTGAAAATATGAGCCCCACTAAGGGCCCTAGGCAACATTGAATTACTTAGTGCCAGCCGATGTTGTGAGATGTTGACCATATACGTATCCAGAACTGCAGAGCATCACCTATGTTCAAAGGTTTGATCACGGAAAGCCTTCAATAGCGCTCTGATCTGGCCACCTTTCTGCCCTATCTTCTTGTTCCATAGACACAACATCATTTACAATCTACGATCCAAGAGGAGCTTATCACACCACTAGCGCGTTACAGTTTGACAAACTTGGTTTGTGATTCTTTGATTCCAGGCCCAACCACGCTGATATGTCACATTCAAGCAGCTCTCATGAGGAGAAGAGATTTCTATGTCATATCTGCGACAGGGTCAAAGCTTTTCGGCGAAAGCTTCAAGTGCGAAGTCCTCCCCAAAAATAAATAACTCATCTGTCGGATTTCAATGCATCTAGAGCGTGCACAATCAAGGAGGCTCTCATGTCTGGTGAGGCGCTGCTACTGCGCCCTAGTATAGAGTTGGCGTCAATTGGATGATATCTAAGAAGCACCATCTCAGGATAGACCTAGATTTGACAAGCCTGAATTTTTCTTACTTTGGTGTGTTCACAGCCTTAAACCTGTTCCGCCAGAGTCCGATTTGCAGCCACACTGCCATTAGCCACGGGTATAAATGCGGGCATAACCATCGAGTCGTCCTTTTCTTTGCTGACCACCTCTTCACGGGATCCATAGCCACCACCACCAGGGGTCTCGATCATGAACCGATCGCCCGGTTGAACCTGGACCGAGCTCTTCCCCCCGACATTGACCCGGCGACCAGCCTTCGTGATCCAGGTATTCTTCCCCCGCTGGCCATCTTCTCCGCCGGCCATTCCGTAGGGTGCGAAGCTCCGTCGTTCCGAGAGAATCGACACCGACATGGGGAGCCTTGACTCAAGCTCCCGGATCACTCCATCGCCACCGGGATACCTGCCCGCCCCACCGCTGCCGTGACGAAGACTGAACTGTCGCAGAAGCACCGGATATCGCCGTTCGAGCGACTCCGGGTCGGTGATCCGCGTGTTGGTCATGTTGGTGTGGACGCCTCCGGTTCCCGCCCAGCTGGGGCCGGCACCGCCGCCCCCGGCGATGGTCTCGTAGTATCCGAACCCATCCTCGCCGTCGTTGCCGAAGGTCAGGTTGTTCATGCATCCTTGGCTCGCGGCACACACACGGAAGCTCTTGAAGATGACGTCCACGATGCGCTGCGACGTCAGCACATTGCCGGCGCAGACGGCCGCTTCCGGGTTGGGACACAGGAGCGAGCCCTCCGGGATGACAATCTTGACGGGCTTGACACAGCCATGGTTGAGCGGGATATCCGAGTTGACCATGCAGCGCAGGGCAAAAATGACCGCAGAATTGCAGATTGCGATCGGAGCATTCCAGTTTCCTGCCACCCACTGGGTTAGAGCTTGATGTCCAGACTAAACGGAAGGTCGGTGAATGTTCTTACCGTATACTTCTGGACCAGTGCCGGTGAAGTCGAAAATGGCGGACCCATCGGTAGGGTTGATTGTCACTTTCAGTTTGATCGGGGTGCCGTCGTCCATATAGTCCACGGCAGAAATGTCGTCTGCACCGCGCTCATGCGCGAGACGCTTCAGCAGAGTGCGCACGGCCATCTCGGCTGCATCTTGAATTGCACCCATGTAGACCTATTGTTGGTGAGCTAACTTATTTCTTTTCTTGCGCGGTAGTTGGCACGTACCTGAACGACCGGGAAAGAGTACTCTTCAATGAGCCGTTGCATGAGACGAGCGCCGCAGTGGTTTGCGGCGACTTGGGCCTTGAGATCAGTGACATTGTCCTGGAACCGTCGGGACCCGCTACTGCCTGGGTAACGTGCCGGCTCCACGCATAGAACGCGATAGAGCTCATCTTCATCGAAGTGACCCGCACGAACCAGGAGGTGTGAGTTGAAGATAGCACCTTCTTCTGCGAGTAGCTTTGACATTGGTGGCATCGAGCCGGGGAGCATCCCACCCACCTATAGCGAGAGGGATATTAGTGGGTGTGATATCAAGCAGTTTCAAATTAAAAGATCCTCACGTCAGCATGGTGGCCGCGCGAAGCGGCCCAGAATATAATTTTCTTCCCAGCAGCGTCGAAGACTGGACTAATTACCGTTAGGTCGGGGAGATGAACACCCCCGTAGGCTTTGTTGAGAGTTAGCGAGGGGCATTGACATGGTCTTGGGCAAGGGTCAGCTGATACACGTACCTGGAGTATTGGAAAGTAGCACATCCCCATCTTGCAACTTTCCCTGCCACTCAGCAATCTGCGACCGTACGGCAAAGGCCATACTTCCAATCATGGCTGGTACATGAGGGGCGTTGGCGACCAAATCCCCTTCCGGTGTGAAGATTGCACAGGTGAAATCTAGTCGCTCCTTAATGTTCGCGCTGGTGCTGACGTTCTGCAGCACGCGGCCCATTTGTTCAGCCACTCCCATGAACCGATGGCGGAAGATAGAAAGCTGAATTGGGTCGATGGTTTCCGAACTAGTCGACTTGGAGTTTGGTGACTCGATATCAAGAATCAAGCTGTCTTGAGCGACGGTCGCCTTTGCATCTGGACTGACAACGATAGTCTGCGTTTGGTCGATTATCATCGCGGGTCCTTGGATTTGACTTTCCACAACAAGAGTATCAAGCTTAAAGACAGGAGTGTCCACCCAGCCCAGCGAGCTAAAATACGTGGAAGCTCTCGAGCTCGGGGTAGCCTCCATTGTAGCAGATGTAGAATGTGAGAGAGACTTGGCTTGGAGACGCGAGGAGCTTTCCTGGAAAACACTGCACCCAATTGCGCGGACACGGATGGTGTCCACATACACGACACGGTTCACAGGAGTAAATCCAAATTGCTGATGATGTGCATTTACAAATGCTTCTTTCGCGTCACTAGTGGGGCTATCCCAGGGTATCATGATGGAGGTTTCACTGCCATCGTATCTCATGTTCAAGAACCGGCAAGCTTGGACATTGTTGAATGGCTCCATCGTCTTGCTACGTCGGGCAGTCTCGACGAGGTTGTCCAGGGAATTATTGAGAGCCTCAATAGTGGACTCATCAAACGCCATCGTGCAGACTCGCTCTTCTTCATGCACTACATCTGCTAGACCAATTCCATAGGCAGACAAGATGGAGGAATATTTGTGGATGAGCACACGTCGGATACCGAGATCGCTAGCAATGGCACAAGCGTGTTGGCCACCCGCGCCGCCGAAGGAGGCGAGATGGTGTTTGGCAACATCGTGGCCCTTGTCCAGGGTCAAGCTCCTAATCGGCCCACACATTGCCGAATTGGCGACTTGGAGGAAGCTTTTGAGCAGGTACTTGTCAGCGTAAATTGCATGCGTTAAAGACGTGCTATCACTCACCCATCTGCGACTTCGGCCCATGTAAGTGACATGCCGGTCTCCTCGTTTATGACCTGGGTCAGGTCCTTAAATTTATGGAGAACGATGTCTCTGTCTAATGGCTCGTTTTCGTTCGGACCGAAGACCGATGGAAATTCTTCAGGAATCAACCGACCGAGCGCGAGGTTGGCATCCGTCACGGTCAAGGGACCACCTTTGCGGTAGCAAGCAGGACCAGGATTGGAAGAGGCGCTCTCCGGTCCTACCGACATGAGTCCATCCTTCCAGCTCAAGATACTGCCGCCGCCCGCGGCAATTGTATTGACATTGAGTTGTGGAGCATGAATGGTGATCCCCGCCGTCGTGGTCTCGAAGATATGGTCCAGCTGGCCGTCATATCGACTCACGTCAGTGCTGGTTCCTCCCATATCGAAACCAATCACCGGATTCCGAGTTTCGGGATCGAAGCAGGTCCGCGCATAGCCAATCACGCCTCCTGCTGGCCCCGACAGAATGGAATGAAGCCCCGAGAGACTTGAGGAAGGGACTAGACCTCCATCGGACTGCATAAACTCCAGTCGTGTGCGACATTCTTCAATGTTGGGAAAGCTTTGTGAGAATTGTTGAAGGTATCGTTTGATGCTCGGAGTCAGGTATGCGTCAACAACCGTGGAATTACCGCGGGGGATGAGCTTCGGCCTTGCAGATGTCTCATGTGAGAGCGATACATTGTCGAACCCAATCTCGAGCGCTAGATCTCGGATCTGAAGCTCGTGCCTCGGAAAGCTGTACGAATGCATCAGACACACTGCCAGGGAGCGGAACCCTCCGTCGTAGATTCTCTGGAGATCAAGTCTCGTGCTAGCCAGATCTAGGGGCTGGAGCAGGTGGATCATCTCCCCGGACTCTCCCATGACCTGTTCCACGGGCTCAGGGGATGGCAGATGTATTCTTCGGAGATCCGAGTCGCTGCAAGCCTGCACAGTCACTCGCTCTCTGACTTCGAAGGCGTTTGAATATAAGGGTAGCGGCCGTCGGATGGTCAAGTCAAACATATGTGGCCGGCTTTGCGTACCGATTTGAAGAACATCCTTGAAGCCTTCAGTTATCAGTAGGGCTGTCTGCTCGCCTTTCCTCTCGAGTAGGGCATTTGTTGCAACCGTGGTGCCCATTCGAATCCATTCTGTTGCCAAAGGCGCTTAGTACTAACACCAAACGAGAGAGAGAAACCAAAACCGTACCGACGTCTTTCAGGTCGAGCTCTGTTCCTCGCGGAATGGAGGACTTGTAGTATTTCTCGAGGACGCGACGGATTGCCTCGGTCGGCGCATCCGCATAGTTCTTCGGATCCACCGACAGGATTTTGGCGACAATATCCTCCCCACCCTCGACTTTGCAAATACAATCCGTAAAGGTCCCGCCTCGATCTGGTCATCATAGTCGAAATCAGCAATGGGGACTGCTCAATTGATAATCCTGACCTCGAGTACTCGCTCGAGACTCACCGATTGAGATGCGCAGTGGCTTCGTGTCTGTGCTTGTGGGCATTGTGATTAGAGGTGTGAGGGGTGAGGGCTAAGAAAATGCTTGTTATGCGTATGTCTCGGGCTTGAATGATGGAATGCGGAGCAAATATGTTGTCTCGTTCTTGGTGGTGAAAGGCTATATACCCCAATCGGCCCAACCCCATCACGATAGGAGTTCCTCCGTCTGCTGGATGGAGATAAGGCGATAAGGGAGGTTGAAAAGAGGGGGATGTTCGGAGAAAGTTCCGCAGTGGAGGCGGGGCTGGCAAAGCAAAGTGGACTGCTGGTGGAGCTCCACCCATCGCGCGAGATGTCAATGTTGAGATCTATCGATTTTACTCGTGATCAACCAAACACAAGGCGCAAGTCTATCGGACAATTTACAAGACGCGCCGGAGAACCAGCCGGGGCCATAAGAAGGTCACGGAGCCTAGTTTCTGCATAGTATATATTCTCGGTCGAGCCGAAGCACTTTTATGTGAACCCACGCGGCAGATCAAATCTTTAACCACTGTTTTCTTTCACCATGGGCTCTATCGGCGATTACACCACAGCGAAGGTTCAACCTCATGAACCTTACGAGATCATTGACCAACCCAGTCGCTCGGGTCGCAAGATCCGAATTATTGTGATCGGAGCGGGTGCAAGCGCATTGAACTTTGCGCACGATATTGACCAGAGCACATTGGACATCGAGTTGGTTCTGTATGAGAAAAATCCCGAGATTGGGGGCACTTGGTTTGAGAACCGGTACCCCGGATGTGGATGTGACATTCCCTCGGTGAATTATCAATTTTCATGGGCGCCTTCTCCCGACTGGACCTCATTGTACGTATCGACAAGACTCCATCTTCACCGACTGATTAGCTGACGTGAGCCGGTATAGTTACTCGGGCGCCCCGGAGATTTTGAAGTACTTCAAGCGAGTTGCGGACGAGCACGGATTGCACAAATATATTCGCCTCAGCCACCGAGTCGTAGGGGCATCGTGGAATGAACATGACGAAAAGTGGCATGTGAAGGTTCAAAGAGGTGACAATCTTGATGATGTCTTTGAGGATCGAGGTCACATCCTGGTCAACGCATCTGGCGTCTTGAAGTCAGTTGAACCACTAACTCCTCAGTGCATTGACTGAGCCACAAGCTAAACTTTCTGGCGTGAATAGCAAGTGGAAATGGCCTGCCATCCCAGGGCGAGAAACCTTTCAGGGTACGATGCTTCATAGTGCGCATTGGGATGACCAAGTTGAGTTGGAAGGGAAACGCGTGGCAGTCATCGGCTCAGGATCCTCGGCGGTGCAAATTGTTCCAACCATCCAACCAAGTGAGTTTTACCGGGAGAATTGATTCGATATTCGTTTTTCTCACAGAATAATACAGTGGTGTCGTCCCTGAAGTGCTTCATCCGCAGCGCATCTTGGGTGACTGCGGGATTTGGCCAGCGGTTCGCAGGAAAGGGGGGGACGAACTTCCAATGTCAGCCTCCTTTGGCCCTCTTCTGTGAAACCCACGGCACGACGAGCTAATGGCCCTTCAGATACTGCGAAACAGAAGAAGATACTTCAAAACGACCCTCAGAAATATCTGGCTTATCGAAAGAAGATCGAATCGGAGCTCAATTCACGTTTCCGATTCATCCTCAATGGCTCGGAAGAGCAGGCCAACGCAAGAGCGGTACGATCTGATCCCGTTCGCAGTGGACGCAAGAACACACCCAAGACTAACTATGGCTATGCGAACCGATCAGTACGCGGAGAAGGACATGCGATCCAAGCTCGCCAGTCGGCCTGATATCGCTGACCACATCGTGCCCAAGGACTTTGCCGTGGGTTGCCGTCGGCCAACCCCCGGGAATGGATACCTCGAGGCACTCTGCAGCGACAATACCGAGGTCGTTTCGCAGTCAATCGCAGAGATCACCCCGAAGGGTATTAAGACCACCGACGGTGTTGAGCATGAAGTTGACGTGATTGTGTGTGCCACTGGATTTGATGTCAGTTGGCGGCCATCGTATCCTACAATTGGCAGGGAATCCCGCAGTCTTAGTGAACAGTGGAAGGAGATTCCGAGGACCTACCTTTCCATCACCGTCCCCCACTTCCCCAACTATCTCAGTAAGGATCCAGTCACCTATAACGTTTCTCCAGGGGACACAGTCCGCTAATAGGATTTGCATCATGGATAGTCTTCAACGGCCCTTTCGGCCCATATGGTCACGGAAGCTTTCTCCCAATTACAGAAACCTTGTCGCGTCACTTCCTCCAGATTCTCGAGAAAATGTCTTCGGAGGGTGTCACCTCCTTTGAACCCAGAGCCGAGGCAGTCGCGGAATTCTTCGAGCATCATAGGAAATTTATGCCCCGCACAGCGTGGACATCCCCATGTCGTTCTTGGTTCAAGCAGGGTACCGTGGATGGTGAGGTCATGATGTGGCCGGGCTCCAGGATCCATTTTTTCGAAACCATGAAACAACCCCGGTGGGAAGACTACCATCTTCGATACACGACAAACAATCGATTCGGATACTTAGGGAATGGGTTTGCCGCCCGCGAGTTTGATGGAAGTGATCTGTCTTGGTACCTCGGGACTTTGGAGGGTAACGAACGGGCCTACCTTCCGGATGAGGATTTTATAGATTTTATGGTGTACTAGATCTGGTGGTAGTATCTACAAAAACCCATGTTGACTTGCCTTCTTCCTGAATGCTCGAACGACTTTGTAGTCATCAAAGAGACCGACAAGTAAATAGTACTAAGGGCGCACACCGAAGTACCTTCAACCTCTCGGAAAATGGTACGGTTGACCACCCAGACGAAATCCTTGTGTCTGATTGACATAGCCCCTCCCACTATCAGTAACATGTAATTGGTTCCTCGGATAACGCATATTATAGGCACTTCAGCGAGTCTGTTTCTCCGAACAAGTGGAACTAAGGCATAAATCAAGTCTGGAAAAGCCCAATCTTATCGAGACGCGACTTCTCCCCAAGTACAGTACAACAACTACGACCGCAAGGCTCACGACAACAAATGTAGTGTTCTTAGATCAGTTGAACTGCCAGAATTATGTGATGCTCGTGACGTGATATTTGCTATCTCAATCGAATCATAAGGCTACCGGGCCCCATAACACCTGCAGCGCTGCTTGACTCTCGTCTCCTAGGCCACGGGCCACACCCTGTTGCAATAGCTGCAGCGTAGTCGCTGTAATCGGTAGAGGGTAGTTGTAGTGCTGAGCGAGAATTGTGGCTTGCTTCTGAACATTGAGTTAGCAGATGTCACACATGTGCAAGGAAGAATATACTGACCAGTATGTCCCTTGACTGTGATAGTGTACGTGGTGAAGCACTTTGTTGTCCCATGATTGTCGCGGCGACTGATTCAAAGCTTTCGCTTGCACCCGCTGCGTCTGAAATTATTGGTTTCAGAGCCTTGAGTGAAAGACCGAGTTTGCTCCCAAGGGCAATGGCTTCAATTGCTGCAACGCCGTGAACAATCTCCAGCATTTGGCAGATAAGCTTCGACTTGCGTTCATGATCAGCAGTGTGGTCTTTTCGATGTGTCGCCTCGGAAACTAGTAACAGATCCTGAGGAACAAATATTCGCACTAGGCCAGAATCATCTTCCTTGTCGTAACCAGCCCGTGCAGCAAATTGATAGAGACCCTCCGCGGTGGAGGCGATGTACAATGGGAAGTCCTCATTGAGACCTTCCGAAGTGACAATCCGCTACGACAAGGGTTAGAAATCTCGAATACCTACGATAAAGTGCAAGATGAGCTGACATACCATATCTTTGACGAATATGCTGAGAGCAGAGTGGGGCGACCAGTCATCGCAAAGCATGTGCGGCACTCGGTTCTCAAACATCCAACTATGGGCAGGACTTTCCAACACACTGTCATAGAATTGCTTTGTATTCAATCCCATAGTCGCCGCTAGTCCCATCGCCTCTGCTGCCAAGGCGATATGGACGCCCGCAAGATGCTGATTGATAAGCTTGACTTTATTGGCACTGCCGAGGCCCCGCTCGATTGTGTATAGCGTTTGGCTTAGCGACTGCAGAATTGGGTGGGCAAGGCTTAGGGCATCCTGGGGTCCCGATGACATGATTGTCAGCGTGCCCTGAGCTGCACGGAGCACCCCGCCAGATACAGGACAATCGATCAGATTGACATCAGTCCTCGAGAATTTATTGTGGATCTGGTCCAAGATCTTTGGTGGGAAGCTCGGGGCAACGGTGGAGCATAATATGATAATTGCATTCTTCTTCAGACCGAAGATTGCACCGACTCCTTCGGTGAAAAGTACCTCCTCTGTCTGCATGGAGTTGGCTACCATGCAGATGAAGACATCGGCATCTTGAACGCATTCTCGCGGACTTGAGGCGGCGGTGCCGCCCATGGCCAGTAATGTCTCGAGCGACATGGGATTGACGTCGAACCCACAGACGGGGAACCCATCGTTGAGCAGTTGTATGGCCATACCCCTACCCATTGCGCCGAGACCGACAAACGCGATCTTGGGTCTGACATTGACAGGTGGCTTCGCCATAGTGTTTGTTCTGAAGTGGAATGGAGGCCGCGAGAAATGGGTCGGGTTCGACGGCTCACGGTTGCATCAACGCCACGGAAAATGCAATATTGACGGTGGTTTTGGTACCTCCTGGATCAAGTCTGGCGTCTAAACTAGATTTCTGCCCCTTTCTGGGCCATTTCAAGTCTCCCAGACGGACTGTTCGGGTGAAAGACAGATTAACCCTGCCACTCCACCACTCCATCACTCCACCACTCGACCACTCCACTTCACTCCACCTCGCTCCACATCGGTTCACTCCACCCGCCTGTTATCCCCTCACTTTTTGCACTACAATAGACGCACCCTCACCTCCACCACAAACATCAAGTCCTGTGGTCAAGTAGCACGGACGTATTCCAGATCCTGTGACGCGTCACAACTCAATTGGAAAGAGGGGAAGGAGGAGGAGGATTCCTGAGCATGATGCGCACCCGAATTTCTCAGTCCAGCGTATGAGTATGGCGCTTACCAGAATAATCGAGACGGGTTTTTGATTACATGGTAACTCAGAGGAACTCAACGGCATCCCAATGTCCCATTATCTGCAGAATAATTGCTGCATAGCCAGGTGGATACTCCTCAACTCCTCGCCCGCACGTCCATTAATCCGCTGGCAAGTCCACCGAATTGCACATTTAGCAGGAAGACCGCCAACTCAGCCAAACTATTTGACAAGATAGCCCACTGAAATAATAAAACCTTGACTCATTGGAGTTCTTCCGCTTGCTGTAGAGAGATATAGTAACAGCATGTTAATTCGAGAACCGCTACAGCAAGCCAAGAGTCACAGATCCTCGCTCGATATCGAGCACGCTCTAAACACAATGATAAAGGCGATCCTGTCCGTTCTCAAACTCTACCGCCCGTGCAAGACCCATTACAGAACATAGCGGAAGGCCGGTTGCTCGAAATCCGTCAAATCAAGGAACTCAGTGCCAACAACAACGCTCTCACCGTCGGGGCTGGAAGGCGCCTGTCGGTCACGTCTCTTATTCTCCAGAATGTTCACCAAACGAATACCCAGTAGGGTCGCCGCTGCAAGGGCGTACATGACGGCTACCATCAGCTTGCCATCAAAATACTCGGGCGCTTGGTTCGAGCGGAAGGTCTGCGGTCCAATCCAGTTTCCCGCGGCGTAGGCCAGTATCTGGAGGCCATTTACTGTGGCCTTCTTCGTGTAGCCCAGGGTATTGTTGGATATCATCACCATGACCAAGCACCAGGAGGTTCCAGCAGCGCCGATAAAGTAGTAACCCACCAACAGACCAACTTTGGCATGAAGGGGAAGGACAATCATCAAGATGCCGCCCACCATGGGTATGAGAATGGCGATGATGGCAAAAATGGTGCGATCCAGGAATCTGTCGGACAGATATGTCAAACCTAGCTTGCAGACAATGTCGACAAGCCCCATTGGCATATTCAGCAAGAGGGACATGCGACTGGAGAAGCCGAAAGAGCTGATCACGAGGGAACCGAAGGTGGTGATGCCCCCATTGGGGATATTCATCAAGAGCGAGAAGAGCACGTAGAGATACGTGCGCGGATCACGAAAGGCTTCGAAGAAGTGGGCCCATTTCCAAGTATGGCTACCGATGCCTTGGAAATTACCCCGGATGCGATCCACAGCAATGAGCTTCTCACGATGGCTCAGGAATCTGGCGTGGATCTGGTCGTCGGGCATAAGCCAAAAATATAGTGCGCCGGTGAGAACGGTAGGGAGGCCCAGCACGAGGAAGAGAATCTTCCACACCGCAATGGAAGCCGTCTGCACCCCCGACAGTCCATACGCAATTGCCGCAATCAGGATCTGAGCGAAGCCGTTGCAAGCAAGCCAGAAGCCCATGCGCTTGGCCTGTTCATCTTGCTTGTACCAGCAGGAGGTGAACAGCACGAAGGCCGGAGTGACTGTCGCCTCGAACGCGCCGAGGAAAAAGCGGACGCAAAGCAGGCCGGCGTAACTGTTGGTCGCGACGTGACAGAGGAGCACGACACCCCAGATCAGAATGTTGAATGAGGTATATTTCCCTAGCGGAAGTCGGCGTAGCAGATACGTGGTGGGAAATATATACCAAAATCAGCATGGACTAGGGTACAAAGGCATAGGCATGGAGGGAGGCGTGCCAGGGTACATACTCCCAAAAGATGTATCCAGCATAGAAAATGCTCGACACCCAGCTGTATTGCTGCGAGTTGGGGTCCAAGTGCGTGTCCTCGCGGATCCCCATCAGGGAGGCATAGTTCAAAGACGTTTTGTCGGCAAATTGGATCAGATAGACCCAGCACAGCAAAGGCATCAGAACTCGATCGATTTTGGACAACACTTTGCGGGACTCTTCGGGCGTATATTCGATCGCTTCTGCAGCCAGAAACTGTAGGGCTGGGTCAACGTCTCCTGTGCCTCCATGCTTGATCTCACCAGGCTGGACTTCGGTGTCGAGTTGCTCCACGTCGTCATTTGGTGCAACTCGAGAGACCTTTTTTTCGCTGGGTTGGGTGGTCATACTGCCTTTTGTCACACTCATCTGATCCATTAAGTTAGACAATTTTCAGTTCCCGGACTCATCGTCGCTCCTTAAATGGCCCCTCCTGCTGACCCGATAAGAGTGGAATACAAGACTCCTAGATGTCCAAGACGTATTAGTTCGCTCCAAAGATAGACATTTTGCGGGGGGTGGTGGAGCTCCATCAGCCGGCAAGTTCTTATCTTTGCTGAAACCGAGTAGATGATGCGGGGTTGGCGTGGATTCCCGTAGATAAGACCTAATTTCCGACTCTCCAGCGAAGAGGTGACCTTGAAGTAGCAGTGGAGGTTGTAATAAAGCACTACTATACAGGTTGAATAGATAGTATAGATTTAAACAATCCCAAGACACTCTGATTAATCATGTCTCCATGTACGCACTACCTAACCTGCTGGTCCTGTATTAATCGTTCACAGCGAAATTAGAGGTTGCGGTGATAAGAGGGAATTTACGTAACAGACGCTCCACATAAATATAAGAGACAAATGTCTTCCACCACGGTGCTGCCTTTGGTTGAAACGCTTGGGTTGAATTTCACAGTACCGTACATAGTCAACCCGACCCGAGATTCGAAATAGAGCATATCAGTCGCTTTGACATAACAAAGTCCAAAGTCAAAGGATTTCAAGCACAGGAATATGGCAACGTCAGTGCACCAGGGTTGGGCACAGACAAAGTTTGGTCAATGAGCGTGCAATTAAGCTACTCTTCTGGCTGACAAACAACCTGATGGATGCACTCGGCCACATACCGCACATTACCCTCATTCAGACCAGCTATAGAAACTCTCGAGCTTTCGGCCATGTAAATGTGATATTTCTCTAGTTTCAAAATGCGTATAAGCTTAGACCAGTCTTGTAGTTATAGACTCATGGTGATCGGCTTACCTTTTAGGTAGTGAACTTGCTCGGGTGTAAGACCGAGCACGCAAAACATGCCTTTCTGCTGTATGATTTTCCTCCAGTCGCCCGGGGTATCTGTTAAAAGCATGAGCTACTGGGCTCACAATCTGCCGACAAGGGGAAGGTCTTTGCGATACCTAGCGCTGTCAATTCATCACATAACTGCTTCCTCATTCCAGAAATGCGCGAGCTCATCGTGGTAAGATCACGCCGCCACTGAGACGATAGGCCATCGTTTGCTAGAATTGCCGTGACGACACGAGCACCGAATGCCGGAGGATTAGAGATTTCGCTGCGAACCAACTGCGCCAAACTTGACTCCACATTATTGGCGATGTTATGGTTGCGTGATACAAAAGCACACAGCCCGGTCCTCTCGCCTATGAGAATGCGCAGATGCATGTTAGAAGGGGATGGAGCATTGGATTCGAGCTCCGACTCTCAAGTGACTCGACTGAAATAACACTCAGTCAATGGAAAAACATACCATAGAGTCCCATACTTTTGGCGAAGGAAATACAGACACCCATTTCCAGATCCAACTCCCCAGCAAAGTACCGGATGGCATACGCGTCTTGCTCGTAGTCTCCGGACGTCAATCCCAAGTACGCAGCGTCAAACAGAGGGAATAGGCTTCTCTCCTTCATGATAGCAGCGATCTGTCGCCACTGTTCTGGACTAGGATCCCACCCAGTTGGATTGTGTGCGCTAGCATGAAGCACAAAGATTGACGATGGGTCTGCCTCAGTTAAGGCTTGAAGTAGCGACTCCATGTCAATCCCGTCCCTCGACGCATAATGGAACTCTCGAACTGAGAAGCCCACTGATTCGAAGACCTGTCTGTGATTGGACCAGCTTGGATTGGTGATATAGACGGTTCGATCTTGACCAAGCGCCCGCCTGAGCAACATTCCTGCCACGTGTAGTGCTCCGGTACCCGATAATGCCTGACAAGAGGCGACCTGTAACGACATGGTTAGCAAGTGGAATCTCTCGCGGCATCAAGACGGTTCAGGATAATTCACTCGACCCCCGCTAATAACGGTGGACTCCTTCCTGAAGACCAACTCCGTAACTAGTTGGCGAAAAGGTGGATGGCCCAGGATTGGAAGGTATTCGTGGTTGCAATTCTTGATCGCATCCTTGGCTGCTTCGACCGCTGGGAGTACCCAGGGATTTCCTTCGCCATCTCGATAGGTACCTTGGCCTAGATTCACTTTGCGAGTGTCTGGGTCGGCTATATAGGCTTTGGTGAGTTCGAAGATCGCGTCCGGTGGCGTATAGGCCACGGTCGCAAAGACTGAAGACTTCGATGACATTGCACAGGGGAATCAGGAAGAGGGAAAATGACAAGGTGAAAACAAAAGACTTCAAATCGGTGGGGTGACTTTGATCTTTCAATGCGCGGGCGCCCTGTCTTGATAGCGAGTCGAGTTGGAATGACAAACGGGTGGAGCTCCACTCTACGTAGGGAAAACGAGATAAGAAGCGTCATCAGCGTCGATAGGTCGATAGATAAATCGATGATCCTACGACAGATTGGCTCGTTAGTTCTAATCAAATTGTTCTAAGGTCAGAAACCACAGTTCCCTCAATTCCAACATTTGGCAACCGCCATGGCTCCACAGAAGCCGAATTTCGGTGTATACACACCATTGGTGACCTTCTTTGCCAAAGACGAATCTCTTGATCTTGGAAGCACCTTGACACATGCAAAGCGTATGGCTGAAGGCGGTGTCGCTGGACTTGTTCTCCAAGGCAGTAACGGCGAAGCACCACATTTGGATCACGACGATCGCAAATCCCTTGTTCGCGCGGTGCGCAACCATCTCAACGGGTTGGGGCATGCGCAAATCCAGCTGATCGTTGGTTGTGGCGCACCCAGCGTCCGAGATACACTGACGCATATCACCGAGGCTGAGGAGTCTGGCGCCGACTTTGCATTGGTCTTGCCCCCGTCATATTGGGTCGCAGCAATGACCCCTCCTGTGATCGAAGGGTTCTTTAACGAGGTATCTATGAATTCTTTCTCGCTTCTTAGTCACTTTAGATGAACAAGTCGGACTAACTCACTCTGATTCAACCATACAGGTAGCATCCCGCTCCCCACTTCCAATCCTGATCTACAACTTCCCTGGTGTCACCGGTGGTATCGACATAAGTTCCGACTCGATCATCAGGCTGGCCCAGTCCAACTCCAATATCGTCGGTTGCAAGCTCACCTGCGGCAATGTCGGTAAGCTGCAGCGTATCTCATCCACCCTGTCTGCAGACTCCTTTGCCGCGTTCGGAGGAAAGTCGGATTTCTTCCTGCCCGCCTTAGTAGCAGGATCCAACGGAATCATCGCGGCTCTTGCCAACATTGCCCCAAAACTGCACGTGGAAGTGCTGAGAAGATATGAGGATGGTGACATCAAGGGTGCGCAAGAGCTCCAATCCCGGCTCAGTCATGCAGACGACGCCCTCGTTAAAGTGGGCGTGACTGGTGTCAAAGCCATCGTGTCTCATTATTTCGGGTATGGTTCAGGGCAAGGACGTAAGCCCCTGGGATGCCCTACCGTGGATGCCTTTAGTGCAAGTATTCTGGACCCCATTCAGAGGGTGGTTGATCTGGAGAAAATGTGTAAATAGGCCATGAACCTGCGGTGTAAAAGCAGTTCAATAAAATAAATGATGGAACTCATTCATCTCAGCCACGATCGCAAGCTTTATGCTGTATAGCCGATGCAGGTTTAAGTAGGCCTCAGGAGGACGTGGTTATGCTCCAGCTGGGCATGCCCCGTAGACAGCGAAAACAATCGGCAAGGAAATGCCGATTTGATAAAGTAAACATGAATGAGATTGTTTAAAAACTTGACAAGAACTATACTAGGGAAGAGATTCGTTTCCCTGCCGACTATTCGCACTCCAGAATGACAGCCCCGCCTCTAGCCGCGCAGTGCCGTAGATAGCCGAGCTATCCAAATTCTCGCCGGCATACTCGCGTGCAGTGTTCAGCCGGTTAGACGCCGCTTCGAGTGTGCATAGGCGGGCATTACAACTGTCGGCAATAGACAGAGCATGTTTCATGTCCTTACATGCGAGCGCGGCGGCGAACCCAGGCGCTGTGTCTAAAGGAGGTGCATAGGCTCCACTCGTGATGCGTCTGCTGTAACTCTTTAATACCGGCCCAAACATGTTGCCAATAAAGTCTTCCATCTGCTGGGTGCCCACTCCTGCGACCTCGGCAAAGACCTGTGCTTCAGCGATGACGTCCATGAAGCTGATGACGAGGATGTTCCTTCATTGAGATGACAGGTAAGTGAGTGAAGGTTGACCAAGGGAGGAAGACGTTGATGTATTTACCCCGAGATTTTGAGGAGGCTTGATTTCCGCACATCTTCTCCCATATCAATAATGCTGCGTCCCATGACATCCATGATTAGAGGTCGGACTCGCTCGACTGCTCCAGTAGGACCAGCCACGGCGAATATGAGATTTCCAGCAGCTGCTATGGGGCTTGCGCCAAACACGGGTGCTGCAATGAATGTCGCACCGTGGCCCTTGAGATGCCTCGCTGCCCATTCGGATGTGTCTGGGTGAATAGTAGACGTGTCAACGAAGATCTTACCCTCGAGGGAGATCCTGGTGGCCGCAGCCGCTTCCAGGAGGTCTTTCAAAACATCGTCGGTGGAGATCTTTGAAGTTGTTAGTGTCTTCTTGAAAGCCGGATGTTGGAAGCCGATCCAGCAAATGCCGCGCGCACCATTGTGAATATAACATCTGATTTCTGGACTAGTGCACCGAACTCTGCTTCAGGCACAGCCCCTGCATCACGAAGAGCATCTCCTTTGGCAATGGTCCTGTTGCTGTATCGAAGCGGAGGCAATTCTTTTGCATGCAAGTATCTCTGGAGGTTCAATGACATGCCAAGACCCATGGATCCGAGGCCATACTACGGCCATCAATCATGGTGGTGTCAGTCACGTGCATACAAGTGGGATCCGCTATTTGAACCTACCCAGCCAACTCGGGGGGTTGATTGACTCATTCTTGTTGAATTGCGAATCGAAATTAGTGGTCGAAAGAACTTCTGGGAAATTATGCGGGAGATGCACCGAGCCCTTGCGGTTGTCTTAAATGGACCATGGCTAGAAGGCGGCCGCGCAGATAGCCAAAGCGGGGTATCAAGCGGCAAAGCGTGTTGGCCAAGTGGAGCTCCACATGTCCACGACTATGAGGTAGCGTCGTCGGGGAGTTCTCTCAGTACAGCTAACATAGACGGCCCAATACTCCACACAAGTCGCTGCTGACAGAAGGACTTGACCATGTCTGCAAATAACACCTGCCCTTCCTCTAGCAGAGTAGAAACGGTATCCCGGTCCGTAGACCACAAGCGTGGATCGCGAACCCCCCGATCTTGTCTAGTGGCCGGGGAGTACCGCAAGGCGGCTTCCATGAGTGCGTTGAAGATCAGCATACATGGCTCGGATGTCCGTGGGAGTTCGTTGAATGTATTCAAGTGGTCACGGATCTCGGTTGTGGCACGCCTGAGCGCTCCCCAAATACACAGAAGGATTCCGTAGCTGGTAACTGTGACCCACGGTGCTTCATAAGAAACCCTTTGCGGGTCGTCGCCGTATATGCTGGCGAGTGCAGCAGAAAGCTCACTGAGTAAGGATAGCACACCTTCATTGCCGCCAGGTCGAGGTGCCACCCAAGGTGCGGATCGTCGAACCGCGACGAAGTTACCTCGCATCAGATGGGTTGAGGCAGCCAGGCCGGCAATCAAGCTATTATCAACGATGCCTCCGATCAGTAGCTGATCAGGCCGACACAAATTGACTTGAAGGGATACAATAAAGAGCTCGTTTGTTCTCCATTGAAGGAATTGGGGACTGTCACTCGTGCTAGCCGCGTCTTTCACAATCTTCCCGATGTTACGTATGGCCATATGAACACTCTTGGTTTGGCTTTGCGTCAGGATGTGGAAGGGGTTCGGGTCAGAATAGCTGGGTGGCATCTGGTAGTAGCACCGTGTGAAGTCCCGCACCAAAGTATCTAGATTCGCCAGCACGTAGAATGCTGCGATCGGAGATGCTTCAAGGACAGAGGTTAACTCGGTTCCGGGAGCTTCAGTCATGAGTTGCTGCGTCGCCATTGTCAGGGAAGCTGCTGCTAATCCGCGAGGCTGGTGGAGTAGATCGTTGGTAAACGTCAAAGCAGAGACACCGAAATATTCGCTGAATCTCCGAATCCATATTTCAGGGTCTTTAGCCTCCCAGAGTTTGGTTGGGAAAGGAAGCTCCCATCGCAGTTCCATTGAAGACATCAATGGCCGGGAATTGCAGGGTACGAAAACGTGTGAGTCGAGGAAGAGCAGCGTGTACAGCGCTATTCGCGTGGACTCTGCGGTTATATAAGAGGTCCATCGAGTATACACGGTTTGCGGTTGCTCTGTGCGCGGATAGTCGATGTCATACAACCAAGACCGTGACTCTGGCATGACAATTTCTTGATGTGAGAGACCGACCTCGCGTACAGCCTGAGTTTCGATGAGCCACAGTTCGACAGCACAGCAGACCAGGGAGGAGAGCTTGAACCAACATCAACAAGTTGTCGCAGCATGTCCCGTGCTGTCCGGAACTGGGATGCTTCGCCTGCATAGACCCCATATATCATGTGAAGTATCCAGGCTTGCACCACCCAGGGTTTTCGTATATTACCGCATTCATTGGAAATCTATCTCGACATTGATTAGTATCCCAGCACATAAGGCCTAGAATAAACGGTGTCTCATGTACCATATTTCGAAGTTCCTGTTGTCCACTTTGCCATGTATCCCGACGCCAGTACACACGTGCTTGGGCTTCTTCATCGTTGTATACAACTGTCGAGCATAAGCTGCCTATCACAGTCACCGCTTTGAGCAATAGCTTTGGTGCCGATGATACTGTAAATGTAGGCCGATGCAACAATGGCAGAGACGGATGAAAATGCTCAAAGTAGTGCTTGACATTTACTTCCACGTCATAGTTGCCCCTATCAGTAAAGCTATGGTAGTTAGGAACGTTCCCCGCATGCATGGCTCGTTAGAAGACATACATTGACGAGGACATTATGTATTCTCGAGGAAGACTGGTAGCAAAGGAGCTATGTTCCTCCCAGAAGTCATCATGAGGTATAGCATTTGCGGCCAGCGCCTCGGTGGGGGTCAAGATATCGGTCGCAGCTACAAGTGGGGTCGTGTCAACGACTGGCTGGCATCTCTGCTGCAGACTTGTTTGCGGCGGAGATACATGATTAGTAGATGCTTCTGCCTGGCAACGACCCCGGTGCCTTCTTAACACGTCACTAGAAGCTGGTCATTAATACTAGCGCAAGATAATTTTTGCGAGAATGCAAGACACCTTCTAGTAAAAGCCGCATGACAGCCATCGCATTCGAAATCATGGCCCAAGGCACGATGATGACCTAAATTGACAGCAATCACTATGTGAAGGTCTGTTTCATTCCTGGAAACTCAGAACTTACGAGCGCGCTTATGCCGTCGCAGATTCTCCTGTGGACATGAGTTTGGCATGAAAAGATCTAGGTAGTCCAGGAAAATCCATATTACTTACATTTCTGGTGAATGTTTTGGGACATTCATCGCATGGGAATGGTCGACGTGAACTGAGAGCCTGGCTCTCTGCTGGGCGCTTTCCGTGATCACCCGCCATTTCAGAAGTTTTCAACATTCGACGGGTTCCTGGATGGTATCATGTGTGTTCAGCAATATACACGTTGATGATTGATGTAAACGAGGGGGCTGGAGGCCAATCGGGCCTCAGGCAGGGTACCCCTTCTTTCTTCATCACATGACTGGTAACAGCATTAACTGTGACTCGTTTGAGGGGATGCTGACGGACCGGAACAGCTTTTGTTCCGACGGGACAATCACAGACACCTCTCAGCTGTATAAGTGGGGTCCTTGAGTCATATACAGTAACATAATCGGTAAGTCGGTAAGCGAGTCGGCCATGTAAGCCAGTCGGCCATCTATATATTGTATATATAAAGCTGATTTTAATCTTTAAATAGTTTAACAATCTTAGAATATATATTTTAAAAAATCTGTAATATATAATCTAAAAACTTATTTAAGATAATAACTTAGTTTATTTTCTTCTAAAATCTATTATTTACCAGTAGCAATTCTCTAATAAAGTATTATTTTTATAAGATATATAAATAGTATATATAAAAGCTAATAAAGATAATTAAAACTTTTTCTTCTATAAATAAGAAGATTATATATATATAATATTTAATATTCAGTTTTAAAAAGATTTAATAGAAATTAGTAAAGATAATATAACTTAAAAATCAGCTATTTTATATATAACACATAGATGGCCGACTGGCTTACATGGCCCATTTGCTTACCAAATATGTTAACTAACTTACACTAGTTATGGGGGTCCTGGATCCCAATCACGTGACTGTGGGGGCTTGATTATGTATGTACGGTAATGTAATGGACAAGCAAGTGGACACAGTAAGCAAATAGGCACCCCGAATATTGCATATAAAAAAGTCTACTTCTGATTCTTATTATTTCACTATTTTATTCTTGAAATATCTCAAAATCACATCTAAAATACATGTAAGGAATATCTACTTGGGGCTTGAAATTTTAAAATCAAAATGATATCATAAAGATAGAATAATTCGAAACTAATAGATATCAAGTTAACTTTGAATACTGAAAAGTACAGCATATTTCATATTATTCTTATAAGCAGTATTAAAGGTATTAAGAAAATGTAGTATCTTTATAGAATAATGATATGTAACACTAATAAATCACTTTTATAATGTTTATATTAAGGTTGGTAAAATTATAAGTATCTCAAATATACTCTTTTATACATAATACCAACTTGGTTGCTATGCCCCACTTGGTTACCGGTTACGTTACACGGATGGAGTACCTTACAGTATAGGTACCGTACACCCATCATCGTGGCAGTACAAAAGCTGAAAGACCTTTTATCGTTTTAGATTTGAGGGCCGGCCCTTCCGAAAACCTTCCAAGGAAAAAAGATCGATGAATAGATGATAGGAGAAAAGAGAGCAACCCAACGAAGGACTTACAAGCAACCACATAGCTATGTTGCCAAACAGATGATTCTCCAATCCTTTTTTGTATGTCTACCAGTTCTCATCCAGGGCTACCACATGATTCTATAAATTAGTTAGGCTTGCGAGCACTGCCATGCCAAGAGAAGTCGATATTGTAAAGCTTCTCATGTGGCATGAGCCGCAAGCTTCCCCTCGGTTGTGTTACGTTGGTACCGCACCCAAGATCCAATCCGCTCAGCTCTTTCTTTGTTGTGTAACTAAGTTACCCGTTGTCGCTCAGCCTCATCACTTGTTACACCAGAGGTTTAATTGACATCTTAGGTTGTGGGTAGATACGAAAAGCTAAGTGGTGCTAAGCACCTTTGCTCCTGATTCTGGGCTATTGATACTACTAGTTCCTGCTCGGGTTAATCGAACTCAAGTACCAGTACCTACTTGGGTATTTTTTCCAAGCTCCGGGCCGGAGATATTCTCAGTTAGACAAATCAACTCCCAGTCCCCCTCCGTCTGAGATGATGAACTCCCAAACCTACCCGCGTTGATCAACCAACCTAGGTTTTGACGTGATCATCAAAGCAAAAATGATATTGTATCCCAAGTATGCCCAATCCGGTGAATTAGCGTCGAAGAATAGAAGGTGACCTCAGGTTGAGTGGCAAACGTACTCATTCTCTGCTAGATTCTAGAGAGTGGGTCGAAATCTGTAACATGGACGAAGACGAAAAATCGATCCAAGAATCGCACGAAGACATTCGCTCCCCGAGGATATCACTGCAAGAGGAATCAGTTTTGCTGTGTCTAGTCCTGCCCCCGCTGGGTAGAGATACCCTAACGATTCTTCCGCGATTCCTTTGCGACTATCTGCGCGGACGGGCTATTTAGGACAACACCGTCCATCATGATCCCTCCTTAACATGGGGACAGCAGTCAATTTACCCGGTAGAGAATGAGTTCCAATGGCTGCATGAGATTGGAGTAGACAATAAGGCATGAGACAGCTAGCATGCTATTGTTGGCGTAGCCCCTGCAAGCCCCTCACGCGATGTCAGCGCTAAAGTGATGGGCATTTCCCAATAGAGGTTACCCTGCTATCATATACCTTTCGGTCTTTACCAGGCCAGTTGATCGCAAGCTGCGGACTTGCTGTTAACCAGAGACTAGCAGGGGTAAATCACAGGGCTTCGATGGTTTTCATCGCTTCATTTCCTGCCGTGTACCTTGCCCGGGCTGGCCTGCAGCCCTAGGATCATTCCGCTTAATGAAAGCCCCTACACCAGCACTTCCTACCAGCCTGTTGTTTTCAATAGTTTGTGCCCCTCACTAGTATATAGAGCCGGTCGTCGCCTCATCTCCCTGGAGAAGGATAACTTCCAACGCATTTCGTCTCGCTCTATCTTCTGGCGTCGTGACTTGGGTCTTCATGACATGGGGAACACTACAGAAAGTATTGTCTATGGATGGGTAGCAAGCCCCGAAGGCAGAGGTAGTATCGATATATTATGGTCGTGCTGTACTACAGTCATCCTTTGCTGTTGGGTATCCGTCTATCCTAATGTTGGCTCCCCGAACGACAGCAAATGGCATCCACTCGTCGACAAATTCAACCTCTTCTGTATCAGTCTTCTGGGCCCTGACTTTCTGTTTGGGATTGCTTGGGGACAGTTTGAAAGTGCAAGGAGAAGTGTCAAGGTATGTACGGTGCAGTGTCTCGATGCCGGTTCTCCGGTCCACATCTACTTGTAGCGTTTGATCTGTGAAGGGGCTAATACAGACCCCTCATCACTAGGTCTTCAGACAAGACAACCGGCTCAATAAGACCTTTGTATGGACGTACAGGCATGCGTTCTTCGTCGATATGGGGGGCATACATCTAAGAAGCCCGGACTTCCCTCAGGGATTTCCGATCGATGCCCAGCAACTGTATTACCTGCTTTCCCATGATTATATAGACATGCCGGATATGGAACAGATGGCTATTGAGGAGCGCAATTCTGCGGATACATTGTCTCGGTAATGTGCCTCTCAACCCCCACCAAGAGCCCCCCCTAACATTCGATCAGCTTGATCACCGTCTTCCAAGCATTCTGGTTTTTAGTATCCACGTTTGAACGATTTCGCCTCGGTATATCGGTCACCACTTTGGAATTGACAACTGTTGCATTTGCGTTGGTAATGTTAGCATCATCGATTACCTGGTTTTACAAGCCCTCCATCACGAGACCCCGATACATATCTACCAAAAACGATATAACTGTACAGGCTATTCGTGAGCTCATGAAACGAACCGTAAGTTGAAACTCCGATCGAAAGAATTTACCGCGAGACGTAATACGAGGACTGTCGCTGACACGGATTAAAAACCAACTTTCCAGACCCATCCACAATTACCAGACCACTGGTACCGGACGCCGCTCGACTATATCACTCATGATCGGTTTGGCATTGACATTCACTGGAAATATTATACGCGGCTGACGCAGATAATGCGGATTCCGATCTTCTCGCGGCCGATCCGGGCCCGACCGTGGGATCGGTTTCCCTCGGACACATGGCTGACGCCGGAGTACAAATACTCGCCCTTGGCCTTGATCATCCTCCTGGGCTTCAGCGCACTGTTCTTGGTGGCATGGGACTTCTACTTCCCCACATACACGGAAAAGATCTTGTGGCGGATCTGCAGTGTCTACAATGCCGCCTTCTCGATCTACGGCGGCATCTACTATTTTGTGGAGATGTCTCGCAGCGGCAAACGGGTTGGCGAACCTAAACCCCGCGTCGAGATGGTAGGGCCGACCCGGAGATACCAGCGTCCTGTGCACCATCACCATGACAATAGTGACTCGAGCATGGAGACCACCCTGGTGAGCGTGCGCGAAAGTCTACTCGGATTGCGAAACATCTCCGAGGAAGATGACCCTGAAATGGCGGTTTCGTTTCGCGTTTTGATCCCTGTGACGATCACCTGCGCCCTGTATGTCTTCGCACGAGGGTACATCTACGTGGAAGACTTCATCTCGCTGCGGGCGCAACCCAGCGGGGCGTATGCTGATGTGAACAAATTTCTACCTTTCCTCGGGTAGATACATGGTTAGGGGTGATGACGTGAAGGAAATCTGCATTTGTGTCCCAGAGATGGGGGGCAATGTATATACAGGCGATGGGTGTCACGGAACAAAGGAATGATCTTGGAAATCCATAGTCAGGAGTCCGATGTGAAGTAAGAGTATCAAAATTCAGCGATCTTTGGGCATCTCAGCCAGCGTGCCCGGCTTTTTGGCGGAGATGGCGAGGTAGTGCCAGTGGTCGCGGCCGCGGTAGGACTGCACGCCAGCGACCGTGTTGATAAAGTAGCGCTGCAACCCCAACAAGCTCACAATCAGGTAGGGAATATAAGCGACCAAGAAGAAGAGCCTCGTCATCGGCCGAATGTTCTCGGAGTAATCGCGCACCTCCACCTCCTCGAATCCCGCGTCCTCCAACATCTGCTTGAAGATTCCCGGGTGCGACCGGCTGTTGGTCGGCATCGCGGCGAATTCGTTGATTCTTCGCATGTCCTCCGCCATTGCTTTGTGGTGTGCCTGCTGCGCCTTGTCGCCATCCTCGAGCATGTGGTCATACTCAAACAGAGCGAGACGACCTCCCGGACGCAGGGCCTTGAAGAATCCTGCCAACACCGCCTCTGGCTCGGTCGCATGCACAAAAGTCTCCATCGTGTAGATCCCGTCAAAGGCGTCGCTGCCCAAACTCTCGAGGTGATGGTAGTCCATGCGCTGTACCGTGACCTGCGTGTCCGGCAGCCCAGACTTGACGATGTTGCGCTTGGCTTTCTCGAGATGGTGCGGGATGATATCAATCCCCTTGATCCGGTACCCGTACTTGGTCGCTAAGTGGATCGCGACGTGGCCGACGCCGCAGCCGGCGTCCAGGACATGGGCATAGGCGGGGAGGTTCAGCACCGCGGCCAGTTTGTCTTCCATGGCTCGCAGGGCCCGTGAGATTGGGAATGGCCACCAAGTGTCATGCTCGTAGAAGCCAAAATGCCGGGTGCCTCCTAGGAACAGCCGGTATCCGATCCGCGACTCGAGGGAGTAGTAGTAGGACTGCAATTGGGAGTCATGGTTGATCAGTAGCTCGCGCTCAGAGTCAGTGGCCATTGTGAGGAGGGCAGCTGGATTGAGGTGTTCGATATTTCTTGATATATAGATATCTGTATACACTCAATGTGGTGAATGAAGAGCTCAGTGGGTATCATGCGATTTGAGGATAAGATGAATAGAGAAAAGGGAGGGAAATAAAAGGGCAAAGTGTTGAGATCTCCAGGTGAGCTCCCTCTCTACCTAAACGCTAGCCTAGCGCGACAAACAGAACAAATTGACAACCCAAAAAAGATCAAGCCACGGCGCATGAGGGGGTGTGATGAGGGGGATGGCCCGGGGGCTTATCGGGTGTATTATTGATACAATACTAGTCGACCTCTGGTGATATTGCTAACGCACGCTAACAACGATAGCCTATTTAGTCGCCCAATGGCCTGGCCAGTGCTTACAGGGGTTCTGCGGCTACCTCCTAGTCAAAGCTCGCGTCATCTCAAGAAGCGGCGGTCCTCCGCTCAGCCGGCCCGCGTCGTAGCTGCTTCAAAGCGTTGTCACAAATTTGGCAATCAATACCAGGCTCCAGCTGTAGCATTGGCCTCCAATCCAGCGTCTGACGCCGATGTGGGGCGGCTCGCAGGCGGGTCAGTCAATTGAAAGGAAAACATACTCCGTACAACTGCATCAGCACAACAGGAGTCGCCACCAAGCGCCCATGGGCTGACTTACCCCTTCCTTTCCACCCGCCGGTAACTCATTATCTTGATCTGAGTATGATTCTCTATCTGAGTTTGAGAAACCGCCGGTTCATTGAACCTGAGTATACCCGACTCCTTGATATCATGCCGTTTGACGCTATCTTGAAGGTGTTGCTCAAATGACTATGAGGGATTTTTAGTAATTCATCAGAACAACAGTTATGTCACCCTTGGTTATGGTTCCGCCTGTCACCGGCAGGTGCCGGTCAAATTGTCAGTCACATGACCCACGTGACCCTATTCAATAGCATAGGCAACATATTACTAAGAAATCCTCTTCGCCATCAGTACATAGTTCGTGGCCTAGCCAGATTGCATATAGATCTTGCTTTCGTCCCTCGTGGTGTGTTTCTCCACATGCAAAGCCATGATTTACATAAACCTTCTTGCTCCTTGGTAGCCAATTAAACCCCAGTTATAAGACTTTATACCACTTCGGTAGAATGTCGAGGTCATTTTCCCTGTGTGTCAATGTTGAATCTGATTCTCCCAGAATATATTCGAACAGAGGCTCTCTATTACCCATTACCCCTTAGACAGAATATGACCTTTTTACCGTTTAGGTTGCTCGGTAGGTATGTAGAGGCAAATATACCGGGGTCCTAAACACCTCAACTAGAAAACTATATCCTGGCCAGGGGTAGTATAATGATCCATGGTGTAGGAAGAAACCTGATGAGCAACTCGCAGTGAAGGAATGCTGGTCTCGGAGAGTCGCACCAAGTCGATGATCGTGGCTGAACTCCCCTCTTACTGTGATGGTGAGAATCCGTCGTGTACCACATCTCCGACAATCCATAGAACTCTTCAATGGCCCCAAGTGCATAGACCAGTGTGATTATGTGTCGCTGGCGGACCAATTGGTAAACAGAAGTCCTTGTCTACTCTCATCGCCATAGGTCCTAAGCTATGCGGCTTAAAATTGATCTTTGTTAAGGTTTGGTGGGGCTTAAGCTGATCCCCGTGTACTAGCAATGCAAGGGCCATCTAACTGCTTGCGATTTGTTCTGCTATGCTGAGCTATGTTTGAGGAAGACAGAGAAAAAGCTGCCGATAAGGCAGAACAAGAGGTATATTCAAGATTGAGCTGAAAGATATTCGAAGTGTTCCTCACCGGATGCATATGTCCGGAAAGTAGTGGGAGACAACACCCTGGACTACGGCAAGATACCAGTGCGCTGGAGATGGAAGGAATTACTATACGTGTCTCCCAACAAGTTGCGATATGATTAAACCGAAGCTGCATCTCGGATATAGCCAAACAGGGGTCTTAAACGCACAGCGATACTAGATTTAAAGTTCAGGAAAATAGGAAGGAGAATAGTAGTCGATATTGATATAGGAAAGAAAATAGGCTTGAGGGATTGGGTAGAGGAATTCCAGTTGTGTTGCGACTGTGATCTGTTCCTAGCAAAATAGAAAATCAAAAAACATACAACAGAAGGGATTCGCTGGTGGTCACCCACCCAACTACTAACCTCCCGGCGTGTGGCTTAAGTACGGCTGAGCGGACGGGAAGCCCTGTTTTCCACACCCTGTGGTCGTATGTGCTCGTATGTGCTCGATGTACATGTTTTGCTGCCTATGCCCTAAATGACATTGCACTCTACCAGCACGTGAGTTCAGAGACTATTGGCTTGGCGGCAAGCCATCCCAGCTTCAGGGCAAATCATCGCGCATTGATCCAGGGAATGTGGATATCTCAAGTCACCTAAGTTAGGCTTGCTGGCGGCTCAGCGCGTGTGAAGCGATGCTAACTACGGAGTACCTCGGAAAAGATTCGCTCTTTTCAGTTGCTCTGTTTAGTGGGTACCCAATAATAAGAACCCCTTCGATCCCTGATCAAATGTCCTCGCTCGCCATGATACCAGAGAATGATATCATATCATTCGATAGAAAAGATCGACTATTGTGTTCGCTTATCGTTCGCACGTCGAGATGGGAGGTGCCGAAATTCTACTTACCTGGATGCTGCTATGCAGTGCTACAGTTGCCCAAGTAGCTAGGCAGCCTGATGTCGCTGCTCAATACTTCGCGCAACAGCAACAAACCCTGGGAACATCCCAAGGTGATGATACAAGTTCTTCGTCCAACTTTCGCGGCTTCCAACTGTGGAGCGAAAATAACAAACTACATGCCAGAACGCTCTCAAAGCTCAGCCCGTCATGCAGGGCATCGATGACACAGAAAATTCACTGTCACGCGAAGACGCGATCCTTGCAACGGCAGTGGGCGCGTTGGATGCAGGGTCCCGGTCTGGGAAATGACATGCTTAGCGATCTTATCTGTGACAGCGGTTGCGGGGAATCCCTCGCCACATGGTTTCTGAGCGTCGAGCGCGATTGCGCCACGTTGGAGGAGAAGATGCTTTTTCCAACCCTGCGGGGTGGACAGCTGTGGGCGGGCTGGAACGAGACTTGTCTTAGGGATGAGGGAACAGGGAGATACTGTGGTGGTAGGTTCTGCTTTTCTCTTGATCTGTCCCGATTGATATAGGGCGTGTCGCTCACATCTATTGCATGTACAGATGTTATCAATGGCTTTAGCAAATCCTTCATCGATGAAATGCCGATCGAAGAACTCTGCTCCTTCTGCAACGTGCAATGGCATCGTGTCGTGCAAACGTCACCCTTCTCACTCTACGACAAAAACTACAAATCGCGCCTCGAACACATCAACCGTGCCTGTGATCTCAACCTTCCCACAGCCATCCCGAAGCTCGTCCTCTCCGAGGATCCACATATAGAGCGGGACCCGTACTGCGCGACCCTTCTTTCATACACCACCTCACCAGGGGACACATGCGACAGCATTGCGGCGCAGTTCCAGGTTGCCTCGGCGGCTGTTCGAGCCGTGAGCTGGCCGCTCATCGACTGTTTCGCTATTCCCGAGGGTACGAGGTTGTGCACTCCGCTCAGGTGTAAAACCCATACCCTCAGGGATGGGGATACGTGCGACTCAATCGAGCGCGAGCTTGACTTGAAACCCTGGCTTGGAGTCTCGGCAATCCGGGCGTATAATCCCTGGGTGAATCAGGATTGCTCTAATCTGCATGAGGCGAGTGATGCTCTTTTCGGGCATGTTATCTGTGTTGGCCCAACAGGTCAGTCGATCCTGGACGAGTGAAACTTTGCTTTTCGGTGACTCCGCTGCGTGCGCTACTCAGGGATGCTTTTGGTTGTTTGTAAACGAGTTAATACTACACGTAGCGAGAATATTCCGCGACATGTAGCTGGAAAGACTCCTTCAAGCAAGCCCTAAGACGCCATGCACTCCGGCGAATACGAGACGCCCTCGGAGTACCCGATAGTGCACAGACCCTTGCGGCGATCGCCCAAGACCCCGCTGACATTAACAAGCTGCTACTGCAAGCCACCTCTTTTCAGCTGATACAATTACCTCGGACACCAGTGAACAGCTGCTTTTGCTCTGGAAGCCGGGGAGACCACTACTATGACCTGAAGAGTCAGACCATGAGCAGAGCCTCCTCTTGGTATTGTTTGCATCATGCAACTTGTAATGCATCGCGACCAAGTGTTCGTCGGTCGTAATGAGCGTTCGGACTGGGCGCTCGTATGAATTGTTTGGCTGAAGGCCAAGACATGTTCCTTTGATGTTGCGAACTATTTCGACAAAGCCAAGGGCGTAAGCCTCAAGTTTACTACTACTGAGTCCTAGTACTGACGATGTCTGGCTGAGGGGATCTCCTAAGTATAAAAGAATGATTTCCCCGACTGAAGAACGACAGCAGAAATTTATCCGCGGCAATAATCATCTATACCGCAAACCAATCCTCGACAAAGTCCCCGTTCGCACATCAACTATTCGATAGATCAGTCAATATGGGCTGGCTCGGTACCCTTGGAGTATATCTTCAATTTCCTTCACCTTGCTACACTCTTCTCTATAGAGTTCACTTCGCTAACCTGCTTCTCTCACTCAAAGCCTGTGTACGGCGACCACGCAAGTGACAAACCCGACAACACCATCCCAGTTCTCAACAACGACAACGGGGACATCAATGCCGGGTACGGTGGAAAGTACGCAACTATTCTTCCCTTCACTTCTTTGCTCCCCCCTACGCTGTTACCCTACATGAAAGAGACTAAGAAGCGAAACCCCTGCAGATTCGTCTGGCTAGTCGCCCAGTACCACGCGGAGCGAGGCACGGGGATCTCCGACATCCGGGTCGTCTTCTCCGACCACGCACGCGAGGGGGCCTTGGACCTGGCCAAGGGAGCGGGCGGGCTGTATCGGTACTTGGAGTTTCGCTATGGCGGCGAGGGCGAGCGGCATGTGAGGCAGGTGGTGCTTGCGCGGCGGAGCGAGCCCATGAATGCGGCCACGGCGCAGAGGCTGGGCTTCCAGGGCTTCAGCGACAATATCGACCACGGTCGCGGGTCGTTCATATACTTGCTGTGGAATTATTGATCCGTACTGGTGCTGAGCGGTTGCGGGATTGGTGATCGGAGGCAACGCCTTGTTGTTCGACTAGTGGGTACTGTGAGGGCGGGCAAGTGAGGTTGATGGAAATATCTAGATAGTAAAGTGGAGTGGGTTTCGATGCTTGCGATGTTTTGACTCTCTACCGTAACCCTGTAGGAAACGTTTCCCAGCACCCGATTATGCAGCACCTGCAAGCAGACTAGACTATTACTCTATGGTCAAGCATACTTTTCAAGGCCCTTAAAAGGCATTTTCGGTTCTTTCCGCGTCGTTTTGCAGTCGCCATACGACTCAACCCCATGTTCCATTAAGGCAGTGGGAGAGATGCAGCTGGCCCATTACTGGTGTGTACTCCAAGGCAACTCCCCATCGCCACCCTGCAAGATGATCTGAGACTGGCTTCGCACAAAGAGCTTCTGGCCGGTGGGACTCGACACGAGGCGATCGAGGGCGTGTACCACGCGGGACGGCCAGTGTATCTCCATCCCCAGTTCCTGCGCCAGCATATTACAACGGACCATGATACGGAAGCACTCATCCAGGTACTTCTCCAGCACCGTCCGATTTCCCACGTGAAGGGGATCATGTGGCACGGGGAGACGGTTTCGTGGTCGATCGTATTCCGTCCATGTGGTGATATCCAACACCAACTCCTGCGGCAACCCTTTGTGTCGCAGATAAGCCTCCACCCGCGCAATATCCGATGCACTCGGATGATAGGGGGCATCTGTATCGCAGGTCAAAAACACCTCGAACGGAACCTTTCCAAATGGAAAGTTATCTTCATTCAGAAAGAGACATGGCTCGTAGGGATCGTCCTCGTTGTGGAGCGGGACGCTGATGGGCACCCTCGCCTGTTCTTCGGCCAGAAGCTTGGCCATGATTGGCAGGTGGAACTGCCGCTCGATGGTGAAAGGCGCTTCGAAATGGTCTTCCAGCCCGAAGAACCGGCGATGGAATTGGCTCGGAACTTCGGCCTGCGAGTGCATTTGCGTCCATAGGAAGAGAGTTCGTTGGTACATTTTCGTGTCGCGGTAATCATCCGATCCGGGGCTGCTGTGCGCCCGCAGCTCCCGAAAGCTGTCCAGAATGTTCAAAAGGAGGTAGAAATCCAGCGTGGCCTCGAAGACCTGATCCCACCCGACTTCTGAGTCCTGAGATTTACATTCAGTTTGTTTGACCTTGGAAGAGGCTGTGCGGAAAGATGTGATGAAATGCGACCGTAACTTACTGTATCCCAACACTCCCGGGCTTCCATCCATTCCCGCAGCCCGATCGCCGGATGGGCGCAGAGTCGTAGAACGGGGTCCATCTCACCCAAGACTAGAAGGGCGTTGACCACCTGCAGATTGAAAAAGGCATCGCCATTGACCCGGAAGAATTCAAAACAATCGTTGTGTTGGTATTGACGCAGGAAGGCGGATCCCAGTCTTTCCCTGTAGGGCAGCGGGCATCCGCACGCGAAGCCCTCACTCTCGACATGCCGACACAGGTCTGGCGAGTTGGTCACCTTCGAGCCAAACTCCCAGCAGTCGTTCTGGCACCATGCGTAGGCCAGCGGCTGGACCTTGTGGGCTACCTCGTCGGCCAAGATGATATCGTCTCGCTGGGGTGGGTCATACCTCGCCGGGTATTTCCGCCGCTCGCGCTCGGTCTCGCTGGCAATCGCATGGGCCAGGGACTCGGCGAACTGGCCGATCTCTTGGCCCTGTTGGGGCCTGAAGCGGAAGTACAGATTCGTAGCCTCGGATACATCGGCAGAGGGATGGGATTGGAAAACGAGATTGGATGTCAAGGCATCCCAGCAGATGCCGTCGACTTGATGAGCCATTCTGAGGGGGAGACGGAGGGAGGGCGGGGGGATTTTACTGAACTCGGGTTAAAGGAACACGGTGACATATAAAAATATAAACATGCGAGGAAAGAAGGCCGCAGGAGCATGGGCCCACTCATTTGTTGTTTTGGGAACGAGTGCTTTACCAAATTCATGATTTAGATTCCTCAAGCGCATTCTAAGTGGCGGATAAACCGATATCCAACACGATAGGCCCGCTTACTGTGACTCATTTAGACGATAAGATGTGAAAACCTGGTAATCTAGAGATTCTGCCAAAACCAACCTTTGCCCTGCTACCGCTGTAGGGGAGCCAAAACAAACAGCCAGATCCGCGAAGATATCAGATGCTAATGTTTTTCGCGGAATAGTGATATATCCAAGCTCCATAATTAATCCGATGAGCTCCCCTACAGGAACAGCAACGCCCAAAGTGGCTGTGCGCTGAGGCGATGAGCAGCGCCACCTTTTACATCCAGCCGTTTAGAAATGGGCTTACTAAAGTTATTGCACTCTCGTCTATACTTGAAGAATGACACAACGGATATTGACATGTCAGCTAAATTATCCATGGACTTGGTGTGATGCGTTAGATATCAGAATGCAGCGATTCAGTATATGTAAATGAGGGGGTGTTGTATATATCATCTGGCGGCTCGATCATGGAGACGGGAGCTTTTTGTATGACTAGTAGTGAGGAACAATAGTAGCGCGGTCGAGTCACTATAACTCTGTCCTCAGCTGCCAACCCTATGTCTTCGGGTTCATATCATGCCTAAACAAGGGACAAATCTGCCAGTAGAATAATCCACTTTGCTTGGGCCGGGTCGTATATCTTTTCATCAGTCTACACTACGTTTAAAGGATCGCACATGACCGATAGATGAAACCACATACAACGTGAAGACAGCCTGTCTATGAGTACGGATCATACAGAGCGACTCGTGCTGTAGACTGTTTCACACCCGACAACTGGACCGGCTACTGGCTGCTATTTTCGTTCCTACTTGGTGCCTCGATTACGAGCTTGTCGAGGCAAAGAACAAAAAAGAAGTGCGTCTCTATTGCAGAGGCCAGCTCTGCCAGTCTAACGGCCAATCCTTGGTTGCCCGGGCCAACGGCCAAATAGACTCAAAGATCTCAAGATCCGCGCTCGTCACTGCTGATCTCCTTCCCTCCCAGCGTGCTGTCTCACGGTTTCGGGGCCGCAGCCAACCGGCACCATCCCAAGCGACCTGCCACTTCCCCATGACCTGAAAGTTGAGATACCCGCGCGCAAGAAGAGCCTGTGAGTTTCTTATTTCAGGGGCCACCCGATACTGACCGTGGTGGCCTGCGAGCGGGTGGAGGCGCAGCAGTCGCAGAGTGCCCCTCTGCGGCCGCGGGTGGATACGCTTGAAGATGGCCGCGGCCAGCGGGGCGTCGATCGCGCAGTTGATGGCACAGTCCCGGAGAATCCATCTGGGCACGTGGTCCTGGTTGTGCCCCTGCTCGTACTCACTCAGCGCGCGCGGCGGGAAGGGTGTCCCGTCGTTCTGCACCACCGGGAGGCAGTTGAGAACGAGGTCCAGTGTCTCCAGCGCCGGGAATTCGCCGAGGGCCTTGTAGGCCTCCGTTTCGGTGGGGTGGCCCCGGTGGCGCTGCACGCAGATGCGCAGCGTCTTCAGCCTCGGGCAGCGGACTGCCATCCGGCGAATCGCATCCGCGGGAAACATCGGGGCGATCTGACCCTTTTGCGCCAGCCGGGTGGACTCGTAGCTTTGGTACTTGGGGGTCTCACGATGCAGCTTCAACTCGACCAACGTCGAGCCATGGCGGTCGAGGACGGCAGTGGGGAGAATCGTCGGATCGTACGTGCCCAGAAGGCAGAGATACGTCAGCGGCGGAAGCGAGTCGAACATCGCCTGAATGGTCTGGGACCATGAGGGTAGAGAGTCTGCAGGCGGCTGGAGGGAGATGGTGAGACGCTTGAGGGCGCGGAAGGGCTGCAGGTCTGTGATGGCTGCCAGCGCGCTCTCCTCTTCTAGGGCGCCCGCCGTCCATGCAGTCAGGTAGCCCAGGTCGGTCACCCGGGACCACGCTTGGAACCCGTCCCCGGTCATTGTGGTGCTTAAGGGTAATGACAAGATTTCCAGCCTCGCACGCGTAGGACTGGTATCGATTCCGCTCTCCGGCGGCCGGGACTCGAGCCATTTGGTGTAGTTCTGCCGTGTGCTGCCTGGCGTCTTCGGGCTGATCTGCAAGGACACCTGCTTGATATGGGGCGCTTGGCGTAGGAGATCTCGCAGAGAGCGATCGGGATGCTCCGTGTGAACGGTCTCATAGACTGGATCTTCGTAGTAGATAACCCGAACCGCATGTAGCACCGGAGATTGAGCCCATCTCTTCCGCGAGAAGTCCTCCGCTGGGTAGAAGCTGCAGCGGGGAGATACCGATACGCGGCAGTGCGGGTGCGCCTGGGCGAGAACATGTAACAGTTCCGGCGGGTAGTACATGTGAATCAGGAAATCGAAGCGCTTCAGCGAAGTCAGCCGCTGCACGAGGCGGATGATGGGGTTCCAATCCCCCATGTATACACCCAACCCGGGGACGATGATATCCTCCGGGGGACTTTGGCGTAGATACCGACAGAGCCTCTCGTCCTTCGCTGCTGCTATGGAACGCCTCGTATCTCTATTCAACAGTATCACGTGTTTCACAAGCGGTAGAATGAGGGTAGCGTCCAGAAGCCGAATCACGCGGTCAAGATGAGCTGGCTTCTTGGCCTCTAGGTGGATAAGGAGGGTTCCATAGACGCCAGGTCCGGCAATCTCGTGCCACTCATGGTTCACCTGCGATAAATCCCGCAGGGAATCCCGCGACACATCGCCGATCCAGCAGATGCGGTTAGAGGGGTTCATTAATACAATGCAAACGTCACTGTTCTTACCACGTCAGCAATCATTTGCTTTATTTCGACTGGCAAGCGGTTCATGATGAGAGGCTTGTCTGGTGCCGAAGCAAGGAAGGAAAGAGGGGCAACAAGCTGGAGAAGAACAGACATACACTTGGGTATTCACTCAGGATTATATCACGTGAGCTGACGGTTCGTGCACCCAATCAGCGCCTTGCTTATTAGGTCACACTTCGTAAATCAATTGCAGGGAATCCTATATACAGTACTTATATCTCGGAATTTGGGACGAAGATTCAATTGTGGCGTGTAGGGTGACTGGGTCGAAGAAGGCTGTTTGGCAAGTTTTTCACCTCAGTACATCTTCTTCCCACTTCTTCGACCTGTTCAAACTTCTTGTGCTTGTTGACGCAGAAGTACAATCGGCTGACCACTGTGCACACTACCCCCCGGCTGAATCAAGACCTTTACCACGGTGGCGCCCGCCATTGCCGCAGCTACATCGACATTGATTTCCATTTTCATCGCCTCCAATATTGCGAGGGTCTGGCCTTCGGTCGCCGTAGTGCCCGGCTCAACAAGGACCTTCCACACGTTGGCGCTGGTCGGGGCTTCGACCGCTTGAATTGTCGCGTCTAGAAAAAGGGGCATGAGATCAGTCCGGTGGTCTGAATGTAGAGCCAGGAGTGCCAATCAACTTACCCTGCAGTAAGCGTGCTACCTCATCGTCGTCAGGCACCATCGCGTCTTTCTCCGCGAGCCATTGATCCAGGAGAGCCTTCTCCCTTGCCGTGGCTTGGGTGGCTGCCACGATCTGCTTTTGCCGAATTACCTCCATTTCTGCCCCGATCTCCTTCTGCAGTTGGTGGTATTCGGCCATGTCGAAGACACCATCCTCGACCTGAAATTGATACCGCCCCGCCTGAAGGTCTGCCACTATCCTGTCGTACTCCTCCCCTAACACTTCGAAGAAGCTGATTGTATCCATATCCTGAATCAGCCAGGGTTGCCGCTGGAAGACTGGGTTTGTGCCGTAGAGATCGAGCGTTGGGAGAGACATTCCCAGGGGCATATACCCACCGGGGCCATCGACCTGGTAAAGACATATTGACGAGCCACCGTGGGCAAAGCAGCCGCCGGGGGTGTAGTTGCGACTGGGATTCATCTTGGGGGTGCGGATGCGGTGACGGGGGTCTTGGGGCACGGCAATGGGCAAGGCCATGATGAACCCCACTGCGAGGACGACGTTCTCGGCCGCCAACAGGACCTCCTTTAGCTCCTGCGGGGTCAGGCCGTTGAACTCGGCTACATACGCGAAGGGGTCCGGGAGGTAGGCTGCGGTCGACCGCTGGGTGGCCGTGTAGCGCTCGAGCATCTCGACCAGCTTCTGGTGCCGGAAGGTGACAGGGAGCCGGTACCGACGGATGGGCAAACGGACACGGCGCATGTCCCCAAGGGTGTGTTCAATCTCAATCAGTCCGCGGACCAGATCAGCTCGCTCCATTCCCAGGCCGTTATACCAGACGGCCAACGAGCTTCCGCACGCGACCAGGTTGTAAATCTGGCCGCCTTGGTTCCGGTTGGTGGAGACCGCCCCGGTGGCCGACTCGAGGGCGCGTTTCAGCGCTGTCGACCGACACTTCATCTCCAGGTCCATTTTGCCATCGCCGTACTCGACGAGGAGGTAGTCGTCCCCTCCAGATCGGTAGGTCACCTTGGGCTGCGTCTCAGTCGCCTTCAGGGAAGCCACCACGTCCTGTCCCGGGGCATAGGCAAGGGAATTCAGCGCCGCATCATCGAAAGCGACAGCATCATCCCACGAGCCATTCGCCACACAGAAAGCCATCCTCTGCAGAAAGCGCTCGTGTCGGCGCCTGCACGCCAGCGCAGTATTGAGGTCGACCCGGTGGAACCGGAGGGTGTCTCCAGCGCGAAGCTGGCCGAGCTTATAGAAGTCCGCGCGTATAACGGTCAGACTGCACAGGAAGCCGCCAAAGTCCGGACAGTCCACCGGCAACAGGACCGGCTCGTCCCCAGTCCAGTTCAGACCGCCCATCGGGTATCCATATTCGAAGACGTTGCTCGGGTGGGACCCTCCATCGCCCCCGTCGCCACGCGCATACTCCGGTCTCGGGCCGATGAGGCGGATGCCACCCCGTGCAGCATTATGGCTCACCCTCCAGGTTGTTGAAAAGCACATCTCAATGTCTTTGAGGGTCAGATAGCCGGTCTCGTATGGGCCAGGCATGACGTGAATTACCCAGTCGGTATAATACTGGGGGATCACGGAGCGTGGCATACTGATGGCTCGTGCTTCCGGAAGCTGGTCCCGCGAGACAATGTGCAGGACATCGCCAGCGCGGAGGGGCCGACCTTGGTACCCGCCGACTCCGACCAGCGGGTTAGTCGATTTACTGTTGAACCAGCTCGCAATGTTGAGAAGCCCGCCATAGACAGCCAGGTATACACGGCACTGCGCAGCCAGTTTCCCAATTTTGAGCGTCTGACCTGCCTGGACACTAACACGCATCCATTGGAGAAGCTCTTGACCGTCCAGCGTAGCACGGATGAGAGGGCCGCAGAGTGCTACCACTGCCTCTCCGAGGAACAGAAGCTCGGGGCCCGTGAGCGTGATCTCGAGCGCCTCCGTGGTCGGAGGGTTTCCCACGAGGATATTGGCGGCTTGGAAAGCGATCGGATCCATCGGACCGGCATGACCAAATCCGTGACCAACGGACGGTCGCCCGGGATAATCTTCCACGAGGGTGTATGATCCGCCAGAAATGACATCAATGGCTGCAGGGGCATAGTCCAGCGAGTCGAGGAACTTGGTAATGGTATGGCCCATACGGAATCGATCGTCGTCGACAATCGCTGAGAGGTAGTCGAGATTGACCGGGGGGCCGCAGATTACACTCTTTGCCAGCACTTCTGCCATTCCAGCCACCGTGTCAGATCGGGTGGATGCGTGGTACATGATCTTGGACAGCAGGGGGTCATAGTCGGGGCTAACCGTGAGACCAGCCCTAATCCAGGTGTCGATTCGGGTTCCAGGGGGCTCGTGCCACCTCACCTCCTGGAGTAGACCCGGACTAGGCGCGAAGCTCCTAGCCGGATTCTCGGCATAGACTCGTGCCTCAATCGCATGGCCACGTGGCTCCAGCCACTGTGCTTGCCAGGCCTCCAGCTTCTCCGATGGAATGCCGCCGCATCCCCCGAGCTCGCAGTCTGCTTGTTGTAACATGAGCTCTACCAGATTAACCTTGTAGCACATCTCCGTGATTCCGTGCTCCACCTGCAGTCGGGTGTTCATCTCCAAAAAGAAGAAGTCTCCAGACACATCATCCACGAGGTATTCGACTGTGCCGGCGGAGCCGTACTGAACGCTCTCCGCCAGCGCCACCGCGGCCTCTGTCAGCTTGGCCCGGAGCCCCGGGAACCGTTGCGTCACAAAAGGACTGGGGCACTCCTCCACAACCTTCTGATTCCGGCGCTGAATCGAGCACTCCCTCTCCCCGATGCTGATGGCTCTTCCCTGCCCGTTGCCGAAGACCTGCACTTCGATGTGGTGACTATCCGGATAGTACCGCTCCAGGAAGACGCCCGCGTTTTTGAACAACGACTCTCCGCGGGATCTGGTCGACTGGAAATTCTGGCGCAGCTGTGTCTCTTTGGTGCAGGCCATCAGGCCCATGCCGCCCCCGCCCGCGGTAGCCTTGAGCATCACTGGGTAGCCGAGCTGTTGAGCCACTTCCACAGCGGCATCTTCCGACTGAACAAGGCCCGGGGATCCGGGCACTACGGGTACGCCCGCCGCCAGCGCCAGATCCCGGGCCATGTGTTTGAGACCGAAAGACTCGATGGCCTCGGGCGAGGGTCCGACAAAGATCAGGCCCGCCGCGGCAACAGCCCGGGCAAAGGCGGCGTTCTCGGAGAGAAACCCATAGCCGGGGATGATGGCCTGCACATCTCGTGATTTAGCGATGGCGATAATCTGTTCACTGCTGGGACGCGATCATAATTTAGCTGGGTAGTGTGTAGAGCGTGGATTTGTGGTTACACACCCATCAATATACGCAGCTCTGGCCTCCCCGGTCAGGAGAACTGCCTCATCAGCAGCGCCAACATGCCCCGATTGTGAATCCGATTCGCTGTAAATAGCGACCGTGCGAATGCCAAGCTTTCTGTGGCCCTTTGGCTATCAACGGACACAGTGGATACGCGGGGCTGCACTCACTTTGCGGCTACCAGAAGTCGACAGGCGATCTCGCCCCGGTTTGCTACAAGTAGGACTTTGAGGTGTTTCATGCTGCAAGGGTAAGGGAACGAGCCGGTGTAGGAATCGCTTGGGCTAACCAAAACCACTTCTCTGGGAAGTAGTGAGTACAGAAGTGGAATTTAAGCCCTTTTTCTGTGAACCATCTTGATGGCCCCACGTTCCTAAAGATAAGAGTCTCTACCTGGTTTTGTGATAACAGCTTCCCCTCTACTGCTAGAGAAGCGGGGTTCAGCTCGTAGAGAAGAGGGGCACTGCGGGCGCTGCACTGCATGCGACAATCATTTCCCAAAGGGTCAACCCCTGTGAGTTGACGCAATATTGGTTGGGCAGATTCTGCATGGACTCGTAACTCCATCAGATTGACGTCTCATCATTCCAAGGACGGCAGAACTCGCTCCGAAACCACTGGCCCCGTCTTCCCGAAAAGACAGGCTATTTCCGATGTGGTGCCCCGACAATTGCTTATCAATATATTGATATCTATATCTTATCTTATTTACAGTCCGCTGTCGTCGCAATGAATCCAGGCATGTAGTTCCTAGCTACAACCGTCGCACTACTTGGAAACGGCGTTCTCTGGTAGTGCGGTGGTTATTCAGACAAATGAAAGACTATCACGAACTGACATAACGGTATGGAAAGCCCCCCCTTCTTCTGCAGGGATCTAATTGAGGTACATCAGACTTCAGCCGGATACCAGCGGTGTCACATTCGCCTCTCAGAGGATTCAGTGTTTCCTCAGCTAGCCCTACCAGATCAATGGCTAGCTCTTCCAGCTGGAAAGAGGAGGTCCGGTCGCGCACCAACGTCGACAGATCCGACAACAGATCCAGGTAATATTCATTAACAATGTCCACGATACTCAAGCTCTTGAGAGATGCAGGAAAGAGCTCAGTCAGTGGGATTTCACCGATGAGGAAACTATGGCGCATCACCAGGTTCTCGAGAACGGTAAATGGTTTCAGAGACCCAATTTGCTCCTCGGCATGCTCAGCGAAATCGGCATCGGTCCACTGTTCAATCTGCCACGCCGTATCATAAGCATTGGTGCCCTCCAACCGGAGAGTCATGAGCGTGGCAGCAACAGGAAGCAAGGACCGGCGGAACCGTGGCGCCGAGAATGGCACATCCCGCGCACCGAACATGTCGTCCCAGCGGCTATACCGCCCAATCGTCACCGCCAGGTACTGCAGGTCGGTGCTGGCTGCAACCCAGTCAGACAGCGCAGGCCAGTAGGTCATATTGGAGATTGTCAGCTCTCGGACCGGGCGCGAGGAATGCTTCACAGTCAGAGGTGCGAGCGGCGGTCGTGGATCGGATTGACCCCTCTGGGAAAAGGCCGAGCCCTTGATAATGCGGACTGCGGGCAGGTAAAAGAACGGCGTGAGAAACTCCGGGTCCATCCACGGACGGGTGGAAAAGCGGAGGTCGCAATGGGATGTGACCTCAACCAGCTGCGGCAAAGGTGGGGTCCGGTGGAAAGGTTGCTCTCGCCGCGCAGCCTTATAGAAAAGGTCGGACATCAGGAAGGAGCAATCATGGACGACCCAAAGGGTTCTCAGCCCCGTCAACCGGACCAGAAGAACCGCCACCGATGCCTCCCTACAAAGAATCTCCAGATGGACTCTCCACTTCAGCCTGGTCTCTGCCTCCGAGGGGCTGAGGGTTTCGGCCAGGGCGTGGTCAAGAACCTCAAGCAGCTCGGGCTGGTCCAGTCTATAGCGCAATATGTATGATTAATTGCGTTGCACGTCTCTATGGTTTTTGCACAGCTTGCCCAGATAACCTCCAATCGGTGCACCAGACGGGGCGCCTTCCTCCCCCGTCTCCCACCAACCCGGAGCAACCCCTAAAGACATTTACCATTGTCGATATTGGCGATTCCCAGGGAGTGGACCTCCAGCGGTTCGCGACGACATTCGGCGACGTGCCAAGTGAGCTGATAGTCCAGGATCTCCGGTCCCCCGGGGACTCGATCCGAGGTCTCGACAAGTGGTGTATGATTTCTTTACACTGCAGCCAGTCAAAGGTAAGAGCTGAATCTGCCCTGCTTCTGTTCGGCGTCGAGTTTTGTTTCTGCTTCCCTGCTTTCTTATCTTCTCGAATTATCCATGAGAGAAATTCCAGGAGCGAATCTCCACTACCTCAAATCGATCCTGCACGATTGGAACGACGAAGCAGCTGGGAAGTTCCTGTCGAACACGGCGCAGGTGATGGGTCTACACTCGCGGCTGTTGATCAATGAGACGGTGCTCGCAGAGGCCGGGGAGACGCTGGCGCGGGCGGACGAGGCGGCAGTGGGAGGAGTTACTGGGCCGGGTGGCGGTGTGGCCTGGGGAAGGAGCCGATCCGCAATGCGTGATTGAGAGTTTTTTGATGGAGTCTGAGGCATGAGTGAGTGGGTCTAGCTGTAGGGAGTTTCATTCACATCCTATTCGACTCAGAAAGATGAAGATGGTTTGAAATGCTTGGCAAAAAATACAACAGAAGGGATTTGCTGGTGGTCACCCACCCAACTACTAACCTCCCGGCGTGTGGCTTAAGTACGGCTGAGCGGACGGGAAGCCCTGTTGTCCACACCCTGTGGTCGTATGTACTAGAAGCAACAACACGCAGCTTTATATAGCTAGGTCAAATCCTGATGCTCGAAGATTCTTCCACGCCGCATCCGCCTAACGCAAACTCTGAAAATAAGATCCTGTAAGTCACTGCCTGCTGACTTCTCTATAATATCTGATCTTTTTCGAGGCTTTCTTGGCAGTGCCACACTCCCTATTCCATCCCTCGCAGACTCGTAAACCTTCTAGCAAGAATTGAGGGGTGTGATACGGAAGCATTTGACAACCAAATCCCACTGAGGTGGAGGGAAGAAGATCTCGGCAAAATTTCGGGTGGATACATTACGAGCGTAATTCGATTGAAGCATGAATAGGACTCTTCCCCCCCACCCTTCACACTACCTCTGCGCGTGTCATTCGGCCCTTAATATGTGCGTACAGGACCGCCCATCCTCTGACGGCACACTGAGCTGAGAAAGCAAGAAGGCTGACGCGAGAAGCTTACATGGTTTAACAACTCGTGGGGTACATACATGCGGAAGTATGGTATGTTGTGAAGTCAAGAAGAGGGAACCATCGCTACAGCAAGATAGGTGTGAAAGAGATCAGAAGATTCTCTGAGCAGACTACGAGGTAGTGCGGGAACTGTGGAGGACTTTATATGTTCGTGAATCTGTACCCCGTTATGTAGATCTAAACAAGCATCCTTTGACACGGGCATGGGGAAGCTGAGCCCTAATTCAGGACAACTAGCCAGGCCGGGTGCGGGTAGGGTCGGGAGTCCCGGCCGCAGAAGTTTGGACGTTTATCTCCACCCACTCCCTGAAAAGAACGGACTCGGTATGTATACTGATACAATGAGAAAAGCAATATCAGAAAGAAGGATCTGTAAAGACACATGGGAGGTAGACGGGACGGCTGAAGCCGAAGAGAGAATCCCAGTACTTTTATATCTTGACGCAGTCAGCATATCTAAGGGCTATCTATTCCTTTCTCAAACATTCCAAAGCCTAGAACTGGTCACTGTCGAATTGTTGACGATGGTGGCCATGAGCTGTTGGAGCTTCCGACGAGTGTCGTCTGTTTTTTCCGCATCACGTTCATTCCAAACCATGTTCTTAAACTCCTCCCGAAAGTGGTCCGCCACCTGGATGAACTTGTCATCCCCACCTTTGGCGAGGTTGTCAAACGCCACTTTCATCTGTCCAAGCCCTCGGAGTTGGTCCCGATACGGCAACACCGGGTCGCTAGTAGGACTACTGGTAGTCCCAGCCTCGGGGGCGGGGCCGGTCAACAGCCGCTCACAATACAGCAGAACGCCAGCCAACCCGGCTGCGAGCGCGGTGGAGACCGAGCTGCCGTATGGGCCGGCCTGGGGGTAGGTGGTGGGGCCCGATTGGGAGGAGGAAGAACTCCCCTTTCGCGGCAGGGAGACATTCTCTCCCGGTAACAAAAAGTCACAGGCGTCCTTGGAGACCCAGCCGAGCCGCTCCCCCGTGACCGTCGACGCGCCGATCTTGATGCAGTTTTTATTCTTCCCGGGATAGGTGTTGTCGCGGACGTGGCTGCCCTGATCAATGGCGGAGCACAGCATGATGATCTGGTTCTTCTCGGCCCGGCCGATGGCGTCATTGAGATGCGTCAATTCGCGGTTGGAATTGATGGACCAGCTCATTGAGATAATGTCGACGTCTCGATCGACGGCCCAATTTATTGCCTGTGTATTCGATCATCAGGGGGCTAATGGAGGAAGAGAGGAAAGGAGGAAGGGGAGGGGCGTGTGGTGACTTACGTCCGTCGCAGACTCGGAAGTAAACGAGCGTCGTCCATCGGAACGGTCCACGGTCTCCAGCTGAGCCACATAGAGCTTGACCACTGGGCACACGGTGCAGATCAGATGCGCCATCAGCGTTCCGTGACTCCCCGAAGGAACGTAGTAGGCTCCCCCGCGCTTCCCGTAAACCTCGTCCAAGACCAAGAACGAGTCGCCCGCGCCGATCTTGTCGTTGAAGATGTCGAGCCCGATGTCGATGCCATCGTCGATCACCGCAATCTTGATATGCTCCATGGCCGGTGATGCCGATCGGAGAAACTCCCCAAAGTGTGTCATGAGTTCTAACCATGGGTTTCGCCTGCCAAGAAGGAGTACAATTCGAGTCAGCAAGAGGAACGAGAATGCGCGGCTGAGTGGTGGATTGTCGCTCACTTCGTCATCGAGGTTAGCTTTTCCCGGAACCCGGAGGCATAGCTTTCCTTCGTGCTATCAGTCGTCCAGTTGAATTCCAGCTTGGGTTTGTCTGGTTTCCCTTGTCTAAGTCGGTGCTCGAAGAGTTTCATATGTTCTTCCAACCTTGTTGGACTTTCGAGGCCCTGACAAGAATCACATTAGAAGTCACATTGGTTTCTTGGTCGACTCGGTGGTCGGCCATGGCGGGCTTTTTTTTGCTCGGGTCAGATCTTCTTACCTCTCGCACGTACAGATGAACCTTCTCCAACTGCATAAAGAGGGGTCAATGTTTGTATTGGACTGAAGGGAGTGTTTGTGGGTACGAGGATGGTTGAGGAGGGACCAGGCGAGGGTAGCAAAGAGTGCGGGAAACCCTACATTGGGAAACCGGGCAAGGCCGTCAGCGCTCGACCACCCCAGAAGAACTGCATTGTTGCCCGATGAATACAGAGATACTTCCCTTACAGTTTCCAGAGCCACCTTCGCTATGACATCTGTGCACAGATCGATCTTCTTCCAGTTCCAAACCTCGACTCTCAGGCCATCGAGACATTCTTCGATGGCTTCGTCTGAGTGTGGTGGGTCCGTATCATCGATTACAACAACGCGAATGATCGACTCAACACCATGCTTCTTGAGCCATCTGAAGATGTTGGCTAAACTTCTACTGCCCTTTCCTCTAAATCTCAATTGAATTGGTGAGTTGGCTCTTGAATAAGTTCAGCCGGCCACTTACTGTTCCTGAGGCTTGCGCTGTGACTCTGGCACAGGCGGGGCGGGGCTCGCCTCCTCTACCGACAGCCGTGGGAGAGCAACATAGTTGAGAATGCTTTCGAATCTGAGAACCTGAGACAGTCGGTCAAGGTAGTTGGTATCTATAGTGACTAGTGGAAGTCCGGATAAGTCGAAGTCAATCTGCAGGTCTAGTAGTGGTTACCAAGTAGTCAGAACGAGCGCGAACCCAACTGGGTGTTGAGGGGGATCATGTAAGAACCTTCGCCAACCGTGTAGAGGGCTGTCAGGGCATCCCGACGAGGAAGCCTTCGAATACAGTAGGACCGGATAAACCTAGCAATGTCGTCCTGTTTGACCAACTCTTGAGGGTTGATCTTGGGCGTGTCGGCGGTCAAAGCGTCCGGAGCTCGCTGACGTCTTTCGCGCTCCAGATGCAAAATCCGGGCCTGGTAGGGAGTGTTTCCCCATTTATCCCGGTATTGATAGAGAGCCGCTGGCATGGCATCAACTAGGTCTTGAACTATTTGAAGTGGACTTGACCTCGTGCTGCTTGCCGGTTTCTGCGTTTCTGGAGCATGTGCAATTGCTACAGGCGGAGGTCTGTCCCTTCGATCATCCGCTGCCGTGAGCTTGAACTCGACGGTGTCCTTCCGGGAAAGACCAGCCAGTCCTTGTCGATTTCGAGAATTGTTTCGAGGCCGATCTTCTGACGAAAGCTTATCGATATTCTTCAGGGGCCACGAAGGAGGCGCTAGATGGGTTGTACGACTACTGGCCACGGAAAGTTTATCCACAACCGCTGAAGAGTCTTCCTCTTGTTGCACCGCGAGGCTCAGTGGTGTATCCCGATCGTCGTGTGTCATTTTGTCGAAGATCTTTACCTCGCTTTGGTAGCAAACGCCCAAGTGGATGAGGTCCCTGGTGTAGCGGCTGTTATAGTTGATGGCAGAATGAAGACAGTGCTCGCCCCCCTTCGTTTCAGCCTTGAATAATACCTTTTTCGGTTGGTCTGCAGTATGCGTGAGGATGAGTCCCACCATGTCATCGTTCTTGTTTTCCAGGGCCGTATGAAGGGGCGTGTTTCCCGCGTTGGTTAGGCAACCGAGCAGATTTGGATGCTTCTTGAGAGTCCAAATCAGGAATTTCTCATGTTGAAGGGTCTTCTTGCTGTCCTTGGCGAGAACATGCAATAGCTCACCATCCACCGTTTGGGTGTGCACCTTGGTCAAGCGAGCCGCGTGTTGCTTGGAGAATTCCGCTACGGACGAATGGTCGTCTTGTTGCGAAAAGTCGATGTTTTGCGCATCCTGCAGAACTTCTTCAATAGAGGTTTCCTTTTCTTTAGGTCGTGTAATATAGGTCTCAGGGCCTAGTAATGAACGTTTTGGCATGATGACAGACTGAAGAATTAGGGTAATCTCTGCTGTTCAGGGACGAAGCCCAGCTATACTGTAGTCACTTTAAACAAGCCAGATCCTCTGCTAAGCACAGTAGAGCACGCCCCCGCAGTACTGTACAGACCTCCGACAGGGACTCGGCCTCGAAGCAAGCCACTAAAATCACTTGATGGTTCTAATAGAGTCGTTTGTGGGTAAAGTTTGCCTGTTTGGGCAAGTATTCAAATGTTTCCTTGAGGGGTTATGAAATTAGAGGCTTAATCCTGTAGTGTGCAGTACAGTACAGTACAGTAGCGCCTGAATGGAAGATGTTTGCTTTTTCGGTGTGACGTGTTCATGTACGGAGACTTGTGATGTGATTCAGCTGCAGCCAGCACAACAAACAATCATCTCTGGACAAATCAGCATTGAAGGATCGACTCTAGCTCCTGATCGCCGATCTCCCACTGCTACTCACATCATGTAGTTATCTACAGTACGGAGTACACTAGCAGGTGAATCAGTTGCCCTTCCGCCTTATTCCGGGCGCTTCCGCTGCTACCTCTGCTACCTAGACTAAACCTCGAGGCATGCAGCTCTCATACCCCTCACCTGGAGCTCACAGAGCAAAGGAAAGGACCCAGCCACCTACATAAGTATGAGAGATTGAAACGATCATTGATGCGGTCCTTGAGCCTTCGCTTTGTCGCCCATCTGACCGCAAACACCATTCCTAGATCAATTCGCAGCAGAGGCAGTCAAATAAGCAAGTGCAACATGGCAGATACTTCTTTTACCATCAATCTCATCCCCACAGGGGACGAAAATGATTTTCGTACCAAAAATGAAGACGGGGAGGTGTTTCGAGCTGTGATGGTTTCGAGCCCCAATGACTCCACCCTCAGCATGCGGGGCAAAATCGAAGAGATACACCACGGCCAGATGACCCATGAGGGGCAGTCCCACCCCGCGACACTCCTGCTGTTTGACTTCCGCTTTCAAAGCGAGGCGAGTAGGCGGCGCTACTGCACGGCAAAGATTGTTTTGGAGTTTTTTGATCAGGGAGGGGTCCGCAGCAAGGACCCAATCGTGGTCGAGATGGCACCCACCATGACCAAGTATCTGAACCGCACTTCTCGCACACGTGAGACTAAGAACAGCGCCACTGCTTCTGCCCAAGTGGGCCAGGGGCCCTTCTCCTCCGGTCTGGGCTTTGGATGGGAGGTCCAGGAAACGAGAACTTCCAATTACAGCACTCGTGTTTCCGCTCGACCATGGCACAGTGATCCTTCGTCGGCCAACGAAAACGCGGTGATCTGGTCGATGGAGGAAAATGGCCACAAGAAAGATGGTGTGCCTTCATTCTTACAGACTGCGGTTCTGATTAGGCGCAGTGGGAATCGTCCTTTCATGGCCAAACTCCGAGTGGACAGTAAAGTGGACTTCCGCTCCACGGCTCGACGGATTTTCCCGCTGACCACGGACGTCGACCACATTATCGATCCGGTAACACTGATGCCAGATACCACTCAAGTTCGTTCATCCGCGGTCACTGGGATCCGAGAGGATGACTTACAGGCCATGGAGAAATTGCCCATCGCGCAGTACTTCTGTGTTGACGAGCCTGGGGGCGATGCGGCAGCATCCGATCTCAACATGACATCCCTTTCCCAGCAGCCCAGTTTGTTAAAGTCGGAGAGTGAGGCGACTGTGTCGTTGAATTTGTCCTTGGACAATGGTACCAGTGCTTAGCTCTGCGCGAGCGGTCATGGAAGGTGTCAAGTTTGAGTAACAGGCAGCCAAGTAGTGGGTGACAGTGGACTGATAATGTACTGTAAATACACCACAGTACCACGGAATGTCCGGATGTTGATTTAGGGAGTTTTGAAAGCCTGTTATCTTTAGGCTCCGCTTATTTGTGACTTCTGTTTGCTGCATGCATATGTACTATGATTGCTTGGATAGACAAATCATGACCAATGATGGTCGTCTTGCGTTTGAGAAGATCGCACGGTCAATCAGCTATTTCTGCACCCTTAAGCCCTTAGGTTCTCGGGTGTTTCCCCTTTTAAAGCAGATTGTTTGTGACTTTGCCTCGACACCGCAGTTAGCGTGGATTAACGAGCCCACTCAGTTACTGGTGTAGGTAACATAACATCTTGTCAGCTCAAGCTGATACTTACCACGGGGGATAAAGCTTCTTCTACTCAATCTGTCTCCTCCCCTTGTTAACAGGCTCAGATACTGATGTCCATCTATAGTTCCCGAAAACAAAAATGAACGAGAGTCTTTTGTTGGTGACCCTTCGTCCGCAAGCTCTCTGCAAGTCTTAACGCAGCGCCTCTATTCCTAGGATCATCCTCATCAATGGTATCGATGAGTTTGAAGGCTGCGCGGAGGATCTCAAAAAGTGGCAAAAGTCTTTTGCATACCGCTTTCCGGACTCCTCTGTATTGATGCTAGACTTTCTGCCTGCTCAAGGCCCCTTTCCTCTGGGCGATGAGTGCATTGACAGCGCAGCCAAACAAGTCCTTGATTCCTTGAATGTGAGGCAAAATCGATAACACCGAACTCGACCATTAACGAAACCTGCCCCTGATAACGCAATCTTAGGCCTATCGAAGCCAGCCTCCACCGATCATTTTCGTTTCTTACAACACTGGCGCGACAATTGTAAAGGAGGCAAGTATCTTCGTGTATGCGTGTATTAGTGCATTACAGCCCCCTGACACCCATTATACGTGGACTATTCTATGTGCTTGTTTTAGCATCAGAAAAGCGAGATCTCCAGTGGATCAGGCTGAACACAATTGCCTTGGTGCGTGACTGGATTGGCATCCAATTCAGTCTGGATCTCATTTTGCCTCTCAGTACTTAGTTGAATCCCCCCCCTCACTGGAGGAGCGTGGATGGGAGCGTCTTCTACTGCGATTGCTCGCAGCAGGCCGGCTGGTGCACAAAGATATACCCGGCTTCCTCACATCGTTGCCCAAGACTCTTGCACGCGTTGATGACGACTTTGGGCATGTCTGCGATGCATACCACATCAAATATATCAATGAGCCCCAAATCTTTGACGAAGGGATGGTGCGATGCCCTCTCCACCCCATCAAACGTGTTTTGTTGTGGATACATGTTAACATGGCGCAGATGCCCTTGAAGAGCACCTGGGGATCAGGCGATGATGACCCTATCAATCAACAGATATTTCTAGACATTGATCGGACCATACGGAAAGATTACGCGCGTATGTTCCTCGTGGGATTTATATACCTTCCAGCTGTGTAGCCAGGGAGATTGGCTAATTGCAATAGACCGATCTGAGGAATATGCGGCACTCAAGAGATTATTGTCTGAGCAAAATATCGCAACCCACCATTTGCGATCGGTCATACCCGAAGGAAATTTGTCTATAGCCTGGATTGCTGAGCAGGAAGCCTATAGTCAGTGGCTGCAAGCGGCGCAGCCAAGAACCCTTTGTATTACCGGACCGACGGGCTCAGGAAATACAGTCGTCGCCTCTTACCTGCTGCATAGACTGCGATGTGACGAGGCGCTCGGGCCAAAGACCCTGCTGAGCTTCAGCTTTTACAGTAATGATGCTCGCCGACGAACGGAGCGAAGCTTTCTGGTATCCATCATTCGACAACTCTTCATGTCCCTGATAGATACATACCCCCACCTTCAGCGCCAGTGTCGACTGCTGGCCAAGCAAAAGTCGATCTCATGCGGCCAGCTCTGGGCGCTGTTGCGCCATGTTTTGGTCCAGACGGACCAACAGCCCCAATTTCTTGTGATCAATGGCTTGAGTCAATGCGAGCCGGATGGTGCTCTAGGGGGCTTTTTAGGCACACGTTTGGCTGGTCTTTGTTCTCTCGGGACGCGATTGAAAATCCTAATTACGGGTTCAGCGGACCTATATACAGCGTTCGACGAAATAACCTTGAGTACGGGAACTGGATCCTTGCGTCACCTGGATCTCCCGGCCCTAGACGCCTGGAACACTGCAGTGTATGAGTTCGCCGCCGATGGGGCGTCCAATCTGGTCATCAAGCGTCCCATCTGGCACGGATTAGAAAAGGACATTGTGGACAAAGTCTACACAAAAGGATGCACATTCTTTGACGTGGATCTTCGGTTGCAGCGTCTCCAGGACCGGACAATGAGGTCGACTCGAGGAGCATTGCGTCAAGCTCTAATGGCCTCGACACTTTCGACAGAGGAAGTTTTCCGGATGGCGCTGGATCGGTCATCGAATTCGCACACTGTTCGCCTGGCTTTGAACTGGATTTATCATGCAACATATCCACTGGAATTAACGGAGCTATCTGTCGCGGTAGCGTTGTCTAATCTTGTGGAGACGGACCAGGAATTCGGGTTCGAAGATTTAATGGAGGAGCTGTCCGGTGATATTGGACAGGAACTCGACGAGATCATAGGCTTTGTTTTCTACCTGGGTCAGCGTAAATTGTTTTTGCATCGGTCCTTCCGGGAATATTTCGCGCAGCAAAGTCAGCTGTACCGAGCGGACTTTCATGCCACAATTACCAGCACTTGTCTACGATACATCGACATGATGGCGGACGTTGTCACACTGTTGACACCTGCGAGGAAGGATCTAACACCCATGCAGCTCGAGGCAGTCCAGGAACTTGTTGACTACGCAGTGTGTAACTGGCCAACGCATGCGGCAGAGATCCCAGACCCGCCAGACACATTGAAAGCCGACATCGTCAAGTTCCTTACAGGACGTGGAGCTAGTTGGAGTTGGAATAGACATTGCGAACTTACGGGCTGGGTCGATCTACGGAAGCATATTGGCGACAAGCCCTTATGTCTTGCCACCCATCACAACCTGCCTGACACCGTGAAGACCATTTTGACAGTCCAAGAAAGCCCTCCCGTCGATGACGTGAAGATGGCCATGGAGATTGCCACCATTCAAGGTAATGTGACCATGATGAGGATGCTACAGGCTCTCGGAAACACCCTACCACAACCATCACTCCTTTTAGTGGCTGCCGAGTACGGCCACACTAGTGTCATCGAGGAGCTCTGGGTGGGCATCTTCGAAGGCTCTTATAGTCTAGATGATCGGTGCCCTCTGCTTCTGGCAGCGCAAAACGGCCATACCATGGTTGTCGAATTCCTGTTAGGCAAAGGGGTCAATGTCCAATGCGTCGATGCGGATGGTAACACAGTTGCACATCTAGCAGCCCGGATGGGGGATTTCAACACCTTGCGGGCTCTCAAGACTTGCAGCCAGCACGCAGAAGTTCCATGGAGTGAATTAGGAGAGCACAGCTGCACGCCCCTGCATCTGGCTGCAGAGGCTGGCCAGGTTGAAGCAATCAGGCTGATTGTCGAGTGCGCCGACGCTGAGGACATGGACCGTGTCGATGATCGGGGAAAGACCCCGGTCCAGTTAGCAGCCCGCGAGAGTCACCTAGAAACAATCAATGTTCTCATCGCCCAAGGGGCATTTATGCCAGACCCATTGGAGGACAGCGAGGCGCCAATATGGCTTGCGGTAGAGCATGGCCACCTGGCCTGTTTCCGCAACCTGTTGAAAGGGGCTCTTGAACCCCTCGCAGACTCTGAGCAGAGACAGAGAATTCATCTGAAGGCAATTGAACTCGCAATAGAGGCAGGCCATCGTGAGATTCTGCGTGATTTAACTCAGCACGTGGCGTCGCAACCGGCATTTCACCTAGACTGGCTCCGTTATGCAATCAGGGCGGGACATATCGAAATTGTGGAGGAGCTCGTGTCTCACGCCGGCGTGGAGCTGCCGAAGGATGAATACACATCTCACCTGGATCTGGCAGTCGGAAGAGACTACGTAGATCTCGTCAGATATATGCTAGACCATGGCATGGAGATATTTTCTGATGGGTGGGAAACCTCTTTGCATTATGCTGCCCGAATAGGGCACCACCGCGTGGTTCACGAGATCCTCAAATTGCCTCGAGCACGAGTGATTGAACTCCTCAAGGAACAGGATATTCAGGAGCTCAATGCACTTGAGCTGGCAGCAGTCAATGGCCGCAGCACTGTGGTGCGTGAGTTTCTTGCACATGGGGACATCCTGGCGGAAGCGATGGACCAGCGGTTGCCACCAAGAATTCTTTTCATGGCCGTCAAGAAAGGTGAATCATCGGAGACGGTCAAACAACTCCTTGACCATGGATGGGACGCGAAGTCTCGAGCGTCTGACCAAAATACAGCCCTGCACATGGCCTGTGGAACTGATATGGCTGATCCAGTGCAGCAGGTAAACATCGTCCAAATGCTCTTTGAAAATGGTGCCGATCTGAACGCAGTAAACGGGCACCGTGAAACACCCCTCCATGTAGCCGCCAAGAACCACCTCTGGTCCCTCGTCAACCTCCTCGTAGATCTCGGGGCTGAGGTAGACTGTCAAGATCGCGATTCTATGTCTCTGCTGCATCTGGCTGCAAAGTCTGGATCGGAGGGCGAAGCGACGGTCAGGTATCTGCTGCATCCTGTCAATGGGGAGACAATCTCTGGCAACGGCCCCTCCACTGCTTCCACAAGGGCAGACGCAAACCTGATAGACCATCAGGGCTGGACAGCTCTCCACTTCGCGCACGATTCACCTGGTATCACGTCTCTCCTGTTGCAACATACCAATCTGGAGCTCATGAAGCAGAGAAAATCCAGCTCGACCCCGTTGATCCTGGCAGCTGGAGCCTCCAATCTGGAGGTTGTTAAAATGCTTCTCAAGGCCGGCTGTAGCTGCAACGAGCGCGACGAGACCCAACAGACCGTTCTCCAGAGGGCTGCGTCTCTGGAAAATTTGACTATCGTAGAGGAGCTCCTCGATCGTGGAGCCGATATCAATGCTGTCCGAGACGACGGGGCTACAGCACTCAGTCTGGCATTAGAAGCGGGGAATCTCGAAGTAATTTGGGCTTTGCTCAAACGAAACCCTGACCCGAACATCTACGCAAAACCACGAAAATCACCACTTTATCTAGCCTGTGAACCGGCGAATACTTCTGTTGTTCAGCGACTGGTTGAGCTGGGAGCTATCCCCACTGCTGCTGGGGGACCTTTCGGGACTCCGTTACATCTGGCCGTGCTTGGGGGAGACCTTGAATGCATCTCACTGCTCGCTCGCGATGATTCCCACGATTGTATGGTCCGCCCTTTCGGGACTCCGCTGCACGCCCTGTATGCCATGGCGCACTATACCCTCGGGGAAAATCTGATCCAGACCTCCAATCTTCTGTTGGACAAGGGTGCCAACATCGACCGCCAGGATTATTGGGGGAGAACGCCACTCATGCTCGCATTGCTGCAAGACAGGATCCCTATCGACCACCTGCTTCTTCGCGGCGCACGGCTGGACATTCGGGACGAGATCTCGGCCACTGCACTTCACTACGCGGCGCAGCTACGGCGGCTTGAAGAGGTCAAGCAGCTCCGTCCCGACGCGGCAAGCGTCGAGTGCGTGGACGATGGCGGGAGAAGTCCGCTGTACTGGGCTGCATTAGCCCATGAAAATGTGGCGGACGACCTGTGCGAGAGACTTGAGCTGTTGCTGAACGAGCTGAGCGGGGATGCTAGACGGCGGCAATTACGATCAATCGTCGCTCCACTCGTTGCGCGAGGCTTCAAGCACACGCTACAAACTATCTTTGGTGGCGATTTGGTGAGCTTCCAGGAACAAACGTCTCGCGACTCCTGGCTTGTCTAAGATATTGCCCGCGTCTCGGGGCACCGCGCGCTCGAGGAGTTGCTCCACCCGCGCGCTGACCAGGCTTTTCTATCTAAGACGCACTTAATGTTACCCTCAGGGTTCAGTACCTTTGACCGCAGCTGTACGATTTCCCTGTCGCGCGATAGAAAGACGGCAACGCTATCCGGTATGTTCCTGATCCACAATCCGCAAAAAAAGAAATAGTACTTCTCTTTCTCAGACCCGATCAACTCAATCTTTCATTCCAATAACCCCCTTTGAGCTCGGTGATATACTCAATGCCTCCGTTCGTGCCGACTATTGCATTCCATTTACCATGTCGAGGTTCTATTTCGAGATCAATATACTACAGAGCCCTGATTCACCGTATGCCCCGTCCTTCTCGGGTTTCGCATCGCCCCTCGAGATAATTCTCGCTAACCTTTGATGTCTTCTGTTCTTCTCTTGCATAGTGTTGTCGGAATTGGCCTGTCCAAGGAACACGTCCATCCTGACGACTTTGTCGGCTGGAAGGAGGACTCCTGGGGATATCACGGCGACGACGGTAATTTCCACACGGCCGGCCATCACGAGCCCTACGGTCCATATTATGGCGCCGGGGACGTCGTCGGTTGTGGGTATGACCGGCAGTCGCAAAGTATTTTCTTCACCGTGAACGGTGAGAAGCAGAGTGAGTCTCCTTGAGGTGTCTCTCGTCAATCTCGAGGCCGGGAGCGGGCTTTCTCGCATCATATTACGCCGTCATTCGGGACTGGCTTGCCGTCTCAGGTTGTGACTTACTGATGTAGCATGCTGACAAGCCTCTCTTGCCAGGAGACGTAGCGACGGCGGTGTGCGGTCAGCTGTATCCGACCGTCTCGATCCAGCGCCTGGTGGCCGACACACATGTCGTCATCAACTTTGGGCCGTACTTCCAGTTTGATACCGCCGAGCTCGATCTGTCGTCGGCCTCTGTGAGTCAGGATGATGCAGAGCTATGATTCCGACATAGAGAGAGAGAGAGAAAGAGACAAGTTTGGGCCAGGAAGGGGCAGGGGGGGGGGACGGATCTTGCGGTATGTGTGATGCTTGCAGGGTGTGGGATTAGGGCCTGGCGCGAAAGCACGGATCATGTCTTATTCCCAACAACAAACGCCATGCCTCACAACCGAGCAGACAGACGATAATTATACTCAGAAGTACAGGGTGACGTGATCTGATCGCCAAGTTGAAACATCCCGAGATGCATGCGCATCCACTTGACTTCCGACCGAATAGCATTTCCCCGTTTCAGTGAGGGACGCATTTGCCGTACCAATCCAGTTTCGGGATGAATAGACATGCATTCGAGGATGCGGTGCCAGTCCTCAGCGCAGACAACAAACACAACCAGAATTTTACTACTGGTAATCACAAAGAAGTGTAAAAAACATACAACAGAAGGGATTCGCTGGTGGTCACCCACCCAACTACTAACCTCCCGGCGTGTGGCTTAAGTACGGCTGAGCGGACGGGAAGCCCTGTTTTCCACACCCTGTGGTCGTATGTGCTAGAGTAACAAAAGCATTGATTTATAACAGTTGACTACAAAGCAAGATTTCTATGCGGTTCAAAGAAGAGCGACGGCAGGTTTACCTAGAATAATACCCCCCTGATTTTTTATTGATTTATTACTTTGTTCTTCATGCCTTGTATCAACAACCAGCAGGCAGGTAAAGAAGCAAACTAAGCCCACAGAAATACAACCTTCCAGGACATAACCCCTCCACGACTTCACCTCCGGGACTCATGCTGGCGTGCGTGATGCGCCGCGAACGCATCCCAAAATGCCGCAGTCACCCCGCATGGCCGGCCATCGGGCATGCGGACAGTACACACATAGTCGTTTTCCGCGTTGCGCTGGTACTGGTACATGGACTGATGGTTCACTTTCTTCTTCTCTTTCCCGGGGCTCGCAGACTTCCCGCGCTCCTCGGCAGAATGCTGCGGAGTCAACCACGGCGTGCCACAGCTCGGGCAGCCGTAGACCAGCCGGACATTTCGCTCCGACAGCTCGTGGATCCTCAGCTGCGCCACACAGCCCAGATGGAAGCAGCTGTAGCAGTTCGAGCACTGGTGCAGCGCCCTCTCCGGATCCTCCTGGAGGCGGTGGCACAGCCCACACTTGAGATGCGTCATCCGCGGGCGCTGCACCGGGACCTGGAGGGGGCGGAGCTGCTCCGGCAGATAGTGCACGTAGTATGCGAGGTTGAGGTGGTAACGTGGCGGAGACATGTTGGTTGTAGGTCTGTCAGTTGAAGGGTTGGTTGAAGGGGGGGTTGCTGACGAACATGTAGAATAAAAGCATATCAGGGCGGATTATATACTTCACATCACAGCAAAGGGAACACTGATTGTAAGCAGGAGTATTTCAGTGTGGAACAGGTTCACCTCTTTGAGCTATCTTGAGATGGCGGTATTCTTCGCGTTGGTCATTTGATAGCGTTCTTTGTATGCAAGCACTTGGTCTTTGACAAGCTTACTTCTGACTACTGCCATTGAGCTTGGCTATGTCACCTGGTTGGGGTTGTTTCATGTTGCAGATATTATAAAATTATTGTTCACTCTACCACCTGCTAATCCACATCCAACTGTCATCAACATAGTCGTCATGAAAAGAAGCTTCATATACTTCGCCGAAAAAGGCTCTCCGAAAACTATGTTCTCTCCTTTGATCTTACGCCAGACACATAGTCTCTCTGAGTGTTGCGAGACCTATCCCCTCCACTCCAGCGGAACTCTCTCATCGCGTCCGAAGATGCGGAACGGAGCGCTGGAATCCCAGCAACCTGCCTCCAGGAAATCGCCCGTGACATTCCGCACGGCCGTCGTGTTCCCAAACTCCAGAACCAACCCTCCAGATGGGGCACTGGCATTGAACGCCGGCCAACCCACCGCCGTGCTGACTGTGGCAGGGTCCTTGAGAAAAGCCAGCAAATAATCCTGCATCGCCCGCGAGGTCGTGACCTCTAGCTCCGAGATCTCCCCGACATCCAGCATGTACGTCCCAAAGATCATCAATAGATCGGACCAATGGAACGCGCCCAGCCAGGGAACGGGGCTGATGTTGGTGAAATTGCCCGCCCACTCGTACCGGTACGTCTCGAGCCCCAGCGAGGCCCGCAAGAGCGCATCCTTGTACGACGCGCAGAGCCATTCGCCGGTCGTCTCCATGGTGGCGGTGTCATTACCGGGGGTGATGGGATCTTCGCGGGCGGCGTTGGAGCGGATCGCCGGCCCGGGAGCCACCCGACCCAGTCGGTAGCGCTCGGTTTCATTGGCGAAGATGTACTTCTCGTCAGCTGTGAAGGTATTCTCTACCGTTAGTCATATCTTGACACACCGGACTGGAGAAAAAAGGGGTTGGGATGGGCACAAAAGGAGGGGGGCGACTCACGGATATAGTTCGTGAACGCGATGGACGGGGTGCCGTTATAGCGGTTGATATACTCCTCGATCTGAACCCAAGACACTTGGCGCATGCACTCCAGCTCCGCCTCGGCGTCGTCTCCGTAGTTGCATCCCAGACCCTTGGCAACGATGTGGAAGTCCTCATAGACGTCCTCCGTCTCAGTGGTGTTGATGGTCACCGACGGGGGCGCAGAGATCACGCCGAAGCGGACCGCGAGAGGATCATCCGGGTAGGCGAGGGTGTAGAGGTGTGTCAGGGCAGCGCCCTGGGATTGGCCCCACAGCTGCCATGCGAAAAAGATTGATCAGACTTGATCCTCAGACGGTTGTCAGGGGTCTACTCATTGCAAGCTTACCATAATGTTCTCTGGATCTCCCCCGAATGCCCGAATATTCTCCGATACCCACTCCACCGCCGCGCGCACATCCATCAGAGTCAAGGATGTCTCCTTCAAAGCTTTAGACTTGGGATCTGGAAGTGGGAAGGTCTGTCGTTAGAAATGTGCCGTCTGATGAGGGTTCCAGCTGAGTACTCACTGCCGAAAATATTTGCCCGGTAGTTAATGGTCACCACAATATGCTCCTGCGAGTTGGCAACCCAGTTCGAAGGCAGCTGGGAAGGGATCGCGATGCCCCCTGTGGTCCCTCCTCCGCCCGTGACGAAGAGTGCAACGGGTAACTGGGAGGTCTCGTTGGCATAGGCCGGGGTCCAAATGGCCAGTGACAGACAGTCCTCCGAAGACGACCACGCGACGGAGCCCTGGTTGTCGGATTCGCCGATACTCAGCAGGAGATTCGGCGGCTCATATTGAGCCCACATGGACTCGCCCGCAGCAACGTACTGCGGGCATGCTGAAGAGAAAAAGGTCAGCCGTTGTTGTCAAGCAATAATCCCAGCCTGGTCATGGCTGATCAATGAGGCATTGGCTCACCCGGGCCAAATCGAGTCGAGTCAATTCTTCTCGACGAGTGCGCCAGTTTCTGAGGAGGAAGCCAGCGGAGGTCGCCAACCGGTGGCTGTGCATAGGGCACCCGCAAGAACTGGCGGACATTGGGGTAGGTATCATTCAACATGCCAATGAAGGTTCCGGTCCGGGTCTCGACGGTCAAGTTCGACCAGTTGGACAAGGTCCGCGCGGGTTGCCAACTCAGATCCGCATAATAAGGAGGGTTCAACTCGGCCAGAGCCAGGGAGGCAAGGCCGAGCCACCCAAAAGTCGCCCACGGAGTCATGGCTCGCGAAAGTGTTGTGCTTCTCCACTGAATAGCTTTGTTCCCCAATGCGAGTTGTTTTACAGCTCATATTGGCCTGGACGGGCTGGGGTATGGGGCAACTTATGAACTCCAACTACATGCCGAGTCTGAAAGCTCCAAGTGCGGCGGATGACCGAGAGAATCCGAGAACGGAGACAGGCGTGAGCTCCCCTGACGGGACAAGGAGCGTGGGGAGTGTGGGGTAGTGAAGAAAATGATAACCCGGGCACCGGGATCCAAGCACCGCATTTGATATAGCCCGTACGTACGTATTCGAGCCGGAATCAGACCATGTTTCCCGGCTTGACGGACTGTAGAGCAGGATTGGATTCCACGCCAAGCCCAAAGGGCAATGTGCCGGCAAATTCATTATGCGGGGAGGAAAGCCGGCTGCTCCTGTGGTGATGACTCCCGCCGAGATGTCGTAAGAACCTTATATGGTCACCCCATTTTCCATGTCGTCTATACATGTAGGCACGGAGAGTGCGCGTTGCACCGGGTACATTGTAGGAGAAGACGCTCTGATGACTCGCTTACGAGATATATCGCCCTCTCGCATGGGGGACGTATTGTCCTAAGCAATTGGAACCGAAGTGTAGAACCTGTGGAATCGACTGCGTCACGGAATATGTGGCTCGGAGTAGACTTCCTGAAGCAGTCAATACGACCGCGAATTGGCACCAAACAGGCAAAGTGTAAGAATCACCGATCATTCAAACTGAAAGAGGCTATGTCACATTCCGTACTCTTAGTAAAGATATCGACAAATGGCTAGCTTCCAAATCGACCATATGACATCGGCCAGGGCAATGACAAGGCTAGGTATGGAAGGGAAACTGTTTTGCGAAGCAGCCAAAAATCGGGAATGAGAAATTTCAAGCAAATAGGTCAATACTGTACGTAGCTCTTGAATGATACTATTTTGTATAGAAAGAACCAAATATCGCCAACTAGGTTGTCAGGAAGCAAAGTTAGGCTCTACTAGCTCGAAAACGACATTTTCTATTAATGCTATGGATCGGGTAAGTTGGTGGGATATGATCGGTCGGTTCTTCGTGGCCATGAACCCCATTTAGAATCTGGACCTGGTTATTAAGTTATGATCCATTTATTGGAACAACGTGGGGTCAAGCCAGATGGAAAGATTACTTAGAACGGGGTCGAGTGAAGCATGGGCTAATTTACAGTGCTAGTAGACAATTTGGGATTCGTGGATTGTTAAGAGAC